CAGGTCCCATCTGGGGTGATTTGCAGCAGAGTGACATAGTGGAAGCCTCCTGAGCCCATAACCCAGCGGTCAATGGTTTAAAACCATTCTCTCCTAGCTAACTTTTCCTTTGCATTACACTAAGTGCACACCACTCTACAGGCAATCTCGTCAAGCAATACTTCCAAAGTGAAAGAGGGAAACTTGAAACTCACGTGACAAACTTCTCCAAGGCTTCTACCTGTCTTGGCATTTGGAACCCAGTTGTTGGGCTCCCTGCATTGATGCTCTGCAGTGTAAGTCAATGAATGTGGACAGGGCAGTTGAGCACACTTAACAGGCCCCAGTGGCCTAATGGATAAGGCACTGGCCTCTTAAGCCAGGCATTTTGGGATTGAGTCCAATCTGCTGTGATTTGCAGCATAGTAGCGCAGCAGAAGCGTGCTGGGCCCATAACCCAGAGGTCGATGGATTGAAACCATCCTTAGCTCACTAACTTTTCCAGTGTCTTACACGAAGTGCACACCACTCTACAGGCAATCGAGTCAAGCAATACTTCCAAAGTGACAGAGGGAAACTTGAAACTCAGGTGACAAGCTTCTCCAAGGCTTCTACCTGTCTTTTGGCATTTGGAACCCAGTTATTTAGCTCCCTTCATTGATGCTCTTAAGTGTAAGTCACTGGATGTGGACAGGGCAGGTGATCACCTTTAACAGGCCCCAGTGGCCTAATCGATAAGGCACTGGCCTTCTAAGCCAGGGATTTTGGGTTCAAATCCCATCCATGGTGATTTCCAGCAGAGTGGCGCAGCAGAAGCATGCTGGGCCTATAACCTAGAGGTCGATAGATCAAAACTATCCTCTGCTAACTCTCCCTCACATTGTACGCCATTGTTCACATAAAATATTTAAGTAACTTTTCCAAATTGACAGAGCACACTTGAAACCCAGGTGCCAAGCTACTCCAAGGCTTTTACTTACCATCTGGCATTTAGAACCCAGTTATTTAGCTTCCTGCATTGATGCTCTGTAGTGTAAGTCACTGAATGTGGACAGAGCAGTTGAGTACCTTTGATGGGCCCCAGTGGCACAATGAATAAGGCACTGGCTTCCTTAGCCAGGGATTTGGGGTTCGAGTCCCATCTTGGCTCATTTGCAGCAGAGTGGTGCAGCAGAAGCGTGTTGGGCCCACAACCCAGAGGTTGATGGATCGAAACCATCCTCTGCTAGCTTTCTTTTCCTATGCTTAACATGCAGTGCACACCACTCTTCAGGCAAACTCGTCAAGCATTTGAGTACTTTTGTTGGGCCCTAGTGGCCTAGTGGATAAGGCACTGGCCTCCAAAGCCAGGGATTGTGTGTTGGAGTCCCATCTGGGGTGATTTGTAGCAGAGTGGTGCAGTGGAGGGAACTTGTCACTCAGTTGGCAAACTTCTCCAAGGCTTCTCCCTACCATCTGGATAGAATAGGACCACTAGAATAGGATTATTGTATGTATTGCAGTTGCTTCCTGCCTGGATATCAATAGGATGATGCCTGAGCTTCAGGTATCACCTGCTTTATTGAATTTTATAATTATTGAATTTTCTCTTAGATATAATAAAGTTCTTTTTTTTTAACCTGCCATGTACCCAACACTGATCATGCAACACTTAAAAGTTGACAAACAACATCCAACCCAATAATCAGACCTCGTCAGATCACCAGACCTCGACATCAAATCCTCTCATTAGGGCTACAATCTCTATTAGATTTTTTGCCATCAGGGAGCCTAAGTAGCAGAAGTGCAGAGCGCTGACATGTGGAAAACCAGCAGGCTACTCATGCCGTGGTCGTGCAAATTTAGATTTCACTGTGTATCCTCTTAGATTTGGGTGTCTGTGAGGGCCGATGATTTCTATGAGGTTTTTTAAGATGGCTGGCTGTCATGCCACATCCAACCTGTTATTTTTAATACTTCTCAATTTTTTTTAATCTTTCAACTAGCTGTATTTAAACTTTGTAAGTGCACTGTTGTTCTACCCTGTTCAATAAAATGTGTATTACCTATCTTAACTCATCTTGTATTATTTTAATTAGCAGAAAAATGTAAGTCCCACACACATTGGAGATGGTTGGAGATGGCTCACAAAGCTCACTCACGTTTCCACAATAGCCTCAGAGGTCGTTGGTATGTATTTCTAACCCACCTATTGTGCTGTCTGCGTTGTTGAACCCACTGAATGTGGACAAAAATGTGAACATGGCCTAATGGATAAGGCACTGGCCTCCTTAGCCAGGGATTGTGTTTTCGAGTCCCAAATGAGAGTATAAACCGCAGAGTGGCGCAGCGGAAGTGTGCTGGCCCCCTAACCCAGACGTTGATGGGTCCAAACCATCCTCTGCTACCCTTCTTATCCAATGATTAGCGAGAGTCCATGCCACTGATCATGTAACAAAATCAAGCAGCCCCTGTATTTCTTTTCCCCCCTCTATCACCTAGTGTGAGGCAAGTTTTATAAGTGTTAGCACACTTATGATTGCCTCCTCAGCGTGGCACAATCACAGTGACCTCATGTGATTTGATGCAATCAGTCCTCACAGCTTGTGTGAAATTATATTGTTCTGTTCTTGAGAGAACGGAGCATGATTCTGTGAAAATGATTGTTCCGTGTCGCCCCATTAAAATTCTGTGGGGAAATGATCAGACGATGTCATTAAGCAGACAGTTTTCAATGTAAAGCTTCCGGGTCCTTTTGAGGTTGTGGAATAAATTCATCATAGAGGAAAGCAAGAATGATTTCTTTAAGGCTTAAAGGTCCGTGAATTATCCGTCCATTCAGTTTTTCCTTTCAATCTAGTAAACGAAAAATGAAAAAAAAAACCAAGTCAATATTTTGTTTATTTTCTTTTCTATATAACCAAAAAAATAAAAGGTTAGTATTTTTTTTTCATATTTTCAGTTCAAAACAGAAATATAATAGACATGGAAACGAAAACAAAATAATAAATCTACTTTTCGTTTTCGGGTTATTGATGTCCCCATTTCCCACGGTACCTTTATACTATGCGCACATGCGCATTGTACAATAAAGTAGCCAACAATGTAGACCAAAAACTTCAGGCCAGAGCAGTAGAGAAAGGCTTACCTGCTGTCTTAGAGATGGATGCATCCTATGTATTATTCAAAGCTGCCAGGAGGGTCACGCTGAAGGAGGAAGATATGACTGTAGAAAAAATTACAACGAGAGCTCTTTTACAACATAAGATTTTGGTGCTCGAACCGCTCTGTCACATCTTTCGCCATGGTAACTGTCGCTGAGGATCATGGGAGGGCAAATGTAGCCTCCATGCACGTATGCTCAAAACAGACACACTCAGGATCGGTAAATGTAAATAAGATTTAATATTTTGTTTTCATTTCCGTCTGTATTATATATTCTGTTTTGAGCTGAAAATATGAAAAAAAAAGCAAAATTTTTATTTTTGGGGGGGTTTTACAGAAAAACAAATAAACAAAATATCGACTCATTTTTTCATTTTTCGTCTACTAGATTGAATGGAATAATTGAATGGACAGATAATACATGGACCCTTAAAGGCCACTGCAGAAGTGGATATTTGGACTTACGATGTTGTGTCTGTAAAAAAGCAAGCTTGTTTTTTTTCTTATGTTAAGTCAGAACTTTGTTGCATCAGAGGACTTAATTTTAAGCATTTACAACTCATACAAAAGTCTTACAATTTAATATTAATCTGCTTCTTTATTAATAAGATTATTTCTACAAAAATATCTTTATATTAAACCCTGGGTTATGATCAGGCATGGTGTTTAGGCAGGTCATAATCTCATTGGCTTTCATTTGGATTCTTTTAAATCCTTTGGATACCCATTGCCTTGAACATCTTATAACATTGTTATTAAAGGTTTAGCTACAATAGATTAAGGATCTAAAACTACTACAAGGTTGCTTAAATCAAGGATTTGGCATAATCGACTGTTGCAGCCACCTCAGTTTTTATCAACTGTGTTGAGAGTTCATCTCTAGTATAGTGCAGCGCTGTGCAGAGCATTTTTTAGCACTACATTCAAAGCTGTGAGAATAAAAAAGAGACATCTCAGCTAATGTAACGTTACGCTCACTGCCCACAATGACATGGTCTGCAAAACAGTTTGCAACTCTGTTCAGTGAGACACTGAAATGTTCTTTCGGAGAATAAGCACTTTTCCGTTGGCCTGCATTTTTCATCAAATTTTTGTTTACGTTTATGCATTTTATGTTATTAACTGGTAAGACATTATGCTCTTGGAAAACAATCCATGACAAAATTTACCGGCAAATTTTAAGACAACTATTCACTAAAGAATCGGTTGAATTGAAGAACAAATTTATCCTAAAAATAATACTGTGTTGCATGCTGCTATTCTACTGGAGTGAAATACAAAGCAATGACAGTGTGATGTTTATGGGTGTATGCACAGTGCCTGAATATGTCCATGTAGATTCTCATTCATCCAGGTCATGGTTTTCTTGAAGGCTTAAAAACAGGCAACTGGACTGTGTAGAGTTGAGAAGACATTTTGCCTCTTATCCAAGAAGCTTCTTCAGCTCAAAATTTTGCCAGTGTGAGGAGCAGATATTTATCTTACTGAAGAAGGGGACAGACAACGACTGGGAGGAGTTGGAAAGAATGGGTCGTAGAAACCCATCTCTGGGTGTTCCCCCGCAAAGTCGACCCCTGTCATGTGACAACATGACTCATACCACCTGGGTCATGTGGTACCTGAATACTAAGGCAGCTAAATGGAAGTCAACCACTGACCTTATCACAGTGCCTGTTCCCTCTCATTTCCAGCAGAGAGATATGTTACTTACTAACCTACTATGACCTGGCGTCCACATGTGTGGACATCACATTTTTGGTTGTCAAGAACAAAATATTAAATTTTGGTCTACAAGGGCCTGGCGTCCGCTTACAAGGACATTAAACTTCCACCTAGTGGTGGAAGAAGAGTATAACAAGGCACATGTTAGATTCAAGATGGCAGACAACCCACCCAGACATTCAGATGGCTACTCCCAATCCAAACGTCGACCAGGTAAAAAATTCAAACAAATTTCATGGCTGATTCTTGCTCAGATATGTATAGAAGTGTTCACTGTGTGTTGTGGAAGTCGAATTTTGCAAAAGTAAGAAAATGTGACGATTTACCATGCTGCTAAACTTGATGTACACATATGTGGACAGAGGAACTTAGTTTTGTTGGTTTTGTTGAACATGTCCACAAATGTGGACAGAGGGAGTTGGTTTCAAATTTGTATTTTGGGATAAATTTGTTAGAAAACAGTCGTTTTATACAGTACAAACAGATATGGCATGTTTTATAAAGAAATCTATGTAGATTTATTTTGGTTTGAAACAATGGTTTTTTTTTCTAGAGTGTTATTCTCTGGAAAAAGCGATGGAAATGCTGGGGTTAATGGTGGAGACAACTCAGAGGTGGAAGATTTATCAGACATCGATGATCCTGTGGGAGATGCTGAATATCAACCTCCACCAAGCAGCAGTGAGGAAGACAGTAGTGGGTGTGAGGACCCCATTCCACAGCCCTGTCAGCCTATCAGGGGACGTGAACATTTCCATGATGAATATGAAGGATATCGGTCAAATCGTGACAATGCCAGATCACGCACCCCCAGGCGTCGCTCTCAGACACAGCAGAATGAGGCTGATGTCTCAGACAATGTTTCTGAAGATACATCACTAGGACCCAGCCCTATAGAATGGTCCAATAAAGGGCGTGGAGGGTTCTTCACTTACACCAGATCAAGCCCAGCTTGACCATGAAGAGGAAACTGTTCAGGACAGAGAAGGCTGGACCCCACCGGACTAAAGCTGGCTACTCTACCGCAAATACATCACTGTGAATGGCAAACCAAAGAAAAACATTGTGCAGTTCCTTGAATTACATATGGAAGTGGCCATGCCTCTTTGGCTCAGCATGACGATGACAACTCTGACTTTTCAGAGCAGGAAGATGACCCAGACGTTTCAGTCCAAGGGAAAAGGCGTCCAGTGCAGGCAGTGCCCCACATCTCAGTCCACAGGAAGGCTAATGCACGTCTGCCAGAAGTGGTACACTCGAAGAATGCTTCACGATGCAGAGTAAAAGGATGCTCAGGGAAAAGTCAAGTGCAGTGTGTTACATGCAAGGTGTTCCTCTGCTTACAGGCAGATCACAACTGTTACACAGCCTTTCACGCATAGGTGTAAACATTTTCCTAAGGGGAAAAAATGGAGGAGCACTTTGGTGTGCAAGTGAGATGTTTCATGTTTCATGCCATGTTCAGAAATTAAAATGAACAGTTCAGAACAGTAGCAGTGAAAAATATGTTGAATGTTTACTTTGTTTTACCGACATCTGTCCTCCTACAACTGTTAGCAGCACTTCAGATGAACCATATTGCTCAAAGAGGCACAATTAGTTGCTTATTTTGTTTTTGCACTCAGAAAAAATGCTGCTGTGTTCAGGCAACAAGTAAAGAGTTTTGTTCATCATTACTCAATTGTGACGTTATTGTGTTCTCTCAAAATTTAAAATGAATGTCCTCATATGTGGACATCATTTTTCTCAGAAACTACATCATGTAAAAAGATAATTATTTATTTTTACACTCATCAGGCCCCAATTATCCTAAATATTAAAGAGAAGATAAAAATGCATGCCTTGCCAGAGTTCGGTTCTTATTTTTGTGGGACATTCACTTTTTATCTGTTCATCTAGCAGCCAAAGCATTTAATAACTATCAAATATGTTGATTAATTTACTCACCTTGTGACAACATAACTCTTATGAAATGACTCTGGTATGGTCAAGTACTTAAAAAAAAGATTAGGTTTTATTTTTTTTTTTGTAAATAAGAACTGCCCAAGAAAATTGTGCTTTTTAAAACTTAATTTCTCATCGTTTTTGGTCTCAGCTTCTGCCTCTGCAACCTCAGAGCAAACTCTGGTTTCTCAATCAAACTTTGTATTCATCTGAAGCTGTCTTCAGCCTGTAATCCCTGGATGGGATTTCCATATAAATTTCTCTTTTCACTCGTCTTGCTCTCCTTTCCCCCCTTTTCACCCCATGTCTCTTTCTGTCCTTTGATCAAGTGCTTTCTCCCTGGTGTTTGCCGGGATGTCAAGCTTGACTGCTTGGCAGTGGCCTTCCTTTTAAATGTTGTTTCTATTGCTCTACTGTCACAGATCACTGGCCAGAGACTGGAGTGGCAATGGAGGTTTGTACACCCTGCACCACTCATACATCTCCCACTGATGCCCATTGAAAAGGTGATTTTCTGCCTGTCTTAAACAATAAGCCATCTTGGCATAAAGCTCCCCCAGTTTGAATACAGAAAAACTGAGCCCTTAAGATGAGGATTTCTTGTTTGAGGTCTGATGAGGACAGTCATGTCTGATTTTACTTACATAATTAAGAGGGTTTATGTACTGACTGGAAAATAAGCTGAAGGATTTCTGTTGCAGGAAAGGAAGCATATTGGTTGCATTACTGTGAGAACAACATGCGTTATGGGAGAAAAAAATAGATGTGCACATGCCTGCTCGTAGATATAATAAAGCAATACCAGAATGGTTTTGGAAATATTAAATCATGTGCAATCATGTTAAAAAACATGCAAAACAGAAAGTGAGCCAAATAATTTAAGAACTTGGACCAAAGTTTGTATTTTAACACAACATCATTACAAATCAGTAAACTCAAAATAACCACAGTATTTAAGTAACACCTCTGAAAACAGAACAAAAAACATCCCAAAATTAATATTTGATATAATATTAGATCAATAAACCGTGAATTTATCAGTCTATTATTGGCAAAGTTGGTAATATAAAGAGAATTTCTGCAGGACATACAGTAAATACAGCTCATGCCCTAATGTTTACCTGTTTACCTCACTGTGTCACTTAACAGCACCTGAAGCTCAAGACCTGTTTTCTCCAGAGCACGAAATGGACTCAAAATGTGCAGTCATTCTGTTAAAGTATATAATTCCTGCACATTAAAGAATAATTACAGAAATATTGTATACAAACACGTGTAGTTATATCCCCAGGTAGATTACACTGCATTCATTCATTAGATCTTCACTTCATTCCTGTAAGAAAGAGGTTTGTGATTGCTTGAGTTTATTTTCTATTGTCTTTTCATTAAACCTTTATTTTAAATCAGTCAATCAATTAAATTATTGCAAATGTATTTGCAATTACTATTTGTCTTTACATTTGAAATGTATTTATCTATTATGGCGCTAAATATGGTTGCAAAGTATGGGCGACTCACGTCCATAGACTGTATACAATGATATATACAGTCTATGGTCACGTCACGTTTACGTCGGTATGTTGTTACGACAGCGAGATGAAACACTTTACGACAAGCATGTGTGTACGGACGGAAAGCTTGTAGTGAGCGGGGTAGAAATCTATCGAGTTGCATACTCTCAGGCTTGATCAAAATATTTTCAATAATAGAGTTTTAAGCAGAAGAAATGGATGTCGGAGAGCTCCTGAACTATCAGGTAGTGTTTTTGTTCTGCTGACCTGTGTTTTGGAACAGTGTGGAAGCTAAACACTTCATTCAATGGGCTGGTGGTTGAAATAGCTTTGCAAGAATATTGGGGTAAACTTTGTCAAGCACGACTAAATCAAGCTGGTGCTTTATTTTTTATTACTTTCTAAGGTAAACCGCGAGTCAGCTGAAGTAAATTACCTTTGCTGGTCGCCAAACAAGCTTTCTGTAGCGTTTACAAAGGTTAGCAGTTAGCGTGCTAACAGGCTTACATTAAGCTCAGGGGAAGGTCGCGACTGTTTTTGAAATTTACAAGAAGTATTAGAGGCTAATACGGGTTAAAACAGAATAAAACTTTAACCCAGCACATTACCAGGTACATTTCACATTTGCTTGGTAGATTTGGAATAACTCGTTTGTCCCTAAAACAAACTCTTTTGGTTACATCCCCTGTCCTGTGCACCAGTACACATAGACATTTCTCATAATTGTTGTTTTGCATGTGTTTTTACTTACGTAGCACCTCACAGTATCATAAATACTGTAGGTACTTATCATAAATACAAATTCTGCTGAAGAAAAAAACATCTAAAATGTTGCATATCAATAAAACGTGTTTTTTTATTTTGTATATCTACGTTTACTTGTTAATTTATTCTTTCATTAGTTTGTTTATTGATTAAGATGCAATCATTTTTATCTTTCCATATTTTATTTGAAAGTTTTAATAGCTTATCGTTGTCAGTTTTATTAATTTTAAGCTGTCTTATCCTGTCATAGTTATCCTTTGGTGTTGATAACTCATCTCAGTGTTTATAACCACATCTTTGTTCTAGTGCATATTTCCGTAAACATTTTAAGGTGCTTATTATTTCCTCCATTTGATTTCAGTTTTGACAGGTTATTCTTTGTTTTGTTACAACTTTTTGAGTGTTTCCTTGGCCCCTGAACTTCTTTCTTATTCTCTGCGTTCTCTATCTGTGTGAATCTTCAGACCAAATCCAAGTATGCCTTATTGTAATTAAGTTTGTCCTCTTCTTTTGCAGCCTGATAGAGGAGCCAAGCGTCCCAGGGAAGAGGATGGAGGATCAGCTGGAGGAGATGAAGACTCCAGAGGAGGGAAGCAGCAGAAAGGGATGGGTGCCAGGGAGATGGCCAGATATCGTGAAGCTGCGACGGCAGCAGGAATGGAGTTTGGGGGTGAAATGAGGGAGACAGAGGAACTGACTGGGGACAAGAAGAAAATCCTGGAGAAACTGATGGATCAGGACGAAGAGGAGCCTGAGGTGGGGGAAATAATTTACATGTACCATGATCAATGGAAAAACTGTGACATGTAGTTATCACAATATAAACTTACACCATTGCAAAAACTACCTACAGTGCATTTACTGGAAGTTTGTACAGCCCACTTACAAAAGCTGACACACTGAGATGAAAAGCTTATTGCTGCACAAATTAATTAGTGCCAAACTGGTGTCAAATGTGACATAAGTCAGCACTTTGGCTGAAAAATACTTGTTGTTAGCAGAGCACTCCTGCAGTTCAAAGAAAGTATTAAACCCTAAACACAGCACTCTTTTGCACAGCTGTGGCCTCCGCCTAAAAAGCTTAGTTTTAGCTTTATATACATATGTATATGTATGTATACATATATGTATATATGTGTATGTATATATATATATATATATATATACCATTAAGGTGAGTATATTTGTAAGTCAGAATTGTAGTAAATCACGCACATAAACTACAATCTCGCGTTTTTGTGCATTGGGCAGAAATTTGAGCGGCTTTCATCCACTTTCTCTGATTATGACAAAATAACATTTACCTTGTGATTTGAAATTTTGCATACACTTTGTACGGACGCCAAACTTTGTAACTTTGCAGTTTTTTTTGTAAATGTGGAAAAGCATGATACCCCTCCTTTAACTGTTAAGGAACTGTAACAAACACTTACATTGTGTTTTTAAGATATCATTGATATCACCCTATTATTGAATTTGTTAGAACTGTTTACTTGTATGCTGATGTAATAAGACAAGTTTTTAGGTTTGACTGACAGACTCATGCCTCCTCTCATTTGCACAGGGGAGAGATGCCAAAGCAAAAGTGTGACAGTTATTCATTTCCACGGGAAGTTAGACATTTATCTGTAACATGTAGCTCTCTGAAAATGCAGGAGTTTGCTCTCTCTGTAACTCTCTATTGCATTTTGTGCATCTGTATCAAGTTTACAAAAATATCACTCTGTTTGCCATAAGTCCTGTCATATGTAGTTTTCATATGTAGTTTAAACCTAAAGTTGAACTCTTCCTGGCTCACAGATAGGACTGTGTGATATTGACTAAAGATAATGATAATTGATAGGCCTGTCGCGATAATCAATAAATTGCCTTATCGCTCGATAAATAAAAACGAGGTCGATAACTTTGCCAGCCTCGATAATTGACGTGCGTTTGTTTTCCTCCTCTCTCGCTACCAAACACGCTGGATGAGAGAAGAGGTCTCACTCTGCGCATTGTTCTCGGCACCTGGGGGCGTTAGCTCTATAGCGGAATGAACGGAGTTAGTGAACCCTCCTGTCAGTCATTCAGTGTCTTTGTCACGAGGGGGCTGGCGCGCATAGGCACACAGACACAGACTTTTTGGATACAGTGCTGCAAGTGAGCGTCGTGAGTGAAAAGCAAGCTAACAGAATGAACACGACAGCTTTGGTGTCTAAACCGAACGCAACAGCCCAAGTGTGGGAATATTTCGGCTTTAAACCAGTTTTGTTTTCGTCAACCACAAAACTCCACGTGTGTGTGTGCGCGCGCGCGTGCGTGTGTGTCTGTGTGTTGGAGGAGCACAGCAGGCTGATGAGGGCTGTCAGAGCGGACTGAAGCTGCTCCTATATGTTTAGCGTTTAACTGACTGAGTTTTGCAACTCTGTTCGTCATTTTCGTCTCGTCCCATCAACGTAAACGCACTTTCGTCTCGTCACATTTTAGTCATCTCCGACTTATGATTAGCTCGTCAACGTTACGTCTTCGTCGTGGGAGAAAAGGGAAATATTTTAGTCAACGAAAACAACCAGTGTTGTTCTCGTGTGGAAATTAAAGTTTATCACTTTTGACACGGTCTACTCGCATTATTATGCCATATAATATCATTATCTATAATTTAAAAAATGGTGTCAATAATATCGTTTATTGGCGATAATTTGTTGCACAATTATCGTCCAGCAAAATTTGTTATCGTGACAGGCCTAATAATTGACAATATCTGCATCCCTCCAGAATCGTGTTTGTAAAAAAGGTTGAACTACTCTAAGCTGCTCTTGTTAATAGTTTATTAAATGTGTTTCATAATATCAATAAAAACAGCTTATTCAAGAAAAAATAGTCTAAACTGCTAAAAAACAAGTACAGGGAAAAAAAATCCAAATCAAAAGAGTGACTGCCAAAGTTTGCAGACAGTTTTTTGTTTTCGCTTATCCACAAAGCTTATCATGTTCCTCATATTTTGTCCTGTGATTGATTTGAGGTGATGAAATAAGGTATTAGAAGAGCTGTCTTAAACAGCAACAACTTTCTGGAGTAGTATTTTGAGCTAATCTTGTCTTTTTGAAGCCACCCAGCCTAGCCAGCAAAAATTAAACTTTAGGGAAGGATCATAGTTTATTTAAATCCACAGCTTTTATCATAAAAGTGTTAGACAAACTTAATCCTATAATTGTTTTTAAATTTGCGTCGAAGATCTTGTACATGTCGGCTCACAACTTAAAAAGCAAACAAACGACCCAGGAGTTCAAGTTAAGAATGGACTATTCAATAGAGTTGCAGTCAGTCATGTTTTCAATTCTGGCAAGTTGAGGGTAAAACTCAGGAAGCACCAAAGCCCTTGTCAGAACCACTGGCACTATAATGAGTGGGGCCAAAGAAAACTTCACATCTGTTATCCTGTTCTGAAGATTTTATTCACCATGTCAAAAGCTACTCAGAGCAAAGTGCTTCTCTTCGCCATGATGACATAAGTTGTAATTTCCTAACCTGTCATTATCTTTCAAATGCTTTAGAGGGCTTTTAAGCCAGCAGGAGGTCAAACACTTTCCCTTTCCACTGAAATGCACTCACATCCTCTCACTCGATTGTTTAAAACTCCTGGCTTCTTGCTCCACTCACATAATTAGTTTGACTCTGGTGTTTCTGTTGTGTCTTTTCAGCAGCAGCCTCACTTTGTAACTCCTTTAAACACTTTTCTTCCCCTGTTGGTCTTTTTTTCTTACCAATGAAACAGGCAGAACCAGTGGATGAAAGTTCTGTGAAGAAAATGATCCTGACCTTTGAGAAACGCTCCTACAAAAATCAAGAACTGAGAATTAAGTTTCCAGACAACCCAGAGAAGTAAGTCCAGTACTTTGATTTCACAGTTTTACTGTGTTGTTCATATACAGTATCAGCTGGATTGCTGAAACGCTTTATTGAGTCATTCAAACCACAGCTCATATCCACCTCAAATAGTGTCTGACACATTGCATCTAAGTCTTCCTAAATAAGCTGCATTGAGAACCCTCTTTTACTTCGATTTGGTCTTAATATTGAATGCTAATATGCTAACTGTAACATCTTGCTCTTTCAATCAGGTTCATGGAGTCAGAGCTGGATCTAAACGATATTATCCAGGAAATGCACGTGATCGCCACAATGCCGGATCTGTACCATCTGCTGGTGGAGCTAAATTCCGTCCACTCGCTACTGGGCCTCCTCAGTCATGAAAATACTGATATCCTTCCACTTACAGAAACATTCATTAATACATTAAACCTGTGTTATCTGTTGATGGAGTTTAGTGGTTTCAGGTGATGGTAAAAAGTTTGGGTAAAAAGACTAAAAACCAACGATGACTACCAAGAACCAGACTGACCCAAATACTAGAAAGCTTTTTCCTCTCTTGAAGTTCACCCGAATGAAGTGGGATCGTCTTGTATCAGGGGTTTGTATTCAGATGTCAGTGTTTGTTACAACAGATGAAGCCACTTTATCCGTAGAGCAATTGTACCCCTCATGACTGAGGCTGGCTATCATTTGCCACTATTTTGCCAGTGATATGAAAAATGTTGCTGAAAAAGTAGCTGAAGAGTAGAAAAAGTAAGAATAAACTTATCCGAACTCCACAGAAGCATGAAACAACCTGCAAACAGCTATGAAATAGGGTGTGATGGTGGGTAATGAATCAATCAAGTTTTGTTTCTGTAGCACCTTGAGTGCAACTCAAATGAAACTCAGAGCAGTCTACAGCAATTGAAAACAATTTATGTGTACAGGAACAGAAGATGATCCTGGATCTATAGTCGTTTACTATCAATATTGTTTTCAATATTTTCATTTTAGCAGGGGATAAACAGGCCCTGGACAGAAAGCCAGAGGTAAATTAAGGACAGTGAATAAATGAGGCTATTAAGGAAGGTTTTCGTCTATTCATGGGATTTATATAGAAAACTAAAAGTGCAGAAAACTGTTATATTTATTAATTCTCTCACAGTAAAGAGCATTTTAAAAACTGCAACCATGCAGTCTCTATGTGCTTGTAATGGTACAATTTATCATCAGCGACTGATTTAAATGCCTTTGAAAATCCTAATCCTTAATCTGACGGTGCCGTGAATTGCGATTGTCCTTAGCTTGAACCACATGTTGCCATAGCAGTGGTAGACCTGCTGCAGGAGCTGACTGATATCGACACACTCCATGAGAGCGAGGAGGGGGCTGAGGTACTCATAGATGCTCTGGTAAGTTCTAGGATTACAACAGACTTAAAAGATATTGATGAAACAGCACTTTGGGGGTAAATATTTAACTTTCTTGGCTCCGGAGTCCCTGTCAGACAGAGAGGATCAAGTAATGATTAAAATGAACCCAAAACAAGGCCTCGCTGACTGAAAGACAAACAGAAACTTGAAGATGTTTTTCCTCTTGGTGCTGCAGGATTTTGTCTGCTGTTGTCTCACACTGGAGTCTATCAATAAGTAGCTGAATATTGATATGAGATAATCTCTTTTCATCTGCAGAAAAATTACTGAAAGGTTATTTATTTCAAAGTGAAGCTTAATAAAAATATGTGACAGCCCAGGAATATCCCTGTATTTGTGCTGACATTATAGTCTGATAGATTATAATTAAATTGGAGTGAAAACATGCATCTACTTTGTGCTTTCTGCCATAGCCTAATTATTTTAATAGAACTTGTTTTACGCCTTTAGCTTTAGTGTTACTTGTGGCAATTAAGTAAATTTGAGGTCTAATATTAAAAGTGACAAGAACTTATTCATTGGAAAACAAATTAATATAAAGTGTAATGTCAAGCATGTAATTACAGCAGTGATTTTTTACACCCCTTTCAGATATCTTTAGGCTTTTTGTCACCCTCCATCGCTGTCGACTACACTTAAATGTTTAACATCTCTCCCTGCCCTTCTGTGAATTTCTCTATTTGGTCGTCCTGGTGATGAGCCGGGACAGATTTTGACGCCTCATTATGTGGACTGACATTTAAAGCCACGCAGACAAAAGGTTAAACCACAATAATGTGATAATATAGCTAAAACAGGGGGAAGAAATGTCACTATTTGGCTTGAATTTGCCAAGTTTGACTCCAGAGTTTATCCCAGGCATCCATCAGGGATATTAGAAGTTGATTAACACTGCAGTGATTTACATGTTTGGTCTGCTATGTCAGTTCTGAATACTTTGATTACTCGGAAATTTAAGAGTTTGAGGAAAGAGGCATTGTTGTAATTCACAAAACTTAACGCAAAATTAAAATATGATGACCAGTTGGCAAGACAAGCAGTTTCAGAGAGCATTTCCACATATGAGAGGATCACCCATGACTTGGACTGACTCACACGGTTCAGAGGAGTGGGATGCGATGTAGGCAGTTGTTTGGCTCTAAATTGCAGCAATTTTCCCTCCTCATGGTAAAAAAGGGACGACTTTAAAGCCCTCTGCAGTGCCACAAACACATCCTCATTTATCTGTTGTTGTTGGGTTGTTTAAGGGCGGACCAGGACTTCCTTGATGGTTAATGGGTTTTAGTCTAAGTGTTGAGTCAACTGTGTGCATTTTATATAATTTTCAAACCAAAGTTTGTATATTTTTGCATCAAAAACTGAGCAAGTAAAAACCAGCATCAAGGTTATCTTAGTAAGATAACTGAACACAGTAATGAATTGTACTTTCTCTGCCTTGTTCCTCTTACCTGCTGCAATTTTGATGCATCTTCAGATTCTCTCAGCTGACTTGCACTTACACTCACTTAATATCCAGCAACTGAAGAACAAATGTGAGATCTTGGGGTAGCACTGAGTTCGACAGGTACAGTGCCGTGTCCCAGGCAAAGTTATGAGAACATACAAGATTCACTCAGTCTGTTTCTGCATTTGCCCAAAACATAGTTTTTTCCTCACGGTCTGCAAAGTTGCACTCATAAGCAGAAAGGTGTTGCACAGGAGTGTTGAAAAGATGCAAGGATTACAGCATGCTAATGGGCTTCACATATGCTCGAGCAGTTCAGGTCATACGAAAAGGTTTTGTGTGAGAATCAACATTTTCTAATGATAAGCTCTGCATTGTTAAGTGCCTCATTCACGCATTGCACATGTACACTTAAATTTATCAGATCACATATTTTTGGCCATAGAAAGCATATGTTTCACTGCGTCCTCTTTATGTCCTCCTTCATACTTTTTTGTAACACACACATAGAATAGACACCTTTTTAATAAAAGGACCTAGCCTGTGTCGCTGCAGGCAGATGTTGAGTCCTCTCATCAGAAGTTTGGTCATCTGTTTGAGGTACAGATACAAGATAGTAACTTAATTCTGTGTCTTATTAGCTCAGATTCACATTTGGATCTTGATATTAGCATGATTTTGCCTTTACTGTGGTATTACTCTCCTAAAGACAAGTCTTGAATGAATATCACTTCTAAGTGTTTTGAGCAACATCATCAGGTTTTTCTTTGTTTGCTGGCTGGCTTGCTGGTCAATATCTTAAAGAAACAATAGAGATGACTGGACAGGTCTCAAATACTCTTGATGAAAAATGACAGTGTGTGACTGGGAACATTTTGTAATGTTGGTTAAACAGTAGCTCAGGAGGCTCTGCAAGGCTCTCTGGATACAAGCATTACCTAAATGCAGGCCATTTACCATGCAATGAAGCGCCCATTACCTCATTCTTCTTTACAGCTTCTTCCAAGGGAAACAGTTTGAGGGCAGCAAGGCTTGGTTGAATCCATTTGTCTCTTCTCTTTGCTGTAATGCTTCCAGCTCCTCTGTCCTTGTTGCCAGAAGGCCAGGTGGTATCCTTGATAAGATGAATCAAAATGATCCACGATGGTCTCTGCGGGCTCATAAATCTGTGTCGACTGTCCGTCTTCTTTCATCTGTAAAAGTACTTTCATCTAGCCGGCTGGAACCCCGCAAGCTCTGTTTGGTTGGGTCTCCAATCTTGACTTGACTGATAACGCTGGAACATGTTCGGAGAAGCTCAGACTCTGAGCGAGTTTCTTCTGCTCGGATCCAAAGCTTGAAAGTGAACTTCTATGTTTTCTTTTCCAAACAAGTTTGCCAGCTCCCCTCTGAAACATCAAATCATTTTGCAGATAAAGAAGCGGATGAAGGAATTTTGCCATTGTTGGAAGTTGAAAGTTTAGGGAAAAGTTTTAATTTGGTGATAGTGATTTAAGATATTGTTTGATATTGGTTTGTGTTGGAAAGTGTTGACCAAACCTTTTCATGGTTAAATTTGTTTGTGCTTCAACAGTTTCAGAAACGTCTCTGTCTGCAGCTTTAAACTGAATCTAAAAACACTCACCAAGTTATCAGTCCACTCACTTTTTTGAGTACACGAACATTATGAAATAAAACTGGGTTTTTTTCTACCTAGAGGGATGAAGTATTTTTCTTCTTGATTAACTTGAATTTTGCTGCTTTTTGTCTTCAGTTGGAGGGTCAAGTGGTGGCCTTGCTGGTGCAGAATATGGATCGTCTGGATGAGCAGGTGAAGGAGGAGGCTGATGGCATCTTTAACACACTGGGTAAGGAGATACATATGCATCAAGGCTTTAAGTCACTGAAAGGACACTTGTTATTCCTCAACAAGATTTATTAAAGGTGATTGGAGCCAAAGCAACACTGCATGTTATATTTCTTTTTCACCAAAGGTCTACTCTTTATTCCTGTAACTGTTTTTCTCCTGGTTGGCTACAGTCACACTGCTGCCACCTGCTCAGTGTTCGCCAAGTACATCTGAATCGAGCAGCTGAAACTTGGCATCCCGTGTTCAAACATTCATCATCCCTTACACACAATCCTAACCCAGTTAAACTAATAAACAAAGCAGCTTCCAAGAATGAAACATTGGACAGATGTGCTGCAAGGCTGTCGCTGTCCTGTTGTGCTGTGGCTGCTTAAAATTACAACTGTGTACAGTGTATTTTTTATGTTGTGTGCTGTTATGATTTGTAAAATGCTAAGTTTTTCATTCATCAGACAGGAATTTGGGAGGATAGTGGCTTATGGCTTTTGTGGTTCTGAAAAAAGTGATGTTGCTGAGTCACTGTATCAAGGAGTTAAAAGTGGGGATGAATGCACACAATAGGGATGGGCGATATGGGCAAAAAAATTTATCATGAGAAGATTTGCCATTCTGGCGAAAACGATAAAAGTCCTGAAAAAGAATGTTATCATTCCAATCTATATTTTTGACTCATTTTTTTTCATGAGAACACCAGTTGGCGTAGTCAAATAATATACCTAACCACAAGTTTGAGTGGTAGGTTATAGAGAAAACTAATGACATCAAACAAGTCTTAAATGTGAAAACACTTTCAACATTTGTTGAAAACTCTTATTGCACAGAGTGAACAGCAGCAGCAGATCCATTGTTCGATGTTAGGCAATGTCCTGCCTGCAATCATCTAAACCCCAATCTTGAAGGAAATCCCTCATGTGGAGCCTCATTCAGTAACAAGCTGCTCAGGAACATCTTCTTCTTTACCTTCAGCCATTTTTGTTTGTTATTCTGCTCTGTGTGGGCTATGGCTGCGAGCCCATCGCTTGCGCTTACATCATCAACTTGCATTTATCGTATTTATCATGAGATGGCAAATATTTATCTTGAAGGATTTTTCTGATGATTTATCGTGAACGATAATTTATCCCCCATCCCTAGCTCACAACTCTGATAAGGATTATATTAAATTTATTTCATGTAGTTGTTGCAGAGTTGTTACAGATATTTACAGACATCGATGGTGTTACTCTTCTCTGTCAAAACTTTTAAGAGATTATGTTGCCCATATATTGAACTTGTCGCAATTTGCCCATATTATGTATCAACTGACTTCAGTTATATCATATCAATACTAGTATATATCCCACCTAAGGCAACAGCTAAAGTTCTGTGTGATGTTCTTCATCATACTGTTGCTAGGATACAGACTCCACATCCTGAGGCACTTGTAGTAATATCAAGAGACTCCAACCATGTCACCTTCTCATCTCACCTGACTGGATTTACAGAGTTTGTTAACTGGCCTACCAGAGAAAACAAAACTCTGGATCTGCTGTATGTCAACGTCAAAGAAGCTTACAGAGCCACTGCCTTAGCACCACTAAGGTCAGGTCATAACGCTGTTCATCTGCAGTTTATATGAGATTCCAGACAAATGAATTTCCCTGCAGACGGCAGCTTTATCAAAATTCAGCCACCTTAAAACTTTAAGGTGGTTAAAACTTTCGTGAGTGCAGTGACAGGGAGTCCTCCTGGAGCTGCCACTGACGCTGCGCAGACAGTGTAAACTTACTACTTGTATTCTTAAAGCTGAACATTTTGTCTCCCTGCTGCCAAGTGTCCTGTTTTTTTTTTCCAGTGACAGCGGAGGAAGGCTGTCAAGGTCTTATTTGACCCCCCCCCCCTTAGTTGTAAACTCTTTCGAAGTTAGCCACAGTAGTTACAGAGTGTTTGTCGAAAAGATTAAACAGCATTCAAAAAAGGTCTTGGAAAGGGCATGGGCCAGCAGATAGTCTGAGAAGTCCAGGTCTCAGTATTTAGCCTCACATGAATCAGACTTTTCTGCCTCTCAGCTCTTTTTGTGTTGAATGAGTCTACTGAGATGATATTTTCTTTGTTGCCAGATTGAGGCCGAGTATCAGGAGGGCTGTTTAGGTGTGTATTTGGCTCTGTGTGCAAGTGTGGGTTATATCGAGGGAGCGGTGCTATTCAAGATTGTGTGTGTATGTGTGTGTTATCAAGGGAGCTCTCCAAGCTTGAATAAGCCTTTTGTCTGCCTTGGCTGCTCTCTGCTCTGAGCCTTCTGTCCTCCAGGATGCTGTCTGTCTGCTCTGTTTGAATCACTGATAAAGGCCCTTCCTCTCCCTCCCTCAGCACCCTTCCTCTCCATCTTTCGCTCAACATTTCTCTATCATCTGCAGCCGCTCTCTCCAGATTTTGCCTTTTTTATTTTATTCGTCTTATCTCTTTTTATTCCCTCCCATCCCTCTCCTTCTTGTATGTTTGTTATCCTCTTGTTACGTCCCATTCCTCATCTTTGACTCGTCTTCCCACCACTTTGCCTCCCTTTTGCTTTTTCTCTCCATTTATTTTCCTCCCCTCTATTCCCTGAAGTTTTTCCTTTCCTTTCTTTCATCACCATCAATCTGCCCTCTCTCCTCTCTTCCTCCTCTCTTTCTTCCTCTCCGTACCCTCCTGCTGCAGTCTGCTCTGATAGAGATATCATGTGACAGAGACAGCTTTCTTATGATAATATTAGAAGTAGCTTGAACAGAGCACTGGCAGACCTTCTATAAAAAGATGACTGTTCTATTTCACATTTCTTTTCCTCTGAAGAGTTTTCACACTGAACTAGTGTGTGTTTAACTGGGACAGCTCTAAGGGTTTAATTGGAGATATACTTTAAATAAGTGCAATATTACTCCTGACTTTTCCCTCTGGATCAGTTAGCATGTCAGTCATGATTTCACTCTTGCATCTGACCACCTGTGTTTGAGACTTGTTTGGGTTGGGAGTGCGGTGAGTGACAGCTCTAGACAAATGTACAGTCTTAAGGCTAAATTCCAGCGGGCATGGCTGTATCATGTTCTGGCTGTGATGCGACCTGCATAGCTGACAGCGGGCACTCAAGTTAATGCTTCTGCCAGCGCTAGATTTGTCGCAGTGCCCTTCAGAAGGATCCTAGAGGCAGCTTTACACTGTGTGCACTGCATGAAACTGGTCCTTGTTAAGTGGTCTGACGCAAAGGGCAGAATGTTTGTGGACAGATGTGAAACATGGGGTCATCTATGTGGTCAGTTCCAATAATAACACTCTGCAGGCTGATAATCCTACATTTTGACATGATAAGGAGCAGACTGATTATCCACGCAGGCCAATTATTTGGCCCGATAAGATCAATTTATTAAAAAATGTGCTACCACAACATATTCTGGTTGGCTTAAAGTCGTACTAGCTAACTCCTGTATGTTAAATTATGGTTCAGTTCTTATCCAACAATAGCTAAAGGTGTTTAAACAAAGTTTGGGTAATAGTTTGTCAATTAAAAAAAATCTAAATTTGACAGAAAGTTTATCATTTTTTCTGTTAATGCATACTTTTTTCAAGTATTGGTTATGATGAACTTTTTAGAATTGGTGTCGGTGTCGGCCTGAGAAAACCAATACTGGTCAACCTCGCAACATCATATCAACATTATGTCAGGTGCTAGGGGTGGGAGGAATATTAGATACGACATAGTATCGCAATATTTTGTCTGGTGATATATCGAATCCTCTCATTTGCCAAGTATTAATTTTTCAAATTAATACTAAATATGAAGTCAAATCTATGATGATGGAAAAATAAAATCAACTGCTTGTCCAGTGAGGTTGGCAGAGGTGACATCATAGAGCAGAAGAGAGTTATTGCAACAAGTATATATGAGGTTAGCAAGATGTTCTAAATGAAAATAAAATGCTAAATTAGCTAAACAGTTGAAAAAATTGTATAAATCGCAATATATTGTATCACAATACTCACTGTATTGCAAAATGTTAAAAATCGCAATAATATTGTATTGTGTCCCAAGTATTGTGATATCGTTTCTTGGGGCCACTAGTGATTCCCACCCCTAGTGGATGCGCAAAACTTCTGGGAAAACTTGCTAAACTAACTTACTAAATCTAAGCAAGGCAGTCAAGTCATTCAAGTTTTCCAGCTTCTTAAAGGTGCTCTGCAGAGGAGAATGGTAAACCATGTTGCAGACCACACTTCAGTTATTTCCCCAGTAAAATCTCAACATCAGTGCTGCATTTTTTCCACAAAAGCATTTATCTTAAGTTTGTGTCCCATACTTCAAATTTGGATATGTGTTTGATTGACATGCTTTGAGAAGGCCGGACCCCGTAAATGAAAGGTTAAATTCTGATTTTTTTTTATATGTCCTCCTCAGCGATCATCGAAAATATGGCCGAGTTTAGACCAGGCCTGTGCACAGAGGCAGCTCAGCAGGGACTCATGCAGTGGCTGCTCAAGAGAATCAAGGTAAGAAAGCAGGAACTTCAATACAAGCGTTCACATCAGCGGCGTTTCACCATCCTGCGATATTGCGGCATTTATTTTTTCGTATCACGGTCAAATTTTCTAAAGTTTCACATACTGTGTGTCCACTTCTGACCAGTCACATTTCGTGTTGTTGCGACGTCAGATTCACCGGTATATCCAACATGGCCGACCGGCTGATTGTTTATGTGTCGCAGAACAGAGTGCTTTTTGATAAAAGACACACACATTACAAAGATAACGACCTGAAGGACAACTTGTAGAGAGTCATAGCATCGGATTTCTCATATGACGATAGTTTGTGTGCTTTAACAGTTTGCTAAAGGTCTTTGTTTTAACTTTCAACTGTGCTAAGTAACTTTAGCTCATAAGCTAACCTGTTCAGATACAACATACCATATGTATTTTCACTGTCTCACACCTGAGTTTCAAGTGTGATTTTTCCCTCTGTCAAATTGGAAGTATTGCTTGGCTAAATTGCCTGTAGAGTGCTGTGCACTTTGTGTAAAGCACAGGAAAAGATAGCTAGCAGAGGATGGTTTCGATCCATCGACCTCTGGGTTATGGGCCCAGCACGCTTCCGCTGCGCCACTCTGCTGCAAATCACCCCAGATAGGACTCAAACCCAAAATGCCTGGTTTAGGAAGCCAGTGCCTTATCTATTAGGCCACTGGGGCCTGTTAAAGGTGTTTGCCTGTGCTGTCCACATTCAGTGTGCTGTAGTTGTGAGACAACAAGCGTTAGAGAGGAACCATGATTTTTGTCTAAACTTTGTTTCATTTTTACCTTAAAGGTTGAATATGGAGAATGTTTTTTAAGTGCTATTTTTTTCGATACAAATAAGAACAACAAGAACGAACAATAAGAATAACTGTACAGGCACCAACCCGGGGAGCAATAAGTATTGCCACCCCTGCATGGTGCCTCTCACCAGTGGCAACTGCAGGGTAGAGTAGAAGAGAGTCCAACCTTACTCGAGAGGGCTGGTTCCAGAAGCCACACTGTGTGGAGGTGAGTCCAAGGATCGGACTGCCAAGGTCCCCCCCTCTTCTGCTGCAATACTCACACTGCACTCTACTCCTCTGGCCCCTCCTATGGGCCTCTACTGGCTGTGCCAGGCCAGGCCACCAGGCGCTTGTTATTGAGCGCCACTCCCAGACCTAGGTCCAGGTGGTGGCCCTGGTGACCTGTGTACGGGCCAAGGAAACACATTATCAAGTATTGTATTCTTCATTAGGTTCGTATTTGGGCTACCCTTAGTCTGATCCCTCCCCCAGGAACTGTTTGCCATGGATGACCCTAACAGAGGCATAAAGCCCCCGACAATTTAGCTCCTGGGATCATTGAGACACGCAAACCCCTCCACCACGTTAAGGTGGTAGCTCGATGAGGGGATTTTTTTTTTGTATTTGTATTTTTGGGGGGTTTTTTTGTATTTTTTTTTTGTTTTTTTTTATTTATTTTTTATTTCTATTTTTTGTTTTTTTGGTTTGTTGTTGCTTTTTGGTGTGTGTGGGAAAACCGGAGCTATCCCGGAGGAAACCACACAGACACAGAGAAACATGTTAAGTCCTGACTGACAGAAAGCAGTCGCTTCAGTTTGTCAGGACCTGACATGGTCCTCTGTGCCTACCTATTGGCCTGTGATGGCCTGTGTGTGTGTGTGTGTGTGTGTGTGTGTGTGTGTGTGTGTGTGTGTTTGTTTTTATGGTGTGGGGTTAGGGGTTGGGGTTTTTCATCTTTTCATCCTTCATCTGCTGCTTGTATTGGCGCCGATGTTTAGGAGTCAATCCCTTTTTAACCCTCCTCCACCAGGAGATCTCCATCTGAGGTGTTTCTTCGATGGTCTTGAGTGTTGCTCCAAAGATCTCCATCTCAGGTGTTTCCTCGATGGTCTCAGGTGTTGTTTTGGAGACCTCCTCCATCTCAGGGATTTCTTCCAAGGTCCCGGGGGTTGCTCCAAAGATCTCCTCCATCTGGGGTGTTTCCTCAATTGTCTCGGGTGTTATTTTGGAGACCTCCTCCATCTCAAGTGTTTCCTCGATGACTTCTGGTATTGAGCTGCAGATCTTCTCCATCTCTATGGATTCTTTGATGGTCCAGAGTGTTGCTCCAGAGATCTCCATCTCAGGTGTGTCTTCGATGGTCTCAGGTGTTATTTTGGAGACCTCCTCCATCTCAGGGGTTTCCTCGGTGACCTCGAGTATTTTTTGGAGCTCAACTAGGCCCCTGCGCAGGGCCTGACAGACCTCTTCCTGGTCTTCTAGATTGGATGCCAGTTTGAAGCAGGTGCTGTTTGCTTCTGTCAGCTGACTGTTTAAGGTCTCCAGCTGATCTTCACAAAACTTCTCTCTGCTTTGGGCCTCTCTCTGCAGCTCCCTCACCTTCTGTTTCAGAGACTCGTTTTCTGTTGTCACCTCCTCAATCAGCTTCCGTTCTTTGCCATTTTTGTCCAGAAGCTGATGCCTGACTTCCTCCAGTTGTGCCATGAGGTCGTCAGCCATCTGCCCCTTTTCCTGCAGAAGAATATTTTTGGAAGCTACAATATCAAGGGTCTCTTGAATCTTGGTGAGATAAATTGATTCAGTCTTTGAAATCTCCTCTGCCCTTCTTGAAACTTTACCGCGGATTACCACGGAATTATGAAGAGGGGTCAGGTATACCTTGCTTACCTCCTGCTGTTTTTGCTGAGCTGCTGGCTGAGTGGGGGGCTGTGTTGGTTGTTTTTGCTGGCAGCTGCTGTTAACCTGATGGACTCCCAGCTGTCTTTGGTTAGAGGCCTGGTGGTTAACCAGGCGGATTACCACGGAATTATGAAGAGGGGTCAGGTATACCTTGCTTACCTCCTGCTGTTTTTGCTGAGCTGCTGGCTGAGTGGGGGGCTGTGTTGGTTGTTTTTGCTGGCAGCTGCTGTCAACACTGGCCCCTGGCATTGTATTAATCATCTCCACATCCTCCAACTCCATCATATCTGCCCAGTTCATGGGCTGTGTTTCCTTGTTGTTCTGCATTGTGGTTTGTAAATGAAGAACAGTGAAAAAAATCTCTCAAGTCTTCTGGACTGGTCTCTTTGGATGGTCTCTGTAGATGCTCTGTGTATACAGTCTCTGTATACTCTCTTTGTATGCGGTCTCTGTAAAGGTTCTCAGTAGATGCTCTCTGTAGACGGTGTGGTCTCAGATCAAATCTATGGAATAACAAGCTGTGGCTCGGCTCATATATATCGACTCTAGATGCCTTCGATGATGATGATGTCATTGTGACATCACTCTAAAGGGCTTTGATGATGTCATTGTGACATCACAATTCTTTTCCCTTGATTTTTTTTCAAATGTAAACAACTTTATTTACAACATATCCCAAACATTACAGCATTAAAACGGGGCTCGAGGTATGTTATAATCACAATGAATTGCAATTAAATTAAACAAATATTGACAGACCAGTTACAATAGGTGAAGAGTAAAACAAAATTGTAAATCCAGTTCATCATAATGATGAACTGGATTGTGTTGACTGTCTGTGAAGTCATAAAAACAAAATGGCTGCCCAGCTCCAGTGGACTGCTCAACCCAACACTTTTTTTTTGTAAACAAATTTTATTGAAAATTTTATTGACATTTTTAAAGTTTCAATACACTATGGTGACATACCATGCTTTAACAATAAATCTGTAAATAATATGTATAAATATATATACATAAATATGTGTATGTATGTATGTATATATGTGTATATGTGTATATATGTATATATGTGTATATATATGTGTATATATGTGTATATTTATGTGTATATATGTGTATATATGTATATATGTGTGTGTATATATGTATATATATGTATATATGTGTATATATGTATATATGTGTATATATGTGTATATATGTGTGTATATATGTGCATATATATGTATGTATATATGTGCATATATGTATGTACTGTATGTATGTACATATATACATATGTATATATACACTCACCGGCCACTTTATTAGGTACACCATGCTAGTAACGGGTTGGACCCCCTTTTGCCTTCAGAACTGCCTCAATTCTTTGTGGCATAGATTCAACAAGGTGCTGGAAGCATTCCTCAGAGAGCTTGGTCCATATTGACATGATGGCATCACACAGTTGCCGCAGATTTGTCGGCTGCACATCCATGATGCGAATCTCCCGTTCCACCACATCCCAAAGATGCTCTATTGGATTGAGATCTGGTGACTGTGGAGGCCATTTGAGTACAGTGAACTCATTGTCATGTTCAAGAAACCAGTCTGAGATGATTCCAGCTTTATGACATGGCGCATTATCCTGCTGAAAGTAGCCATCAGAAGTTGGGTACATTGTGGTCATAAAGGGATGGACATGGTCAGCAACAATACTCAGGTAGGCTGTGGCGTTGCAACGATGCTCAATTGGTACCAAGGGGCCCAAAGAGTGCCAAGAAAATATTCCCCACACCATGACACCACCACCACCAGCCTGAACCGTTGATACAAGGCGGGATGGATCCATGCTTTCATGTTGTTGACGCTAAATTCTGACCCTACCATCCGAATGTCGCAGCAGAAATCGAGACTCATCAGACCAGGCAACATTTTTCCAATCTTCTATTGTCCAATTTCGATGAGCTTGTGCAAATTGTAGCCTCAGTTTCCTGTTCTTAGCTGAAAGGAGTGGCACCCGGTGTGGTCTTCTGCTGCTGTAGCCCATCTGCCTCAAAGTTCGACGTACTGTGCATTCAGAGATGCTCTTCTGCCTACCTTGGTTGTAACGGGTGGTTATTTGAGTCACTGTTGCCTTTCTATCAGCTCGAACCAGTCTGGCCATTCTCCTCTGACCTCTGGCATCAACAAGGCATTTCCGCCCACAGAACTGCCGCTCACTGGATATTTTTTCTTTTTCGGACCATTCTCTGTAAACCCTAGAGATGGTTGTGCGTGAAAATCCCAGTAGATCAGCAGTTTCTGAAATACTCAGACCAGCCCTTCTGGCACCAACAACCATGCCACGTTCAAAGTCACTCAAATCACCTTTCTTCCCCATACTGATGCTCGGTTTGAACTGCAGGAGATTGTCTTGACCATGTCTACATGCCTAAATGCACTAAGTTGCTGCCATGTGATTGGCTGATTAGAAATTAAGTGTTAACGAGCAGTTGGACAGGTGTACCTAATATAGTGGCCGGTGAGTGTATGTATATATGTATGTATATGTATGTATGTATATATATGTGTGTATATATGTTTATATATATTTACTGTATATGTATATATGTGTATATATGTATATGTCTATTTATTTGATTATTATTATTATTTGTCTATTTAAATTTTAATCTGATTCATCATGATGATAGATTAATCCACTAAACGTTTTAATAAATGTTGCTGGCAGAGCTGTGTAACATTTTATATGCCTCTTCCCTTGGCCAGTTTGCACTTGCAAAAGAGACCCGTCTCAATGTGATATTACTGGTTTAATAAAGGTTAAATAATTTTAACAGCAGTGAAATGTATGTGTGTGTTTGTGTGTTTGATGTAAAAATAAAAATGGGCTTACTTTCTTGTAGTTTAAGTTTATTTTCTGAGATTTCAGTTGTTTGAGAAAGTGTTTCCTGAAAATGATTCGTATTTGTAATTTGCTCTCTTCTACCTCTCCTCTCAGGCAAAGATGCCGTTTGATGCTAACAAGCTGTACTGCAGTGAAATCTTGGCTATCTTGCTGCAAAACAATGACAGTAAGTGTGTCTCGCTAAATGGTCGGTGGTTTCCAAATGATGCTAATTTATCATCTGCTTTTCCGCCTCCTCCCCTGAGCTTCCTCAAGCAGGCCCTGTTTCTTTCCATTTTCTTCCCTCTACAAGTCTCCACCTCTCTCTTTCCATTTTTCCTTTTCTTTTTCCTCCCAGGTCCCTACTTTTTTCCCCTCCTCCTTGTCTACTTGCAGTCTCCTTCACCCTTCCTTCCCTCACTGAAACCCGGTACTGCTTCAGATAGCCACAGGACTATCAGGTCCTTGGACAGGTTTTCATTAATGCTGAAAACCATATTCATATTCAGAGGGAGTCGTGTTTCACTTTCTCCTACACTTCAGCTTGTGTTGCCTCTGTTAATCCTCTCCCTCCTGCCCTTCAAAAACAAAATCTAACTTTATGAAAAATGTCTTCCATGTGAGTAATGTTCCCCATTAAAATACTGCCATTCACTTGAAGTAAGAAAAAAAGGAAAATCACATGACTGCTATTAAAATATAACAATTTGGGAAAATCCTTGATGTGCTAATTTGAATGTAATTATCACTGCCTCTTGTCAAATCAGACTTAAAAAGCCCCTCTGAAGGGTTTATATGTGAAAATACTCATGCAGCAAATGAGAACATTTGATCCCAACTAATTAAGACCCTGTAGATTTACAATTTTTCGAATGAAATTCTGTTGCTGGTGACGGAAACTTTGCAGCACAGAGAAAGTCAAATGAATAGCAGAAAGTAAAAACTGGATGAAACATCATGCTGATTCACAGGATTTCCTCACGTTTAAAGGACCTCCATCAAGACAAGAACTTAAGGGTGCTCTCACACCTGGATCAAGCTGTTCTGAAATAGAGTTGTGTCCCTCTTTGGCCTGGGTCATTCTGACATATGTGAACACATTAATCATAACTCCAAGATTGCTAGAAAAGTGGTTTGCCTTGCCCCAGTTAGACCGCAATCAACCCAGCAACTAGAAAAGCTGCAGCAGCAGATAGTTTGAAGTAATGAGCAGAAAAAAGGCAACAGGCCTCCAGTTCAGAAGAGCTGGTGCTGATTGTAGCAACAATACTGAGCTTGACAACAGCTTGTGGCCAGCGATGGGTGTGGAGAACCATTATTTTTTGGTACCAGTCTGTGATTGGTTAATTTTGAATGTACTGTTAAGCTAATGGACAGACGGCGTGTTGTGTCTTGAAGTAGGAAATGATAACAGTGTGGTCTTTCATTTAACCCTCAGTTCCTGCCATTAAAACTCAAACCCTGCAGGTTCCTCACTAAATCATTCTCAGAGAAGTTTTAGTGGATCTTAAATGCTGAAGAAGTGTGATTGATCAGTGTACAAAGTGTGACTGCAGCCTCAATAACCTTTGAATTCACTAAAAAGTAGACCTGTTTTGTGTAGGCGTAAAACCATTTACAGTAATAACTCCTGTGTGAATGTAGCTGTGTGTGTCCTCGTTTTTCTACATCCTCTGGAGGTCCCTTGTGGCCAATGTGTTGTCAGTGTTTTGCTCATCATGTGTCATTGTGGCACTACTGTCACCCCCCCCCCCCCCATTCTTTGACTGTTTCCTTTTTTCTCTCCTTCATTTATTCTCTTAAATTTTCCCCCTGACTGTTGTCTCTTCTCACAGCTGCTCCCTAAACGTCTGTTTTCTGCAGCAATCTCAATTTAATCTCCCTGATGTCCTGTTCGTCCATTTTTATCTCTTCGTCTTTCTGTTTTTCCACAGATACTAGAGAGCTACTGGGAGAGATGGATGGCATTGATGTGCTGCTGCAGCAACTTTCTGTAAGTTTTGCCTTTTGCTCTTTGTTTCTGGTTTGCCCTACCAGGTTGTCTGTTTAAGTTTTGTATTTACAACTTAGTTTTTTTATTACACCGTGAGCATCCTCTGACTCAAGATTGTGGGATATTACTCTAACCCTGAGGTTTAGACTATTTATAACCTGAGGCTAACTCGAAAGCCCAATACTGCAGCTTCCTCTGTCTTTGGTCCACCAGTCAACTGGAAGTACTTATGAATCCGCCACGCTAAGTGATACAGCCCTTAATGTGGCTCAGAGGACAGAAGAGAGAGGGGCTGATATGGACCTTAAAACAGTCCCTAAGGGGGTCTCAACTGCATAATATTAAAGTTTTCTAGCTGATCTACAATTATCTAATTTTTACAGTATCCTGTTTTATTAAAGTTACTACAATTACACATGTGCAGACACAAAGAGCTGACTGACAGCTGATCCAGCAATGATCAACTGATGCATGCTTTATAAGCGGGCACTACTTCTGGAGGAAAGCATGGCTTATCCTCTCTTGGTTTTTGTGTACCTCTTTATGCATCTCTGGTGGGAGGGACTTAAACCCAAGTGAATGGTGCAAATCAGGGTTGCCAGTGTGAAACGTAAGAGCGATGAGACATAGCCTACTTTAGCTCTCTTCTCTACTATGTTCCCTCTGATCGACATGTAATCGGCTGTTATAGGTCATCCATATAATGGTTTGTCTCACCAAAGTCAGTAGGTTTTTTCCTCACGCAGTCTATCTTTCTCCCAGTTTTGATACAGACCTGCCTGATTTTTTCATCCTCTTACTCTATCCTCTCGGCATTAAAGCAGTTCATACACCTCACATTTATAAAAAATTCAAACAATTTTTAGCGTGCTTTTTTGTCATTTCCCCCATCAGGTCTTCAAACGTCACAACCCGTCCACAGCTGAGGAGCAAGAAATGATGGAGAACCTCTTTGACGCTCTATGTTCCTGCCTTATGCTGCCAGCCAACAGGGACCGCTTCCTGAGAGGCGAGGGGCTTCAGCTGATGAATCTCATGCTGAGGTGAGGCCCCAGCACGTCGTATGAAATGCTTGTAGTTTGATTCTCTCACAGGAATTCTCTTATGGAAATGAACTACAGTTTTGAGTTTCGAACATGTAGTTTTCCTCACCGTTGCCTCTGTGGAAGTGTTGCTACATTTCTTACTGTGTTGTTATCAGGGAGTCGTGCAGAACAGGCTGCAAGTTTCTTTGATTTTTTCCCACGTGCAAAGACACGTGCCCTTGAAGGTGATACAAACTTAAGGAGACTGGTGGAGAGAATTGCTCTTTAAAGAATTAATGTTAATGTCAGTGAAGCAGCAGTGAAGCAGACAATGTTATTGCTGTTTGTAGTTAGGCCCCATAGGCCCCTTTGTAGCAGTTGATGGTTCAGATCCCTGGCAGTAACCCTCCGTCAAATGTCTGTCCTCGCTCCTTACCACCCACATTCCCAGATTCCTCAGAATAATACCCCCCCCAACAAAAAGGTCATTTTCTGTAGGACTCTTTTCTCAGAAGATTTCAGACATGTTAATTTTGGCTCAAGTCTTTCCGGGGCAAAAAAGTTGGCCATATACTTTGGTAGAGTGTATTTGCATGGAAGATTATGCTGCAGCCGTTCCAGCTCCTTTTTCAAACACTATCTTTGGTGCTTGTAAGTTGATTAGATATGTAAAATTAGACCTTGGTTGATTTAAAGCAGAAATCCTTTTTTGGATAATCGTTTAAATTCGGCTTTAATAGTGCAGGTATTTTTTTAACCCTGTTGAAAAAGTTCTGTAACTTTAATACTAGAGCTGCATTTGCTGCATAAGCAACAACAAAGCTTGAATAACTTAAAATTGAATCATCTTGGTTGAAGATAAAAGAAAAATTTTGTTTCATTCAATAGCTGAGATTATAGATTTGTTTTCACACAATTTTAGAGACACAAATGCATAATATGACAAATATCGCCGCTAAAATAATCACCTGCTACCACTTTGCTGAAGTGCAGCAAGATGGAATTCACAATAAAATGCAGTAAGCGCTTCAGTGCTGTAAGAAATTCATATTTAGAAAGAAAATCTGCAGTTATGAGCTCACAGAACGTCTCCAGATATATGATCCGGCCCCCACAGCTCAGTTATGAACTGTTTCTTCTTCCCTGAGCTTTCTGCACTGTGAGTCCCCACATCAGAACAGGCTGTAGTTCAACACAGAATAGCACATCTTTCTACTCTTACGCCCAGTGAGACTCCTGCCCCAATCAATCAACAGTTGGTGGAGTGCAGCAAATGCAGAGATGTGACCTTAAAGAGTCATAAAGACACATCACGCGTATTTATGAAACCTTCACAGCCTCTGCACCCCTGCGCTGATAATCACATCTCTCGTCACGTAGATTTAAGGCCTGGATCAATATCTCATTATTGGAATGCAAAAACACTTTTCTGTTAAATCATCCACCAGGGAAACATGGAAAAAAAGAAGAGGAGAGGAAAGAGAGGGCAGAATGAATGCAGAAGTGGCTGTTTTAAGCTCTTTCCGGTACTTGTTTACTGCATAAATAAATGCCTGTATTTTATGAATCATGCATATGTATCCTGTTTGGAAAGTTAACCACCATTTCTTTTTTTATCTCTCTCCACTGAGTTTACTAACTTGCACAATTTTTGCGATGTACTTAACTGACCGAGTTACTCTTCAGCTTAGCAGAGTCTCTGGTTTTGCAGCGTATCCTTCATTTCCAGATTTTTAAAATTCATCAGCTCAAGCTTTCAAACCAAGACAGAATACAGGTGCCAAAGAAATGGAGAATAAAAATGAGAAAGTAGAAAAAAAAGGCATCTCCACTGACTGAGACGCGTTTATTAGTTTTCCATCAAAACCTCCATTTCAATTCCAACCAGGCCTCCCCAACTTTGTGCTACATATGGATTTCACACCTGCTGTCTTGATGAATTCTGGGTACAGCTGAATGTTTGTCAGACTACAAACTTTTTCCTGAAGCAGAGCTGTACTTCTGCCATCTTGTTCAAGTTTCATTCACGTAGTTCATGACACAATGTTGGCTAATACGGGCAGTTTAAGTAAAGTATCTTTCAAGTAGTATTCACACATGCTTGAAACTCCCGACATCTTGCTGAAGTATTTGAGGTGGGCTGCATGTGTGAACACAAACATGGAGAGCTTCGTCCAGGATTCCCCCTGCCAGCCCCTCCGTAAAATTTCTGCAGAAAGTTGAGTGAAGCCTACATGAAGCAGGAAATATAAACAGGTAGAGCTGTTGCATTACACAATAATATTGACAATAACCATCTTTGAAGATTTATAATGATATCATGCAACCCATCTAAACTTGTAAGAGTGATATGCAACAGGATAGATAAAAACGTTGGATGTTAAGAATAGATAAATCAAGTTTAAGGCTGTTTTTTTTGTTCGACATCTGGGCCTTAAGAGTGATCAGGTCAAGATTCAGTCTCACCAAGACTTTGATACTGATCATGATTACTCTCCTGCTGTCATGCATCTGCATGTAATCAACTGTGGGGAGGCAACAGCGTAGTTCACGATGCCAGGATGTTGAGTCAGGTCAACTGTCTAAATGCTGAATCGCCCAGTTTCCCTTCAGAAAGTACATTGTGTATCAGCCCCCCACCCCACCCCACCACAGCCCCTCGGCCTCTCCAGCCGTCCATCATACATAATGTGCCTGTCTGGAGAACCAGACTGAACTGCTGAAATATGTGTCCCTCCTCTGAGATAAACACTGTCATCTGTCATTGGTGGAAATGGAGGAAGTGACACAGTGACTGACAGCTACATTTCCTGAGAGGGGGCATGGGGTGTGGGGGTGCAGGACACGGACACATCAGGAAACAGTTGGTTCCACTTACAATCTTGATTCGCTAAAGGAAAGCAAAAGTGTCCACTTTTCAGTTTTTGGTGTCAACATTATCAGTTTTTAGTGACAGTTGATCGTCTGACTAATTGGCTCAATAACTGCTTGCCAGTTTCCTCAAAATTCAGCATTTTTTCCCTACGAAGATAAAATTTCTCATTTTTTTTGTGCTGTTAGATTTTGAGCTTGCCAATGAGTGGTGGGCAGTGGGTGGTTTTAAGTACTAGAGAAAAAAAAAACACTGAAACTGTTATAGTACAGGATTAGCTCTAGTTTGTTCTGTGATTGGCTGACAGTACCAACCTAAACTAATCCAGTGAATAAGAGATGTAAACAAAAAGTAATTCTCGTAAATCTTAAGAAAGCTGTTTATCAAATGATACAAGAACATTCAAATATTTGTACCTCACATTTTCCTGTTGAATTGGTTCATGATTAGGTCCATTCTTCACAAATCATCAGCGTTATTCACACCCCTATGCACCATAAAAAACCACCACTCAGTGTGCGTCTGTATGAGCAAATCATCCAACAATGCCAGAACTACATTTTCAAAGGCTTCAGCATCTGAAGCTCCGAATATCGTGGAAAATTTTAGAGGATCTCGAGAAATCTTCTGTGGTCTGACAAGTCAATACTTGACATTCTTTTTGGAAATCATGGACTCTACTAATGCTGGACAATATGTCTTCGGCAAATTAATGCCAAACTAATTTCTTTTTTTTTTCATATCAAGACATCATGGTTTCTTAGGAGAGGAGTCCAGGGCCTTAACTGGTCTGCCAGCAGCCCCAAGTTATCATTCACTGAAAACATTAAGTGCATCATGAAACCAAAAAACCATGACGAAGGACAACGCAGGCTGTTGGGTGGTTGAAATCTTATATCAGGCAAGAAAGAGGCAACATTGAACTTTGAAACTCCTGGTTTCTTTGGTGTACAAACATTTACAGATTTTAACTAGTCCAACTAGTTTTAGAATTTGAATTAGGTCATAAATCAGCCTTGTAATCTATTTTATTTTTGTGTCTAGAAAAAGAAAAGTTGGAAATCTGTGAGGGCAAAAAGTGAATGCCTGATAACTTATTAAACTGTTTGCGTTTGTATTTCTAGCTTGCTGTCTGTTGTAGTTGTGAGTTCTGATACATTTCATTAAGCCATCAGGTTTCCTGAGCACCTCTTTTAAACTTTCCGAATACCGTTGAAAAACATTAATTACCTCTGACTTGAGTTTCATTTCCCCCTCTGCTGCAGAGAAAAGAAAATGTCTCGAACCAGTGCTCTGAAGGTCCTGGACTATGGGATGATTGGACCCGAGGGAACAGATAATTGCCATAAGTTTGTGGACATCCTTGGCTTGCGAACCATCTTTCCACTATTCATGAAAACCCCTAAGAAGATGAAGAAAACTGGTACTTCAGAGAAGGAGCATGAAGGTCAGTCTTTAATTAGAACAGAGCAACAAAAAACGCGATCTCTACACTGCATTAAGCTATGTGTCGGCCTGATTAGACCTGTTATAAGGCCAAGCGGTGAAAGCTGTGATGTACATGTCAGACTATAAGACATGAACTGTCACTTAAGCTTGATGATAAAATATTATATCTAACAGATAAAGAAAAAACGTGAATGGAACCAAACCGCTCAGGTAAAAGGGGTACTAGTTGGCTGATAATATAAAATTTTTTGATCCTTATTACAGAACTGAAATAAAAATAACATTACTTCTCTCTCAGAATGTGTTGTTTGAACAGAAGGTGGTTGTGGAAGAAAGACAGAGTTGAAAATATTTTGGAATTATGATGATTTGATTATGTATTACTGTATTACAGAGTTAACTGTTTTAGAATATAACAGTCATCTACATGAAGTACCAATCCTTCTGTTTGGTTTTTCTGTCAGTTGTGGCCCAGACTTCTACTCCTATACTGGGTTCAGATTGCCCACATCAAAACTGGGAGAGTGAAGGGTTACCTCCTATTGTCCGGATATGTCCACTGAATGATGATGTGGTCTTAAGCTGTGGTCTGACACCTACGCCATGGCAGAAGTTTCAGTGGTATCAAAAATAAGTACATGGAAATAATTGATCTAGTCCCTGGTGGTCTTGTTTACTTCTGTAGGTCACTGAGAGGCTTCAGTTTTAATTTCAGTCATTTTCATAATCAGTTAATAACTTCTGACTCTAAACACTTTTATTTAATTTTAATTTGAAGCATCTCTTTATATTTTATTCAGTACAGATTAAATTGATATCACTAATGTCAGCGAAATGATTTCCGTTTTCTTCCACTGCAGTGCAGTGTGTGGTCACACCTGTTTCCTGCAGACATACTCAATCCTAATCTGCTCATGTATCACGCTTTGCTGCCTCTGTGGCCTGTCAGTTTACACTATCAATCCAATCTTGATTGATTTTCCTGCCTTCACCCTCAAACCTCTCTTGTCTCCGAGTGAGACATCGGAAGTGCAAACAAGAGCCAGGGAGAGAAAGAGAGAGAGAGATAGATTGGAAGTCCATATGATGCAGGGTGAGAAAATGAAAAAGAGGCAGGGAGTGAAAGAAACCCTGTCCATCTCTCTTCTCTTTGTTTGATCTCCTTCCCCCAAAATGTGGAACCCCCTCCCCTCCCTCTGTCTATATTAATTAAGTTTGGTTCATCCCGAGGAGCTGTCCAGCCCTGCAGAGAAGAACAAATTGTCTTCCATTGTGTCCCATCGTACCCAGGGACTAGATGAATTAACCTCTGACCTCCTTGAGCAGCAGGAGGAAGAGTAAGGAAGATAACCCGTCCTAACAGTCAGACCTTTCCCCCGTGTGTGTTGAAGCTCCTGGCAAGGCAGACACACACTTAAAAGACAGACTTTAAAGAGAAGTGTGAAAACACACCCTGAAGGTTGTGTTTCTCTCTGAGGTTTGGGAAGAGTGGTGCGGATTTGTATTTCTCCACCTGCAACTTAAGTCCCACACTATGACGGGGAATTGAAAATCAGTTTGATGCTGCAAACACCGGTAAGCACATGAAACCTCCTGGTCTGGATAGTTGAAGGTGCTTCAAAGCAGAAGAGTGCTTCATGTTTCACAAGGAACTCTGCAAAAGAAAACACGCTGACCTTGTTGGATTCATGTTTTTATACTTGAGACATATGCAGTACAAAAAAGATGAAAGGTTTTTCCATAATTTTAAAAGATAAATTCACATACATTGACAGGGTTACTGTGATAGTTGCAGCACTGTGGCTTGTTCTCTTTTTAATACACATTGAGAGTTACTTCTTCACCATTGTCCTCCACACTTACACTGTTTTCTTGTTACTGAAAAAGGGTCAATAGATGTCACAAAGCAAGGAAAGTTTAGGGGAGATGATCAGCAGCCAAAGTGCAGCAACTCCTGAAAATTAAAGACAGTCACTTAAAGTCAACTGTGTTTGGTAAAGTGGGGAACTCTGGGTACAGGGTCCTCTGATTCAGGAAGGTCCTGAAATACTGTAGTATCAGGACTTATTCTTAACATCAGGTTGTTTTTACACTCCTGATTAGGACTGGGCAATAAGGCCTCCAATCAATATCACGATATATTGTGCAGTTACATGGATGATACATACTCCACAAGCTGCTCACCCCCTCCCACATTAACTCCGTCTACTTCAGCCGCCGCTCCAGCCGCTACAACTTTTGAACCGTCCTCCATCTCCTGTTTTTCCCTCTTTGTTACAAACTAGATGGGGTGGAGTCACGTCTCCGACGTAGGACAGCATCTTAAAAGGACATGAGACCATAGCCTACCTTCACACATCCAAAACCAACTTTTATTTCTTTATTTTTTGACACCGAATTTACTGATATGGGCAAAATGACGTCGGTTATTGTCGTAAATTTTGGTATCTGTAAATTTTCGGTTTATCACCCAGCCCTACTCCTGATTTATTACCGGGTAACTAGGAGTGGTCATTCTCGTTTTTAGTAGTCCGTTGTAAACTCTGGGTTTTTAAAGGGTCCTCCTATGTCTGCTGCATGTTATAGGCATTTTCAGATTGACTCATTCTGTCGTTTGTTGTGTCTTTCCAAGCCTGCAGACCCAAACAGCTCAAAAATTTGCTGCAAGATTCAGTAAAAGCTTGAGAAACTAAAGTTTATCAACAAGGCAAGTTTTCTTACAAAGCAGCGATTTTGATTGTCGCAGTACATCTCAAGTTGATTTTTAAGCAGGATATTATGTTATTTGAAGCACAGCTTTAAGGATTTGATGCCTTAAATTATGTTGGATAAAATTCCACAATTTTTAAGTGTTTTATACTGCTGATTGTACAAAACAGAACATGTAAAGCACTCAGCTCTGTAATGAGTTTCCCATAATTAATTCATGTTCCCATTTTTATGATGACAGTTGGAGCTTTTATAGAATTTCCCATCATGTCTCCATCGATTCCCCTAACAACTATAGGCCTAATGAGATGACTGTCGTAATATAAAGCCGATTGAGTGAACCCTCCTTCTTAGAAAGGCGACTAATTGAAAATGCTGTGAATCAAGTGGTTCTCCAGAATAACACAATAACACAGTAGATTAATTAACTATCAGCCACCTCAAACAAAAGTAATTAGGAAGTACGGACCTCTCTGTCCTTCTTTTCTTATAGCTCTCTCTCACATTCAAGCCACAGCTCTCTCGATCATAAACCTCGGTGCGGAGATTGATCCCCGTGAAATCCTTCTTGCAATTGACTCAGCCTAAATGACCAGGGATTGCCAGACCGTATTAGCATACAGAGCAGCATAATTAATAGTGACACTGTAAATGAAAGTGTAAAAAAATAGTTGAAGAAAGTTAGGAGAAAGCAAACAGTGAATTGCTTGTCTCTCCGCATGAATATTCTGGTCACGGCGCGGCTGTTCACCTTGCTTTTAGGGCCTCGTTTTATTGGTGTATGTGCTCTGTCATTACCAGCGGAATGAGACTGTATGATGGAAATTGGTGGCAGACGGTTGTTATATTTAGGTGGCTAATGATGCGTGCAGCCATGAGAGGGAGCAGAAGTAAACAACTAATTTACATGGTGTGACACAATAGTCATAGCTATGTCTCCAGCCCCGGCTAGATAAACGCATTGCTTTATGTGCGTGTGAGTGTTTTTGTGGTTGAACGAGGGTGCACAGGGAACGAACACAGCCCCTTGTAGCTGATGTGTCTTTATTGCCATAGAAAACCCTTTTGCATGTAGACCGTGCCCTTTCAGTGACCCTTGTTTTCTAATGAGATCACTAAAATAGGTAATGAGCGAGGCATGCTGGCAGGAAGAGACCTGCATTACAAAACATGTCACATTTTATGGTAATGCAGCTCAATTGGAAGCACGCAGAGCAGAGGCAAAGAATGAAATAGGATGCTTTGATTGAAACATTTCCCTCCTAAATTATGACGGTTTCATTACAAAGATAAAACTCTGAAATTTATAAGCCCTTACTTAATCTTCTGTATCTCCTCTGGTATAGGAAGAAAATGAGGATTTAGGAAGCATGACTTCATAGCAGAATATATGAGCCCAGATAAGTGCCTCTAACAGAGAAACTTATCTTGCTTTAATGATGAAACTTCCATCACACATTTCAGTCTAAAGCAGAGAATCAAAAGACGCTCTGGTTTGATCATCCCTTCTCCCAGCTGTGAGCGCCTTTGGCACAGATTGAGATCAGTAACATTTTACATGGTACAAGTTTGATTGTAATCTGTTGTCAGACTCATGCTGTGTAATCCTATTATTAGTGCATTTCAGAGGGAGAGATTTACAGTCAGATCCTTGTGTGAAGACGCATCTAATTAACATCTTCAGGTTTGGTCTATCCCCTGATGGGCATTGATAGTGTTTCTTTTGTGTAAACTGACACTATTTATGGGTACATATGAAGTTCAAAGGAGTGCATATGATAACTGGATATTCATTATTTTTGTTAGTAAGTTGCAGTTGTTTCTTTTTATCAAGTATATTTTTTATAATAATGATAATAACAATCTGCCTAACAAAAGCAATGAACTGGAGATATTGTTGAAGACTGAGCAAGCATACTGTGGGTATGCTTCAAAACAACTCAGACTCTTGTGTGGATCTACCTGGCTTCACTCTCATAAGATCAGACAGAGATGCTAAAGCTAGTGGTAAGAAGAAAGGAGGAGGTCTGGCTCTATTTGTCAACCAGAGATTGTGTAACTCTTTACATATAACTGTCAAGGAGAAGTTGTGTTGTCCAGATATTGAACTGTTGGCAGTTGCTCTTTGGCCATATTATATTCCAATGGAGCTCAGTCATATCATAACAATACTTGTTTACATACCACCTAAGGCAACGGCTGAATTTCCATGTGATGTTCTCCATTATACTGTTGCCAGGACACAGACTCAACACCCTTAGGCACTTATAAAACTATCAGGAGGATGAGATTCCAGACAAAGAAATTTCCCTGTGCAGATCAATAAAGTTCTTGTATTGTTATAATGTTTATTTAAAGAGGTATTACAAAGTATTAAAGCTCACAATACAAGAGTAAACAGGGAGACATACCAGAGACATACCCTTCTGAAGAAGAAGACAATACAACACAAAATAAGGGTTGAAATAATAGAAGAGGAATTATAAAAGCAATGGATAGAAGAAACAACAAATTAAAAACAACAAAAATACTAAATGAATAAAGTTTTCAGAAGTGACCTAAAAGGAGACACTGATGTAGTCTTTGACTTTGCATAGTAGCGGGTGTTTTAAGTCTGTGGATTTGAATTTAGTCTTGCAATCACAGTCCTGTTGTTTCGATCTTCATACCATTTGCGCAACATTTAATGGCAGCTTTCAAATCAAATTCTTATGAACATTGATGAATTCTTGCTCTGTAATGCTGTTTTGCCTTTGACAGTTATCTTACTCTTTTTTTGAAACGGATGAAGTTTATAGGTATTTCATTTTACTTTACAAAGCTGTCTTTTTTGACTCTCGTTGGAGGCTGCAGGTATGTTTCTATCACTTATATTGACTCTGCAAGATAACAAAATGTTTATAAAAAGAGCTAGCATGTACAACATGTTGTGCTTTTTATTTGTCCTAACCCGAGAGCCAAAAAATGTTTTCTGCTCTGTCAGACAGTGAACACAGTCTGAAGAAACTCTTGACAGACTAGCCTGTGGTGCTGTGAGGCTGATTGCTCTCCCCAGGGCACAGCTAGTCCAGGTCAATTCTGTCTGTCATTGGAGCACTACCTATCTGTTCTTCATGTCATTCAGGGCTAAACTGCTCTTCCTTCAACTGTCAATCAATAAATGAATCCAGGCCACTCAGGGCTATTTGCATTTTAACTCAGTGCTTTGGTTCCTCTGGGGCCATAGATGAGGAAATCGCTGAATGATTAGTGGATGGTGATCGAAAGCTAGCTCATGGGCATGCACAGTGTTATCTGAATGCAAATATACCTCCAGCAGAAGTTCACAGAGAACTTGTTTACTGATGTAAAGCAGTTCAATGTGATGGATGGTTTTCATTTATTTCCTTTTGGAGTTGCAGTTTCAGTTAACATTAAGAGGACTTATGAAGTTAAAGTCGGCTCAAGTTCTGTCCCGCTCATACAAAGTTTCTGATGCTTGCGGGTCTTTTAAGTAAGCTTTCTGAATCTTTGGTGAGAGAAAACTGTCCAGAGATCACTGAAAAGTGCTGGTGTCAGCTGTAATATTATATTGGATCCAGGAGTGTCTATGTTTGTAAGATAGTCACTTGAGGTTTTCTCCTAATGAGTGACGGTCAGAGGGTTAAATTTGTTTCTGAGACCAAAGTAGCTGAAAGTGTTCAAAATAAAGACAACAGAAACTTTCTTCAAAATTAGGGACGTCCTAGCACTGCGAGTATTATTTCCTCCTTGCAAGTTGTTTTGGTCACACAATGCTTAGTTGAATGGTTATAAACCAGTTTAATCAGGCACAAGCTTTGTCCCAATCCAGAGGCTGCAGCCTTCAAAGTCAGTAGGCATCAGAACGGCGTGTCGAAGGTTGTCCTATTTCGAAGTGCCAGTACAAATGAGATGGAGGACTCTTAGACTGCCGAGTAATAAATCATAGTGTTTGGTTTAACCCAATAGTGAGCTGTAGAGTTTACATAAAAAAGATGCACTAAAATTAACTGTTATCTTTGAAATGTCAGTGACGGTGGCTAGTTAGTGTGGTAGCCTCTCATTGCCAAGTGAGGTGCCCCATGACCCCAGTCTAAGGATGAAAAAGCCGGTGATGTAAGCATATAATCCTCCAAAGGGTAGGATGTCTCCTTTCTGGTTGGCCTGACTGGTTCACATGACATGAAGGCTGGGTCCTTCAAAAGCTGTGCCCCTGGACTGGGACTAAGTTATAACTAATGTCAAACTTTATGTCCAAACTCTAGACCTAAATACCGTCAGAACACACTGGGCTATGAGACGCCATCTTTCATCTGTGCTTGTTTGGATCTGTGTTTTATTACAGACCTTGCTAGTGGCTTTGCAGGCTTAAAATGACCAGAATATGACTTTTTTTACTTGGCTAGTAATTTTTTCTTTGTGCCTTAAGTTTAAAATAATAATAATAAAAATATATAATGAGTGTAACAGCCATTTCTGTAAAGTTGATTTTGACAAATGTTGCTCAATACCACACACTGCACCTTTAATACTGCTATTAAAAACTGCATAATGGCTGATCTTTTCTTTGCAGCAGCACAGCACATACTACCTCACAAACGGACATTTGCTTTGCATTTTAAATGAAAACTTACTCTCTTAACACTGAAGACCAGAAGAAAGTATGTAAATCAAGTATCGATTGGACACCTTTATAAAAGCTTTTTCACTCGGCCCTGCCCTCTGTCTTGTTCCCACAATGTAACCCCACCTCCACCAGCCCTCCAACAATTTCAACTGAGCAGCCGCTGTTTAGTTTCCAACTCTTTGGAGACGACATCGCACAGCCAGCGATCAATAGCCTCCCTGGCAGGGCGTGGAGGTGGCGACATCAATTACCGCTCGGATCAAGTTGATAAAGTAGCGTCCCTTTGGAAATGGCACTTAGCTTCCTTGTCATTGTGTACAGAAAGTAAGCTTTGCTACACTTAAACAAAGGTATAAAAACACCTGATGTGCTCTCAGACCAGAACTTTTTAACTTCATACTGTACACTCTTTGTCAACTTAGTCAAACAGAGAAACAGTGAGATCCAGTAATTCTTATCTTCTTATCTGAACTTTGCTTTTTCATTAAAGACCTGTATGTACATGTGTACTTTCTAACTGTTCTTTCATTGTTTTATTCAGTTCAAGAACTTATAATATTATGTACTCCGAAATAAAAGTGTAGTTTGACAATGAAGGACATAGAGCAGCCTAAAAACAAGATGCAAAAAGCAAAATAAAAGCATAAGATTGAAATATTATTAGGAATGGATTATGATATACAAGTCAATTGTGTTCAATAGAAAAGTAATGTGTTTTTTTTTTTTTTTTTTTTTTTACCTTCGTCTTGCCTTTCCTCAGTTTGACTGATCGGGCTGTTTTATTTTCTATTTTTCAATAAATATCACAATTATATCATCACTCCAGTATTTTACGATCTTCATAAAAGGTGATGAAATTCTGATATCAAGACAGCTGTAACCTGAAATAGAGATTTTCTTTTGTTCTTGACATTTTAAAATAAACCTTTTAAAACTACAAAGGAGTGGGTCCCCCTTCAGAGGAGACTGACATCTTGTACTGACAGGTTTCTACTGCAGGACAGAAAGGACAAACCACTAACATCTGTATTTTTATGTGTAGTCAGTGGCCGTGTTAAGTCCACTGGTTGGAGGATTATTATTTGTTTGTTTGTTTATTTTTATTTCATGACATGTAAATAATAATAATAATGATAATGATAATATTAAAATAGAATAAATGACTATTGTTATCATACACAAGTGGAGAGACTTAACAATACAATACAATACAAAGCTGACAAATATGAAAAAAATATACATAACCTATGATTATTATGAAAAATGCAACATATTCCAAAAATACCTGTAGAATTGCCAACTTTGGATGAAACAGGGGTTACATTTTGTGTATGAAACAGGAAGACTTTAGTGCAGTTCTCCAGATTTTAGAAGCAGATTTGGGGGGCTGTCATGACATGCTGCTTTAATGCATAAAGTGGCGGAAGGTAAACTTTAATTGACATTTAGTTTAAATACCAGAGTTACAAAAGAGGGTCTCAGATGAACACTTTAGTTTTAGATCTACAGATTCCCTTGAATAAAAAACATATTTATTTCAGCTTTTGAAAGGAGGTATTTTCTATTGAAACCCTCTTTATAAAGGAACAAAGCTTCAGGTTTTTTTTGTATTGTGCTTCAGAGCCATCTTCAAAGGATTTGCTTCTGTTTTGTGCTGCTTACCACATTAGTAATTTTAAATGGATTTGTGTATATTCTGAAAGATATGACATTTAAGGATTCTGGCTTTTAGATTCCTTATCCGTAAAGTCTTGTAAGTCAGGATGCTGCAGGTCGTGGGGGATTGCAGAGAGGGAGCTGACAGCAAACACGACCCCTTTTAAAAAGCAGAAATGGGATTGATTCCTGTAGTCCTGTTGCTTAGCAACTGCAAAGCCTCATTGAGAGAGAATATTGACCTCTTGTTGATAAAGTCCAATTACATTTTTTCTCCACTCTGTATATCTACAGATTTTATAATGCCGTATTCTCCCCCCTCGGTGTGTGTTTAGTGTTTTGTTCTTTAATAAAGCAGAGAAAGATTGCCGTCTGATCGTCACCTCCTGCTGCAGCCTGTGAAACAAGGTGATCTTTGAATGAGATGACATCAAACAAGGCATGAATTTTGCTGACAAGGACACTCAGTGGGACTCACTGTTTTTTGTTGCTAATTCAGTCAATTAGCATGCTCTGGACCTCCCTCTTAGTAAAAGGCCCCAGAGCTGCCTCAAACAAATTTCTATCACCATGAGAAATGTAATTTAACTGCAGCCAAAATTGTTACGCCTGTTCCAGTGTGCCCTAAAATGAAAATTGATTTCTAAATTGTATTAACATTTTCTCCTCCTCTTGTTCTTTGCCCTCTCTGTGAGCGTATCCAAGCTTAGCTGGGTGCGTGCTGTAATTGCAAATTATCAAGTGCTAATCGATTTGTTCTTTCGGAGGCCTGTGGGTGTGGGTGTGAAGGAGCTCCGCAGTTTTTACGACTTTACTGTTTGGAGCTGCTGATTTGCTCCTAGGTTGAGGCACAATAAGCTGTTTGATTAAGTGCTGCAATAAAAGAGGCTGCCATACTGCATGTGTTTCTGATATAAACTAATAAGAACCTTTTTTTTCTCACTTTCTCTCTTTAGAGCACGTCTGCTCCATCATCGCCTCCATGCTGAGAAATCTCAAGTCCCAACAGAGAAGCAGACTGCTCACCAAGTTTACAGAGAATGACTGTGAGAAGGTTTGTTTTGGTCGTTTCTTGCCTGTTTAACACAACTCAAAGTTAATCTAGACCAGCCAAGATGCATACAAATTTGTCAGATACTTTAATGCTTCCCAGGCCCCACCCTGACATCTGTACTGATGTTACTTGGTATAATCTTTGATTTCAGGTACCTTGGTCAGTAATCTGCTCATAATACAGACACTTCAGTGTTGCAGATTTGTTTTTGCTTTTCTTTCTGAACCAATGGTAACTCTCCTTTAACTCCCTATAGATATTGGACAGGTTATTACTGACAAAAGTAGAATAAATAACACTAAAGAAAAAACGAAAAACAACATTAACAATTTGGAAAAAGGGAGATAATAATTGGTCATACACAATGTCAGCTTAACTTCAAGCAATAACTGGATGCCACAAAGTTCAATACCAAGATGCATGCACCTGCACTTCCCCACGCCACTGTATATAATGGATATTTAACACATACAGTCCTGAACTGTCCACTAAAATACAACACAAAACTATGATACAATACTCAGTCACTTAATTACATTCTTTTCAAGTGAGAGATGACAGGCTGCCAGTGCTGGACCACCAACAGCAAATTAAAATTTTCTGACTTTAGAAGTGACATTTTCCAGATTTCTCCACAAGAGTTTGATGAGCGAGCGATGAAGACACAAATGAAATCTGATAGTTAACAGTCATTCTGATGCCCTCGTACATCCAGGGGCTTTTCAACCTTCATATCCAGAGCTGTGTAGCCTCAGCATAGTTAGATGCACAGTCCTCTCTTTCTTTTTTCACACAGCCCATAATACACCCTGTTGATGATTTCATATGAAAACTGAAACACATTAGAGATACCAGTACAAATAAACTACTGCTTACAAATTCCTTTAGAAGATACACAGTCACGATAATCCCTATCACGTACCGTTTTTTGACCAGATCTTATTGTGACAGTGTGGCTTATGCTCAGCAAGCTAAACAATTTAAAACTGCATTTACTTTTAGAGCAATTTTGAAATTAAAACTGACATTTTTGTACTGGTTTGTGATCAGAACGACTGATCATGAAAACCAGAGTCTGTGAGTCTTGGAGTCTTAGAGTCCTAGAGTCCTGGACCTTTACGTATATATATCCATGTTTATTTGATTATTATACAGCTGTTTGCTAAAACAACATCAGTCATACGTATTTACCATATTTCTTATCTGTCATATTGTATACTGATACATGAAGACACTTTCTTAACTATCATGAAATTATTTGTCTAATTGCATGTGAAGCTCTTTATATTTCAGGATTGTGTTAATACTGAGTCGCTAAAATTAGAGCAGATTATAAATCATTTAGGAGATTATTTACTGTTTGAAATAGAAACCTTTTTTTTTTTTTTTTAATGGCTTCATAATCACACACTGCGTCTAGCAGAGTATTTCACATTCTTATCTTATTTTTACTGGAGGGTAAAGCCAAGATAAACAGATTCAGGTTCATATTCAGGTCACTCAGTGAGCCGTCAGTATCTGCATTATTCTCTACCTGTGTGTGTGCTACATGCTGCTCCATGTTTCAGAAGTAAGTGATTAAAATGTGAAACCTGGCAGCTGAGCAGCTATGTCTTTCTTTATTATGCTGAGAATATCCACACAGATCAAAAGCCGTCATCATAATCGTTGTGTTTCTGAGACCAATTAGCAGGATACATGTCATCTGACGTAGAAACCGCCTGCTATGCCATGAAAGTGACGTCTCTTGCTGTCTTTTCTATAATTCACCTTAAATGTGTGATAATTTCATGTTCATATCTATGTGCTCCAATTCATAATCACCGTAATGTAATTTTTAAGGAAGAGAAATTTATGTGTAAACAATGATTCCTACAGGTTCTATTTGCCCTTCAAGTCTCATTTTGTTGTGCCTCTTTCTTGTGCTCTCTCCTTCCTCTTTCCTCTCCTGTCTTGTTTTCCTGTTGCGTACCCTCTGTCTGCCTCCATTTCATTCTCTCTGCAGGTTGATCGGCTGATGGAGTTGCATTTTAAGTACCTGGAGGCTGTTCAACAGGCTGACAAGAGGATCGAAGGAGAAAAACATGTAAGCACCTCTCCTTTCCCCTCCATCCTTTAGTCCTTCAGATCCTCTCTTTCTCTCAGGCGGTCTCTTTGTCTCTACTCTGTCCTTCTCTCTTGTTTACACTGACTTCATATCATGCAGCTGGTTGCATTGATGTGTTCAAATGAGGCAGTGAGGTTGACAGCCTTGCTTTGTTGGCCAGTGATTTTGAAATTCATATTTCATATACAGCTAAATTTAATTAAAGCAGCGATTAAAAGCAATTTAATAGAAGCTGACCCTGAACGGGCCGGTCTGAAGCTTGACGATTGCAAGCCTGAGTCCAGTCCAAATCAGGCCTTACAATTAAGTTGTAGCATTAACAAAAACAGGCTGTGTGATCTTACAAACTTTCACTCATTATTAGTATCAGCTAGCTTTTTCAAAAGCCACCAAGCATTATCTTTACAGTTTATTACACACTAATGATAATACAGAGCAAGAAGAGAGCAGACAGCAGCTGCAAAACAATTGTGCATCATTAAACTGCAACCACAATTAGTCCGTAATGCAGATAAGGCTGCTGGACTTTATAAATGTGATCCATTTCTGCATGTAAATTTTCATTAAACTTATTTTTCTGCAGATGACAGCATGAACATGACATGTGAGTTCCCAGACTGTCTTGCATGGAGTCCCCTCCCCCTGTTTTAAAACAAAGATGATTATATCTATCTGTGGAGGCTGTGTCGTGTAGCATGGCTTTGGTGCTCAAAATGGTAGCTTTGATACAACAGGACACAATTACTAAGTCCTGCGGTGTTGTTTATGCGCAGGGTGAAAATCCTGTTATTGTCTCTCAAGCCTTAATACTTTAAAGATAGAAATGCATCTTAGAATTATTTCTGGTCAAAGGGGCCTTTCCTTGAAAGAAAGGTCTATTTCAATTTGGATCATTTTTGTCTTGTCATGTTGCAGCTTAGAAATACCAGTTCTTAATATCAGTCTTTGGAAATGTCAACATTTATTTATTGATAATTTGTTTAAAAATTAAGATTTTTCCTGTAGCAAAAAAGAACAGAACAAGTGCATTATTCCCTGAATCATATACTTTTTACGGTATAACTGACAGTGTCTCAAAGCTACAGAACACAGAGGCAGATGTTTGGCATGCAGAGCAGACTCATCAAAAATTGGGTAGATATACTCTATAGTCATGCAGAGTGAGACTTAGAAGTCAAATGTAGACCTGCTGCAACAAAAGAACTCAATAATAATCAGTTTTCTGCAGACTTGTTTTTTTGAGTAAGTAAGCATGCTCACATGGTCTAGTACATAATGCAACAGACACAGTCAGTCCACCAGCAGAAAACATGGAGAAGCCACCAGTGTTCCTAGTAGACCGTAGGACACGTTAATGACACGAGGAGTAGAAGTATCCGTTATGTTGAATGGAGATTGTCCAATCACATAAATTTTATAATAATGCAGATAAAGTTTTACCTCACAATTGACAGCTTATCTTTTCAAGAGTTTTACTACACATACTTTTCTCCCGAGCCGGCGTTGCAATGACTCACAGGATTGTATACTTTCTTTGCCTTTCCTGTCGATGTCGATAAAGATGTTGTCTAATGATCAAATTCATAAGACAGACTTGGACCAGCCTCACGTACAGCTCTTAGAGTTGTCGCTGTTGGAGGTAGAAAATCAAAAATAGTACAATGGTGGGAATAACGATTTCATCCATGTTTACACCATTTAAGACCTGCGCTTTTCAACGAGTTGATGTCAGATGCCCACTAGCCTAAGGACCAATCAATGTAAACTACAAAGCATGCAATTGAGGACAATATCATGTAAAGTCTGTTAGTCCGCTTGCAATAATGACAGTGTGAAACCTAAATAGACCGAACCAAATGTATTTAATGTAACAAAAACACAGACCTTGGTTCTTTTCTCTAATCAAACAAGAAATTAGTGTTTTCACACATTTTCAATCAGTTAACTGTTTCTGATTAATTCCTAATTGCATCCATTGCCAATCCCTGGTTACAACAAGTGTTGCTCTTGCAAAAAGATACCTGGATCCCCTTTTCAGCACTTACCTGGGGACTCTCTTACCACGGACAGTTTTTTTTAAACCCCAAATTGGCTTTTTTTAAAGAACAGAAGCAGCAGGAGTAGGACCTTTCTATCAGATATCCTGAAGTAAGAGTAAATGTGGACTTTTGTGTGACCCCACATCCCACATTCATGGTTTTATTCTTTGCAACGAGCTACATTCAAATTGCATTATAGATATCGGGATAGCGAACACAATCCTTGTATAAACGGTTTGGATATGTGATCAAAACGTCGCCTCTTTTTGGGGAGATAAGATGTGCGGCTCCACACTGTGTCACATCCAAAGCCATGAGGGAAGAGACTTAAAAAAAGCCATCACAATCCTGCTGATAACAATATGACAGTTTACAGAGGAAGGCTTGATCGCTGTGTGTGTGAGGGGCCTATTGAGTGGACCGTGTCTGTGTGTATGTGTGTGTGCGACAGTGTGTTGAGCTGTGGGCTAGACAGACCGATGGAGGGATACAGATAGTGGTCAGGCGGGGATAATGGCTTCAACAGAAAAAAGAGAGAGAGAGAGCAAGCATCCTGTCCTCAGAAAGAGAGGAAGACAAGGAGAAGGGCAGACAGGGATACTGCTGAGAGGAGGAACAGTTAACAGGAGCTGATGGTTAAAAGGGGAAATGCAAGAGAAAGAGGAGATAATTGGTGTGAAAATGGGAATTATGGTGGGGAGGGAGGTGTGGGGTGAAGTTGGTAAGTGTGAGATTCCTATCTAAAGATGACTGAAGATTAATTTCTCAGACAGTCGTCGTGATGAGATTGCAATGAAAAGGCCAGACAGTTTGACATTTTCCTCCCTCCCTCTCTTTTTCAGCTTTTCTCTCACTCTGTCTCTTTCCTCTGTGGCTCGCTGGTCTCTTCCTCTGGGTTGGCAGATGTGTGACTTTGTGATACTCTGGTGATAAGAAACCTCGTCTATGTGCGCTACTATCTTTTTAAAGCACAAGGTTAGACCATCACCAGCATCGAGACACACTGTGAGTCAGGCCCACATGAAGCAGGAGGTGATAAAACAGCTTTTTGTGGCCTTAATCATTTAAACGAATGGTGGCCTTTCCAAAAAGGTGTGATATCTAATAAACCCTTTATCTCCTGGTTGCTCAAGCATCATGCCAGCCTTCTCCTGCCTGTATCGGGAAAACTTACATGGAAGTTAATGTGTTTTCTATATAAAAAATAAGTTCACACTCTTGTCCTCTTATTCATAGTGAAAAATAGCTCTGAGATGCTGCTACATTGCAGAGCCAAACTTACAACAAACATAAAAAGAAGCTTCACTTTGATCTAACGTCGCACTTCTATGAAGTTGTCGTACTCAGAGCAGACAGACAAGAAGATAAATTGGACAGAATCAAAGATTTTCTCTTGTTGTCAAAATCTGGTGCTTTCATCACCCAAAATATAACTCGACTGATGACAGTTAGATTGTAGGTTCAGGCGTGTTATGCATCTTTCCATGAGCCTAAAGACCAGGATGTTCTGATGAGCATTTTTATCATGCTTTCAGACAAAAGTTTTTACAGATGATGCCATTCTAAATGGAAAATATTTGTTAGATGCACCTCTTAACTTGTTTCTTTCAAATCAACTGAAGTTGTTAAATGCTTGATTCTGATTCTAATTGGCTATCATGTTAGTTATCAATAACAAAAGCCGGAACTGAGGGCTGATCTGGACACATGTGCCAAATCAATCATAGAGTTAGAGTGACTCTACTCTTCCTGTTGACAATGTGACAAAAAGAAAACAGTCATGTTTCGCTCAATAAATATCCATCTCCAAAATTAAACCAATTCTATCACAAGCGAACCTGGAAAAACTCATATGTGCACCTATTCCCTAGATTACTATTAGATCACTGTAACTCCCTCCTTTCTGGTATCACCCATAGATCTCCTTCTCTCTTGCCTCCGACTCATCCAGAACGCAGCAGCTCAGCTTCTTATTGGTTTTAACAGACAACATCGCATCACTTTTACAGGTGGGATGGTCATCAAGAGCGATAAACTTCATAGTTGTTTTATAAAGCTCTTTTTCCTTTGGGAGGTTAATCTTGTATTTTGTAGCTTTGTTGAATGACAAAAAAAGAAGAAAACAGGCTGCTAACAGGTTTTCTACTTTGTCGTTCATTCTTTCAGAAACGAGGCTGTTAAGGATGACAGTTGTTGAGATGTACCGTTTAAACTGGAAGTGACTCAGAAGTGTCGTTTTGCTCACCCTCTCATCACCTGTTCACACTTCCAAATAATGACATGTTTGGAGCTCATTGTATCACCAACCATACTACTACTGTATATCTGCAGAAAGTTTCACACCTGCTTGTACTAGGGCAGTAAAGTCCTAGCGGACTTAATGGACAATACCTTCTGAGTCGACCAAAACTCTGATTGGTCGACTCATTTTTTTCAGCGTCAATTTACAGTCGATGGTTAATTTCATCAGGCGGAACGTACCGAGTGCTAATGACAGTGTTTTAGGCTACGCCGCGCTGCATCAACCATTAGAGGGGTTTGCCGTCAGAGTTTGGGAATATCCCCTCCTATAGCCCTAGCTTGTACAATGACAACATTTTAAAGCTCTATCTGCAGATACAAACTTCCAGCTGAAAATATTGTGCGTCCATTTATTTTTGGGTTTGCAAGTTATTCTTCTTCAGATAAATGTAGCTGATGAATACTCAGAAATGCTTCACACTGTGTGGGATAATCTATTAAATAATTAGAGTAAGCCTCATTTAAGTGGACAGAGATTGCTCATCATAACCCTTCAGTAAAATGATGACAGGTTATTCATCTGTATCTAAACTTCACCTGAATGAAGCAGAAATCATCTGAAAGTTTCAGACTTTACCTGGGTTTAACAGAGTTGAAGTCACAGGTGTGTTTTTTCAGTGTATTGATTTCTTTTTACATTTGTTGACTGTCATGTAAACTTTAGCCAAACATCCCAAACAGGGTCTCCGTACCTTGTGCAGCCCAACAGATTGAGGAAAGAGCTGCAGTTTTATTCCTCCTCGTGCAAGTCTTGTACTAAAAACAGACTGATGATACTGTGAGTGTGTATAAATTGAAGCCTCCACCAAATGTCACATTATGTTAAATAAGGTGATAAAGACGCCAACCCAGTTCTGTCCAGCACCTCGGCTGAATCAGCTGCTGTCAGCAGCCACATTTTATCTCTCTCTGCCGTGCCTTTTGGTTTCCTCTAGTTAAGCCTGTTTTTAAGGAGCGCTAAGCAAAATGTTTTTCCTCTGCAACATATTACCCGCAGATTTCTCGGGAGGATAGCAAAGAAAAAGCTGCTGCTGCTTTTTTCCGTGCGTCTCTAGCCCGTCCCTTTTTAATAAGCTGCTTATTTTCATCCCACCTTGGTATCTCTCTTTTCTCCTCTCACTCTATCCTTCTGATTTCCTCCTCCAAAGCTGCTTTTCCCATCCTGCTATATTTCTTTTTTCTATCTTCTTTTTCTCCCCATCGCTCATCCCTCTTTTTCTGTCTTTTACTCGACCCCATCATTGATCATTTTCATTTTTTTGTTGCGTCCTTTCTGCATCTTACTCTCAGCTCATTCACAGCTGTTCTTCTCTCATTTTTAACTCCGTCCTCCATTTTTGTCTTGCCTTCCCTTTTTCACATCCCCGTCCTCCCCTCTTTTTCCTTCTTTTAATCCGTCACTCCCTTGCACCTTCACCACGTCCTTCCTTTCCTCTTCTTTCTTCTATTTCTCCTTCAAACCCAATACAACTACTTTCCCCCCTCTCTCCTCCTGCCAAACCTCCCCTCTGCTCTCAGCTTGTTGGTAACTCCTCTTGGAGATTGATGAAGCTCAGCACAACACGGCTGAGGCCGACCTCAATACTATAAAATGCCTGAGTGCACTCTCCTAGCACCTAAGCACCCAGTTACTCGCAATGTTTTTTTTTGTGTGTGTATGTGTGTGTGTGTGTGTGTATGTGTGTGTGTGTGTGTATAAGTGTGTGTTTTTGTGTTGAGAGTGTACAGCAGAAATAGGCTGGCTTAGTGTTGCTGACAGTAGACTTTTTTCTTTAACAAAGTCTGTGAAGTTTGTGGATTTTGCACCTGGATGTGATATATTACGTTTTTTCTTTTTATGTCGTCCCAAAATAAACCAACTGTCTCTCTCTCTCTTTATCTATCCCCTTTTTCTCATTTTTCCTCCCTAATTCTCTCGGAATTTGTCAGCGAACAGTTGTCTCAAGTCTTGCTCAATTCGCTCAGTTTTTTAGATTTGTCACTCCTAAATCAACCACCTGCCACAATTCTTTAAATTTTCACTTATTCCTTCATTTATTCATTCATTTCGTGAGGACAAACCAGAAAAATTGGGTTCCAGGACTTCCTGCTCTGTCATTGAGAACAACAACATTCGTTATAAGAGGTTTTGACTCTTAATCTGCTGGAGATGGTTATTTGCATAATCCTGTTTAAACTGATCTAAAATAAAAACAGAATATCTCAAGCATGTCTCAGTAAACCTTTATGTCACACTGATTTAAGGGATATGGGGTTATGTATTCTGAGTCCTCTGCAGAAACAGCAAAAGTAGGCGCTGTTTTATGATTACAGATTTGTCTATTTAAAAAAACACCCCCGCACCCTCCAAGATATTGGAAAATAAGCAAGGCTGGGAATTAACTTTTACCCGGTCACACTGGTGTTTGAAACTTCTAAAAGTGAGGGGCACCCACTGAAAATTAAAGAGAATGATGTGGACACAGTGTCACCTGCAGCCTCCATCGCTTTAGCTCTTCAGTGAACCAGGGATGTTCTGAAGAGACTAAATTTCTCGTTGTATAAATGGAAATTTAAATTCTGACTTGCCAACTAGTCTAAAGGTAAGAAAAAATCAGCAGAAAGTCAAAAGTGAGCACAATTGATTTAGTATGACTAAGCAGAGGACAGGAGTCCCCCCTGCATGGTAACGTCCACATGCCTGTGCTCGTTTACGTCACTCCTGTTAAGTTTACCAGACTAAAACTTTATACAACTTCATCTCTTTGTTTTTAAATCAAGATATGCCAGACCTAGATGTGCTGCAAGATGGCATCAAATATCAGTGCTTGAGTACAACCAGATGGTGGTCGGATGGCAGGTGGCTGCACTTTAGCTCCTACACAACATAATCAGTCAGTCTTTATTTAAAAAGCTCCAATACATTAATTTATTTTCCTTTTTCAGAGCAGCATAGGCTAGCTATTCAAACTCTCTGTCACTCACCCCAAATCACTGACTTGTCTTTGTTTTTGGTACATCTATATTCACCACTTTACCATCACCATCACCAACCTCAGGTTTTACATTCCCCAAACTATTAGGCAGCTTTCATCTTCTCTCCATCTCTTCTAAATCTGTGCCAGTTGGCCAGCTGTAACATGACAATAAAGTGCAGTGAAAGGCAGGAAGGTAGTGATTTCCTTGATGATGTTTACTGCATCATCCACCGTCCTGTTTGCACGATTGGCAAACTGCAGCGGGTCCAACAGGGGAACTGTGATGTCCTTCAGGTGGCTCAAAACTACCCGAAGGTGAAAAAGGAGATATAATTTCCTATTACCTTCCAACTGTTGGGTAAATGTTTGCTCAGGAGCGAAATTTAAGTTAAACTGTTTCTGTACACCCTCACATTTACATATCAGCACCTGTGTTAAATTGGTGTTGGTGCAGTTAGTGGCACTCTTACTTAGGTTTTTATACTCCTGTCTGGCTCTTTGCTTCAGTCATTTTGGCTAAAAGGATCTGGTGGTAAAAATGGTAAAACTGTGATAGTAGTGAAGCAGGAGCTCAGTTAAACATTTAAGAAAGCAATCATGTCCTTGTCCTTTTCTTTAACACTAAAATTCTCTAAAAGCTGCAGAAGCCTGCAGAGTTACCGCACAGATAACTGAAGACATTTTACCAGAAACATATAATCAAACGTTGAATGCACTTGGGCCCTTAGAAGGACAATAACCCAGAGTGCATTTCTAATGCATCCCTTTGCGAACAGTGAGACACGTAAGTAAGATTTATGCTTCATCAGATGTTTTTCAAAACAGTATTTTTCATTTTTAGGAGACAAAACACTTTGAAGATGAAGACAAAGTGGTTGCTTCAGCAGATGCACATTTTGGGACTGTTTCCACTCAGTGAATCCCTCACAGAGATTCGCCTCAGAATTAATATGACCTCTCAGAAGAACGCAGACAAAACAGTTTTCCAACTTTTCAAAGTCTGGAAAGACTCGAGTAGTCACTGGATGATGTTAGTTATACCTCCCTCCTCCTGTTAACACAGTCTGTTCTGCTTTGGCCCACTTTGAGAACAGACTCAGATTTTGTATGCCCTAAGCGCAGGGCTGTTCTTCTTTAGGGAGATTATCATAAGTTGAAATCAGCATGTTGTCTCTAACTTTCTCAAAGTTTCATATTTTCCTCTTAAAGTTTTCCTCATTATCAACTTCTGTATCTTATTTTTTTAATGAGGACATCTAACCTCTCTCTTCCTGGTGTTTGCTTAAGCCTCATAAAAAGCATTAGTCACACACACACACTGATGCATTCACAGTCACAGTGGGTTTTGGCAAAATGCTGACAAAGAAATCACTTAAATTTTGCAGGGAAGTATCCCAGCACAGAATTAAGAACAGGAATAACAACCAGCACCCACAGACAAAGTCCTCTTTGCAGAGACACACTCACTGTTCTTGCACACATTATACACAGGCACACACTCATACATGCTTTCTTACATGCACAATAACACTCAGACTGAACCCTCTGTCCTCCATGAATCATACACACCTGGACGCACAAACACGATGCAGCTCAGTTACAGTGAAGGGACTGAGACTGAAAATCACTGCTTATTACTTTGTCTGTACTGTAGCCAGGCTACCAGGCTCCCCTGAGGTTGCAGTAATTGACTTGTCCGATCCGTCTTTTCAACACGTTTTTCTTCCTCCGCTTCTTCTGTCCAACGTTTGCCGGAGGGACGGAGCTGCCACACAAAAGATATTGGCCGCAATGTCAAAACTCTAGAGTGGACAAAACTGTGCTGCTGTAATGAATACTGCCTCGCTGCCGGCGTCAGCTCAGGTTTAATATCCCAAATGTCCACTTCCGCTGCTCACAATAATGAATATTTAATGCACTTGTCATGCTCCAAAACCCCCCGCTCCCAATGCAGATTCAAAGGTCTGGCTTGAGTCATCATGCGTCTTTCCTCTGTTTCATTACTCTGTGGCCCCCCTGGAGGGAGCAGCGATTGACTTTTCTGGACCTCATTAGAAAATGTTTGTCTTTCTCTCTGTTTTTGACATGTCCACTTGTTGCTATAGAGGAATGATGTGGGCGGAGTTATTGCAGGTGGAAAGATTTTGCTGAGGACGCCGTTTTTCACAGCGTTGGCTCGTCATGCTGGGCTGTGATTGGCTAGAAAAGTTGATAGTTCAGTAACTAGGGGTTAGGGTTATCATGATATTATCACGATACTTTGGCAACGATACAATATTATTGCGATTTTTAACATTTTGTAATACAACTAGTATTGCGATACAATATATTGCGATTTATACAATTTTTTTTAACTGTTTAGCTAATTTAGCATTTACCTTTCCTTTATGTTTGTCTTATTTACACTGCATTTTATTTTCATGTAGCACATCTTACAAACCTTTTATATATTTGTTGCACCAACTTTCTCCTGCTCTATGATGTCCCCTCTGCCAACCTCACTGGACAAACCATTGATTTTATTTTTGCATTATCATAGATTTCACTTAGCAATTCATTTGAAAAATCAATACTTGGTAAATGAGATGATACGATATCTCACGAGACAAAATATTGTGATACAATGCTGTATCTATTGTTTCTCCCACCCCTATCACTTACAAGACTTTCTCCCAGATACCCATTTCTATCCCATGAGGAAAGTACCTCCTGTCGATGGCTTAAACCTTTTTATAATGCTAAAGGTTGAGTTGTGTTTACAGTTTGGTTTAGGCTCCAATACTTTACATTGCAGTAAAATAGCATATGGGCACCAAACCCAGAACACCAGCATTGATCTCCTGCAGGCTCCATGTAAAGAAAAGACCTTGAGGCAAACTTTGGGCTAAGCATTGAGGCAATGCATACCAGCCAGTCTCAGCAGCACAGTAGGACGGGGTAAGGCAGCATATCATTGGAGTGTAAAATAATGCTTGTGAAAGTAAATATCTTACATGAGAAAGCCCTCAAGGCTTACATTACTCCTTGCTAAGTTGATCATTAAATTTGCACTTTGATCTCTTCCGTCATATATAATTTTTTGCATCTACATTAATCCTGTTTGAAGGTGAGGGGGAAAAAAAACATTTATTTGGTACTTTCACCCTAACTCTTGCATTATGTATGACATAATCCAGTCGTGTAAGCTTACCGCAGCAGGGTTTACTCAGACTGCGTTACTGTGAGTGTGTAAGAGACGAGGAACACAAGTTTTTACGAAGACTCCTCAAGATAAACCAGGGCAAACCAGATTGAAGCTTATTATGAATGAAATACTTTGTCATGTTGTGTACACTAGAAAAAAGTGTTGAAGACTGATTAAAAACTGACTTTATTGCCTTTGAATCTGTTGTGTCCTGATCTGGCTGCCAGACTTACCTGCTTCATAGAGTTTCAGGCTTTATATTGTCCAGGTAGAGTTCATCTGATTCAGTTCACATCAGGCTAAACATAACATCCATGATGGGATAAGATTGAGATCGAGACTGGTCAGTTTTATATTGCATGATGAATGTGCCATATTGACCGGCGTTCAGGCTTAAGATATTGAAAATATTGATAGTGATTTTTTTTGTCTGAGGTCTAAGAGTGTGTGCATGTGAACCTCTGGTTGTACATGTGATCTAACCAATATCAGGCCACAACAGGGATCAGTGTGAGAGTATAGAAGCATGACAATGGCAGGGCTGCGTTATGGTGTCGGTGCTGTGAAGATGCCCAGCTCAAATAGCATATCCCCAGATGAACTACGCAATCTTTGTACACTCATCGGCTGTTTCAAGTGTCAATCATAGAAAACATGAACCCCCTAATAACTTTTAAAAATTAAGCTGCACAAAAAAAAGAGGACTTGAGCACAAACCAGTCTGACAGTAACTACATGTCAACATCGCAAGCAAGGGGGAGAAAAATGTATATTCTGTGTAATTAATTTCTAAAGTTTGTCCACAGCTCCTTGGGGTTGTTGGAGGAGGAAGGATTTATGACCTATACTGCAGGCCGTCACCAGAGGGTGCTGTTCTCGCGTTGGCGTCACCCAGTGAGGAGGCAGACGGAGCCCATTGTACAAAATATTCCCATTAGCAACTAAATTATATCATGCAAAATTAAAATAAGTAGGGGTAGCTCCATATTTTCCTTTTTTTGAGTTTGTCATTACTGACACACTGCAGTGACCTGATTTCCATCAGTCCAGTTCATGCACCACAGACCAAGATTATTTCACATGGTAGGTTTTTCCTCTACCAGACTGGCACCTGTGGTTAAAAGAACTTGGATATCCAGAAACTGAGTCACCCAAGCCCCCTCAGAAATGGCCTCCAGGTCTGCTTTGCTGTGCTGGAGTTATGAGGTTAAAAGGAAATTGACTTCTTCCTTGTCTGAAACTATGAGAGACAAAGAAAAAGTTTGTTTTGCACATCTGAGTAAACGCAGATTTTGCTTTTTACTCTTCCACAGTGATGACATGTATTTAATATGTCCTATCCGTGCACTCCTAAGACCTACATCCTGCACAGCGCTGAAGTTGGATTGTGAGATGTGTGCAACATTGCTGCAAGCTAATGTATTGACTCAGAATAATGAGCAGAGTTGTCCTGGAAACAGAGATAATGTATTTTTCCTACAGAAAAGAGAGGAAACATGGTTTACATTAAAACAGCTTTGTTTCAAGTTGTGCATCTTTAATGGGTGTTAGTTGACAGCAACAAGGCCAAGCTCTGGGACTCTTTCACAATGTGATAACGCTCCACTTTGTAATAAAACTGAATTCTGGGACAATGTTTTACCCTGAGGACACAGAAGAGACAAATGGCCTACATTCAGTGGCTTTATTAAAGGTTCTGCTTTTAATTATCTGCTTTGTTTTGCAACTTTAACAGGCTACAGTTGACATTGTGTAGTTTGGCTTTGTTATAAAGTTGTATCTACTTGTCGTATCTCCTTACAGGGTGAAATTATTAATGCAGCGTGACATCCTGCTTGTAGACTGAAAGGATATGACAAAAACGAACGTGTTGTTTTTTATGTCCCAGCACTACAACCTGCAGCTCATACGCTTCCCTAGAACAGCCTGGGTAATGCGGTCCTCAGGAGTCGGCCTCTGATTGAGGCGTGTTAATGAGCTGAACTTCACAGCCATAATTGGGTTTTACAGTGTCATTGATCTTTAAGGACAAGGCCTTTTGAAAGTTTTAATTTTCTCTGAGATTAAATCATTGGGATGTAAATGTCATGTGTGGTACCCTTTAGCTCCACGCTGAAAGCTATTTGTTTTCATTAGCAACGCCTTGAAAAGTTGCCCTTTTTCCTGATTTACTGTGTCACATTCTGTAACACGCTTTGCTTCTTTCTCACGTCGGACCGGCCTTACTCGATGAAAGCAATAAAGATAAAGTTTACGGTCTTGTAAGTCTTTAGGTACGATGTTACTGGACAAACTTGGACATTCACTCACTCTCTTTAGATGAACCAGACAGGATGATACAACTCCACTGGGACATGTTAACCCTTCACCTTGGAGAAGGGATGCGATGATGAAAAACACAGTGATAGAATGATCCCGTTCAAGATAATCAATAACATGAAACTCTCCACTCAGTTATGAAATATTGCTTTAACTTGATTGGGAATGAGGGATGCTGATCCCACAGATGTTGCATCCACGGTTTACCCTTGAGATGCCACTTTTTTAGGGCAGGTTTTGCTGACAGGGGAGCTGTCATATTCGATAACTCACTCTTGGTGTACCTGAAATGCTCCCACACTGCCGACTTCCCTCATTTCTTAAGAGGATACAGAACTTTGCAGCGCTGTCCCTTTGCTATAGTTAAACTAATGTAGCTTAGCCTCTGAGTGTCTAGACAGGCTGGTGCACCTCAGGTTTTTCTTTGTTTTCATTCTGTGCAGGTTGTGCTGCATGTGATGTACCAGGCTCTTTTTGAGAGGAGCACTTGGTGTCTATACAATTAAAGAAGCACAATATGTCAAAGTGCCTTCAGTCTTAACTCTTGTTTATAGCTGCATCCCCTCTTTGTGGAACTTAGTTTTCTATTTGCTGCTATGAAGAGCTTCCAGGAGAAAAAAAACGTTCTTAGAAATTTTTGCTCTCACTTATAATATGTTTTTCAGGGTAAGAAATAGATAAATATGATATTATAAAATTAAACACCTGAAAAGTCTTCTGTCTTATAAGGCTGTAATCAACCAAAGAAATTCTTGGTCAACTAAAACCCTGAAATTTCTTACCAAAAATTAACTAACTCTAACCGCAAACCCCTCTGCGTGGGGGACTATGTTGCTCGGCGGAGCAAAAATATACGGGCATGGATGGTAGAGGACGACTCACATACATACTGTTGAAATGCTCAAAATAAAAATAAATACTTAGCAAACCACCGGACATTGAGTAATGTGAACGCTTTACAATCTCCCTGTCCCTAACCGGTCTCCAGTTGTTTGGGCAAATCCAAAATGGTGAAAACAAGGTTGTTATCTGTGAAACGGGGGGAAAACCATAGACTGTAAATTGACACAGAAAAAAATTGAGTCGACCAATCAGAACTTTGGTCGACTTAGCACAGGTTGGCCTAAAAGTCGACCAGTCGACTAGGACTTTACAGCCCTACTGTCTAGTTTTTCTCCTGTGTTTCTTATAGCATTTCTTCCTCTACCTAAATTAAGGAGTTACTTAGGCTCTGCTAACTATTATTAAAGAAAATACTGTCAATGAAAAAATTTTTTTTTTTTTCATGCATCTGCCGGTAACCAACAATGGCCGTGCATGCAAATCTCTATTTACTAAAAGCATTCACAATATTTAGAGGCCAATCTCACACAGCATGGAGATAGATAGGCAGAAATAGCGCACACAAATTAAGAATTGTTCAAGGACAGTGTGATATATATTGATAAATATATACGTCAGCAAGCTGTAAAAATGCTTTTCTGTCCGACAACATGCTCAGCAGTTGGTATTCTTGTTTTTAAGATCACGTTTGAGCTTTAATGCTCATATGGAGGAGAAGACAGTGAATGGGAAGAGAAAGTGAGGGATGCTGTGCCACTGTCCTGATTTGAACCCAGGCAGGACTACAACCTCTGTGCTCAGTTTAACTGCCAAGCTCAATGCCCGTTACGCAGCCTTTTTTGAGGCAACCTTAAAAACAACAACAGGCAGAAGCAATAAAACACAGAGACTAAAAAGTTTGTTTGTTTATTTATGTGAAAGCATTGAATTCTTGCACTAATAGGACTCGTGTTCTTATAAATGATCCAAATACCACATTGTGTTTTTTAAAAAAAAGATGTGCCTGCAGAGTTTAAGAGGCTTTCTTTTCCCCCCTCTCTGTCATTCATGTTGGCTCTGGCCTTGATTCAATTCCTTCCATTGATGCTTAAATGTAAAACAGTGTGACAGAAAAACACTTAACACTTGTGTGTATTTCTGTACCACTCCAGCGGCTTACTCTCCACTCTCTGTTCTCCCCCTCAGGTCTGCGTCTTAATCTCTAATGATGATTAATGTGGGCTCTGTGCGTATTGGCAGCACTGTGTTATTGGCATACTGACAGGGTTGTTAAGATGGATAACTATGCAAGAGGGTCTCTGTATGTGTGAGTGTGTGAGCCCAAACTTCGCAGCCCCCCCTCCTTTCTGCAGCTTAGCTGTGAAATCAATTGATTTGTGTGTCTGGTCAAAGAAGAAAATGGATTTGTGAAAGAGGCTGAAAAACAACACCTAAATTAAACTTTTCTCTAAATTTTCTGTTGTTGAAACTGTTTCAAAGTAGAGTGATTGAAATCCATAAAGTAGAATGTATATTTTGATGAGTTTGCTGTGTGATGCAAAAAATTCAGCTTTTCAAAGTTTTTACCTCTTGTGTTTGCAGGAAATGGTCCGTAGAGGAGAAATCCTGGACGACAGTATGGAGGACGAGTTCTACCTTCGTCGCCTGGATGCTGGATTGTTTGTCCTTCAGCTGATCTGCTACATTATGGTGGAGATCAGCAACTCAGGAATATCTCAGGTACACAAACACACACACTGGGGATGGGCGATATGGGCTAAAAATTTATCACGATAAGATTTGCCATTCTGGCGATAACGATAAAAGTCCTGATAAAAAATAGTATAATTCTAATCTATATTTTTTACTCATTTTCTCTTGAGAACAGCAGTTGGAGTAGTCAAATGGGATACTTAACCACAAGTTTGAGTGAAAGGTTATGGAGAAAACTTAAGACATCAAACAAGTCTCAAATGTCAAAACATTTTCAACATTTGTTAAAAACTCTTATTGCACAGAGTGAGCAGCAGCAGATCCTCTGTCTGATGTGAGGCATACCTGAGTGCACTCATCTAAACCCAATCTTGAAGGAACTCCCTCATGTGGAGCCTCCTTCAGTAACAAGCTGCTTAGAATCGTCTTCTTCATCACCTTCGGCCATGTTTGTTTGTTATTCTGTTCTGTGTGGGCTATGGCTGCGAGTTCGCCGCTCACAATCACGTCATCAACTTGCATTTATTGTATTTATCATGAGGTGGAAAATATTTATCATGGAGGATTTTTTTGACGATAATTTATCGCCCATCCCTAACACACACACAATGAATCTGACTTGTCCAGTGAGTTTCCTCTCTAATTAATTATTGATACACGTTTGATCTGAAAGGCTGTGAAGCAGACAGGAGTCAGATATCTGTTTGTAATGATGTTGGGTTTGTTGATGCTGTGCACCTTAAGTAGGCATGTTACACTCTGGCTGTTACTCTGCCACCAGGGATCTTTAATCTCTCATGAAAATCTGCTCATAGCTACATACAGTATAATTATTGGTTGTAATGTTGCAACCATGTACATAGCAGTTGACACAAAAACACAAACTCATTTCAGCTACAGCATTAGACTAACTCCCAATCTTAAAGTGAAGGTTAATTAGCCCATCTTGATTACATAAGTATTGGCTGCCACTCTGTTACTCTGTCACCTTCTGTCTTTTTCATGCCTGCAGAGTTATTGGCACATTCAGTGTTATGTTTGTCTTAGGAAGCAGCACTGCTAACCAGTGTTAGCTCTTTCTTTAAATACTTTAGCTGTCAAAGCAACTAGTGATAAACATTGACAAACTATCACCACAACGTGCACAAGCAAGTTCCTCAGACTCAGACCATAGGTAATCAACTCCTGGAAATTATTTTTCTGAGGACTTTCTGATATTGAGTGATACATCATCTTTTAGATGTCTGTCCTCCTGGAGTACAAAAACAGAGAGAGCACTCACTGTCACTGCGTAGGGATGAATATAAAGTGACTTCAGTGCCTCTTATCCAGAAGTGCAATTTGACAAAATACTTGAACAAGTGTAACAAACACCAAAGACGCACAGTAAAAACAGAGGAAAATAAGATATCTGTGCAACTCAGGCTGTCAGCGTTTTTCTGATCCCTTTTTTACTCTGCATCTCAGCTTCAGCAGAGGGTCCACCAAATCCTCAACCTACGAGGAGGTTCGGTCAAAGTAGTGCGCCACATCATGAGAGGTAAGGTTTTTTAAATTTCTCTGTACTGTTGTTTGTCTAATACAACGTGAACTTACTAATAGCCTGATTTAGATAGAATTAAAAAAAAACTGTTAAGAAATAATCAGTGAATGCACCAGGATTACTTCTTCTGTATATTTATTTTAACTCATTGGTTGTCATGAGTTAATCATGACAGGTTTAGCCAGGCCATTCACTCCATGTTTGTCTTTTTTTAACATCAAATCTTTTCTCTTTGACTTATGTCCAAAGTATTCGTCTTCCCTCTGCTTCAACTGCAGTAACAGGCTCTGTTAGGCAAAACATTTTACAGTTGATTCACATCAAACAATGCCCTCCTACTCTGCAGGTAGCTCTTAATGCAAAACATATGACCAGATCACAGCCAGACTTACTTAATAACTTACTAAACACAATACAATATGTTGAATCTACTGCTAAAAATGCAGAGGTAGAAAAACACCCAAACAAGCATGGCTAGCGCTCCAGAAGAACCCATGCCAGTATCAATTCTTGTAACACATATACATTAACACTGTAGCTATAATCATAAGATGGCGACACGCGGGGATGGTGCATCAGCTTTTGTTAGGTCATGAACTGTCTGCAAAAATAGTTTCATACTCTTCAAACAAATAAAACACCTCCAACTTTGACCTGCATGTTCTCCTTGAATATGAAGAAAAACCAACTGTTTTCTTTGGACCTCTGGTGCTGGGACAGAATACAGATGTGTGTGTTGATATCTGCACACAACAAAAGAAAGACTGATGTGTCTGACTTTTACCCTTGACACCTGCAACACTGAAACAAAACCAGGAAATAGAATCGCTTGAAAAGTGGGAGTGCTTTTGGATGCCAGTCTTTAAGTGCTTTTTGACCACAGAAAATGTTCCCAGGAATGAGGAACCTTTTTGAGACCTCTGTGTTTTGATGGCAGGAACCAGAGTCAAAATTTGGTTCAGATCCACCCCATGAAAAGTCCTTGCTCAGGGGGTGGTACTTTCCAAATCTTAGAGGGGCAATCTCATTGACTGAAAAAGAACAAGTCATTACTAGACAGTCTTGTGGGTTTGGCCATAATGAACATTTAGTTACTTGGCATTAAGTTGGTCAAAATGCATGTTATGCAGTTCACCCCAATTCAAATGGCCTTGTAGAAACTCTGTTCTCTCAGTTGGCGGGCTACAGACACAGTGCAGAGGCCTTTTCACTGCCACTGTCTTGGAGTTTCTTGGCTGGAGGATGGCTTGTGTAGATGCTGTATGTATAGGCGAGGAAAAATGTATTTTTCATTATGTTTAGTTCTCATAATTTTGAAAAATCCCATCGCCAACTTGCTCTGGCAGGGCAGCAGCCATTGGGGGGAAGTGTTGGTACAATCGCTGCTCTTTGGCTGTTGTTGTTTGATACTGGGCCCAAGCTGTTCGCCTGCCAAAGAGCGTGTGTTGGCACAAGAAAAATACAATGAATGTCATTTTTTTAACTGTTGAACAGAAGACGAATGCTAAAGCAATGCTGAATATTGTGTATCTTAATTTCTTGTTAAAGATGACCCAGATTTATTTATTTTTTGTCTGTATTATCTAAGCCACTGTTTCACAGGTTTATGTCATGTATGCACTTGTATTTTTAAGCAGCTGAGCTGGTCATGCATTAGACTTGAATTTAAAGAGAAAATGATTTTTATTCAATGCTATGGCAGAAATCAGTAAAACAAATACTTGAGATAAAGATGTAAAAAAACATACCTGTTCATTGATTCTGTTAATGTTTAAGCGAATTGACGGTCAAACAACCCAGAAATACAAGCTGCTGTAAAATATGCAGTATGAAGTAATACATTGCTCTAGTTTGGGACTGTTCTTTTTCTTTTTCCCTGTGAGTTTCTGTCTGCCATATTTGTTTCTGTTTGTTTTTCAAAGTGCTGGCAGGTGTGTTATTTTCCTCCCAAAGTGACATTCATCCTTCCTGTATCATTGTCAGCTAAAGCTGGAGGACAAGCCTTCGTTCACACAGCCTCTGGCTCTCAGTGGCATGTAGCGCTGCAGATAGAGCCATCCGTCATGCATGGCGGTGCCAGCGAGCGTGGCATTTCTCCAGTTTGTGTGTCTCTCTGTGTGTGTTTGGGTATGCGTCCCCTTAATGTGCCGGTGTGTTACTTTTGTTTGGATCTGTGTAAGCACATGCTTGTGAGGAGAGTTTCCACACAACATTTGTGCTTACTAACGTGATTTTTTGTTTGTGGTTGCAAAATGCTGCCATTAGCATGTTTACATATTTATGCATGCATGACCATGTCCTTGCTAGCTTTCCATTTGCATGTTTACCATATCTCTAAGAAAAGGTGTGTACATGTTCAGTTTGTATTTATGTGTGCCCTTGCATGTATGTATTTAAATGCAGACCTTCATACATACTAATGTGCATGTTGACTGGGCCTGTCCTTGTATGTTCTTGGCTTGACATATTTATTAATTTGTTGTAAATTGAGTTTGTGTTGATGTAGTGTGTGTGTGTGTGTGTGTGTGTGTGTGTGTGTGTGTGTGTGTGTGTGTGTGTGTGTGTGTGTGTGTGTGTGTGTGTGTGTGTGTGTGTGTTTTATGAGCTGTGTGGTTGTGCATCTGTATCGTGTAACTCTGTGTAACCCTTCTTCCTCATCAAACCCTGCTCACTCCTGCAGGAAAAGGTTGGGCACATGCGGAGCATGTCGCCAGCTCTAACATCTTGACCTCACTGGCTTTAGATCACTGGTCTGCTGGAATGAGACGAGGAGTGTGAGCACAATAGAAGAGCAGCATCGGTTTTATTGAATTAGAGAAAAAAAAAAACTACTGTGGGGTTAACAATCAAAGAACTGGATGGGATGTGATTTGATCACATGGTCACACTGGTTGGCAGAGCAAAAAGCAGTGATCACGGAGGTGGTTTTATTTTGATATGGAGACAGTAGTGCTCATTTTAAGACAACATTTATAGTCTACTGAAAGTGTTGTGTCAAGAATAAGAAGAGATCTGGAGAAAATAATTTAGGTGCTGTCTCTTTTCTCACCTTCACACAGCTGTCCAAGCAAAGTGGGAAGTGGGTGTTAATGTTGTCAGTTTCAGAAGTTCTTGAAGTTAGCTGACACAGGCCCCACCATGACCTTTGGCCACAGCCTGATAAAAACTTCCCAGAAATGAAACTGCATGTCTTATTGGCAAGCACTGCACCAGATCTGATTGGTCCATTTAGCCATACTGCAGAAACTACACCTGACACAAGTTTAAGGCTAAACTTTAGGGATTATTGACAGTCTTGGCATCTATAGGAGTATTATGTATTGATATTTTCTGTATTAGTAACTTTAGTAAAACAAACTGCCTCATGGGGACATACATTGGCCGTTGAAAATGCAGCTTTAGAAATGACGTCACGTGTTACCCTTATTATTAGATAAACTTTCTTTTGTGTGAATCTGTTACTGCTGTAGTTTTCCTCAAAAAGCCTTGACATTTGTTTTAAAGAGCTCTGCAGATGGCTGACTCATGCTCACTGTAATCATTTTTCTCCAGATTACCTTTTATGGTCACATTTGATCTCTTTATAAACCTCAAGATGCCTTTCATGTTGAACAAAAAGTTGAAGCCTGTTTGTACTTGTTTTCAAGGTTATCTGAAAGCACGTCTACGTATAGACTCCCGCTATATTTGAAGACATTATAGTGGTCAATTTACCACGCCACACTATCACCCATGCCAGCCGTCCTTTGTGTAGCTGGATCAGACCAGCTTCAGACTGGTATAACCGTATTTAAAATGCTTTGTGGCGCCCTGGCTGCAGCTGTAATCACACTATAAGTCCTACAGTGTGTCCCTTTCCTTGGCTGCTCCTGCTGCTGCTGCAGAGACTGCTCCTGGAAATGATTCTCCTTGTACTCATGGCAGATCAGTCCCAGTCACTGACCTGAGTAATGGCCATGCTCAGTACTGTATTGTCCTCTGCCGCGTTGCCGTGGTGACAGGAGGAGAGACTACCGGCATGCCAAAGAAAAGGTTCTGCAGAGAGTTGAGGAGTCACCGAATCTCTGACCTTTCTGTCTGAGAGGCTGACTGCACCGCCATTTATAGACACAGAGAGACACACAGGAACACGACCACAATGACAGGCGGCTGATGAAAGAGGCCGCAGGTTTTCATGTTATTTTTATTTTTTTGGGTCACTGTACCGTGTCTTCACACCGACTTTTTTCAGTCAGCCTCAAAATTCTGACATGTTGACTTCAGTATCATCCCCCACGGATGAAATTAAAACCTCTGGTGCTTCCACTCAACAGCTCCATACCTCCGGATAATGCTCCAGCCTTTCACTTTTATAACCTCACTTCCACCTTTGAGGTCTCTCTAGTCCCAACTCTCCTGAAAATAACCAATAAAGGAGTGACCTCTGTGCTCCTTGGTGGACTGCTGTCACACTGTGCATCCTCTGACCAGAAGTGAAAACTCTACAGGAACTCTTCACGGATCTTTCTGGTCCTTCAACCCCTTGACACGGCTGAGAACTGGAGTTGCACCTTATCAAAAAGAAGAAAAACATGCAATTTTATCCTTTACCAATCTATGATGACGAAAGTTGTAATTGAATCACTCAGTCCTGTAGGTGTGAGCATGTTTATGAATGGTTTTTCCTATCTCCTGGTGCACCTCAAAAAGTTTCCATCCTTTCAGAAAGGAAAAGTTTCAAATATTCTGATTTGAGTGTAATGCAAACTTTTTCAAGCCTTTTTGCTCTAGCTTTAAAGGAAATTTTGACACCTATTCATTCATACACTAACTGCTCATGCTCGGTAGTAGTTTTGGTGCTGTGTGCAGGTACCAAGTCCTGTAAGCAAAGGAAATCAGCATCTCAGTGTTATAAACTGTTGCTTGTTTCGAAGACTTTTTGACAAAGCGTCTGAGCCCGTCTTTCCGGCCAAGTCACTCCTCACTTCATTGATTGCACCATATTTCTTGATAATAACCAGAAGCTATAAATAAAAACAAAAATGGCGTCCCTGGTTGTTTAATTATGGAGGTCAGTGTTCTTGTTTTCCTCCAGCACTAATGAAGACAAGTTGTGTTCCTACACAGTATCTCTGAGGTCCCTCTTCAGTCCCATTATGCCTGTCACTCTCCTTTATGCACAATCTAATAACATGAAAACATTCCTCCCCTCTTGAAAAACCAAATCTGCTCAGTGTCTCTGACAGCCGTGTTTCGTCCTTCTAAACCCTGCGGGCTCTTGTCAGGAAAGCCCCCTTCATTCTCTCCTCTCTGCAGTGTCTCCCTGAGAAAAGAAGTCTTTTTCATCTTTCTGTCTCGACATCCCTGGGTTTAATGTGTAATCCCTGCCTCAGAGGCTGGCTGAGAGACAGAGCGAATGCACGGGCTCCGCTGAGGCTGCGGCAGCTGCAAATTTCTCTTTCTGCACATTAGACTCACAAATCGACCGTTCTCCGGTCTCGAAGGCCTCGTGTGGGAGGCAGACGTACCAAATGAAGAAAACATTCAAACACTCAGAAGCACAAAATGAAGTATGAGCACTGCACTGAACACCTGAACCGTTTAGTGTTCACACCACGAGGACACACAGTGGATCTCAACACAGCTGAAGAAATGCAACCTCATAATGTTTAAGCTCTTCTTTTTTAAAGGGGAAAATTAAGTAATCAGGTATTTTGTTACTCGGTATGATCAGGAAAAAGTGTAGGGCTCATCAGGTCTGAAATAAAATGTGTAAGAGTCATAAACACAAAGAACAGCTTCGGTGTTATTTATCACAGAGTACAATGACATCCAGAAAGAGGTTCTCTCAACCCTAAAGTTACAGCTGCTCTCTATTCTTTCTCATTATTCTGAGCCTTAAATTAAGAAGGGAACAATCATTTCCTATATCCCCAACTGAGCAACAAGACACTGCACCGACCAGGCAAAAGAGCAATTATACTAAAACCCGGGACTCTTGAGTAAGGCAATATGTTTGGGATAATTTAGTTACCTCCCCAGGGTAACAATGTGGTTTCCTACATGTGTGTGCGTGTGATTTAGCAGGACTTCAAAAGAAGTACAGTTTCAATTGTCATGAAACCTGGGAAAGAGGCTAGGAATGCTGGAATCTGAGTTCTGCACACGCTCAAGTAGGGCTGTAAAGTCCTGGTCGACTAGTGGACTTATTGGACACTGAGTCGACCAAAAATTCTGATAGGTTGACTCAATTTTTTTCCATGTCAGTTTACAGTCTATGATTAATTTCATCAGGAGGAATGTACCAAATACTAATGGGGGTGTTTTCAGAGCACCTCCGTTTCACAGGTAACAGCCCCTCTCAGAACAACTCCCTTATTTTCACCGTTTTGGATTTGCCAAAAACCAAACCATCTGGAACCAGGAAAATTGAAGAACGTTCACGTTACTCAATGTCCGGTGGTTTGCTGAATATTTATTTTTATTTTTAGCGTTTCGACTTTCATTGTGTTTAATTGCCTTCTTGTGCTGATATCACCCTTCCAAGCTGCACTCCAATAAGCCCCCGCCCCCCGCCCCCCAATTAGTTGATTTTTGGTAGAAAATTTCAGGGTTTCAGTCAACCAAACCAAGAATTTCTTTGGTTGATTACAGCCCTGGAAGACCTTCACCTGGAAGCTGAACAGCGTCAAGCTGGTGCTCGTTTCTCTAAATGTTATCACCTGTGTTTTCAGGTCAAATAATCCTCTGTCTTGTTTTGTCTGTTGCAGAATATGCTGAGAGCATCGGAGACGGAAAGAGTGACGAGTTCAAAGAAGCGGAGCGGAAGAGGATCATGGACCTTTTAGACAACTTCTAATCTGAAGTTGTAGCTTTCATGTTTTCACACCTGAGGACGTCCAAACCAGCTGATTTGAGCTGAAGGTGACTGTGACCATGACCCTGTAGCACAAAACAGTCTGTAGGCATGTTTACATGTACAGCAACACTGTCATAGCTGGTCTGCTTCAACCAGAGAAAATTCTAAATAACTTGATTTACAAGAATTACTTCTTATCTTTCCTGACCTGTGAGATGTATTCACTCATACAGCTGTGGAAAACACTTTTAGTTTGCTTAGTTCTTTTTTGGTCATTGATATGTATCTTCATGTGCAGAAGGACTGGTTAAGATTCAAAGATTGCCGTGCATGTAAACCTGCTCACAGTAGATTCAGCAGGAGTCGAGTTTGGAGAGCAGGAGATTGTAGCTGGAGTGAAACAGAGAAAATGAGATATACTCAGAGTGACTGTGGATAATTACAGCCAGGCTTTGCAGACATCTGCAAACTTAATATCTCTCCCTCAGCTCTCCCGCTTTACCTGCTTTGTTTGTTTTGGATTTGAGTGTAAAATATTTTCTAATAAAACATTTGGTAATAAAAATCTGATTGCTTGTTTGGTTTGTTTGATTAATGTCAGGGTTTAGTGAGTGAGATTGGCACAGCTTGTTGATATTCGTCTCTGTGCATGAATCTCATTATGCCTACGCTTGGTTACTGTTGCACAGAGGCACAGATGGAGACAACACACATATATCTGCAGCTTCCTTTGCAGCGAGAAAAAGACCTGCTTCTTTTAGTTATTTGTCTGAACCCACCCACTGCTGGATCTCAGCTGCCTCCCAGAGCTATGAGCCCACTGCTGTCTTTTCTTTGTGATGCTGAGTTCACATGCAGCAGTGTGGAGGTGTATTATAGTGGAGCTGTATACACAAACCTACTGTATTATTCTCTCTGTCCACCGCTCCATTATTCACTGTATCTTTGCTGTCTTTATACCGGGGAGCAAAAGAGGGGGAGAGGAGAGGAGGGAGGGATCAGTGCAGAGCGAATAGAAGGGGTTTCATGTTGCAGAGACCTGTTGTTAGGAGCTCACACTACAGTTTTAGTCTGATATGAGTCACAGTTTTAAGCACACAAACACTATCTATCAGAAAGGGAAAGGGTTTTCTTAACATGTTTGCTTTTCATATTTATTTGTAGTGTACGAGCTTAAGCATGAAGATGAGGCTCACCCCCCTGCTGTTCCTCTGAAGCAGCCACAGCTGCAGCTCTCCATCTCAAGCTTGACTGAATAACCCTGAACTGAAGGCTGCTTGCTTTCAGATTTTACCAATTTAAGACCTATTCTGCATGTGTTTGTCTTGTTTCTGTGCAAATTGAATGGCCTCAGGCTCGTGGTTAGTCCCACATTCAGATAGATGTTTTTGCCCTTAGAGTGGGGTGGTGTTAACTCTAAATATGTGCCATGATAAACACTTTTTGGAGGATCAAGCAGTAAAAGTTGGAGAAGATTTGTTGTAGGGGTGTTGGGGATGCTTTAATCGTGCAGAGGTGAGCTTTAACCTCACAATGGTTGAGGTTAAAGCTCACATAAGGAGAACTTTGACATTTCTAAAACAGAACATGATGCTATTCACCTTCTAACTGGTCTCCGAAATGAACCAAACACACCATATGTTCCTGGATTGCTTTGTCGACAGCACATTTCTCTGTTATTAATTACTCGTTTTGCGCACCACGCCCTCTCTGGTCCCTGACCATTACCGCCGCAGGAAGCAGTATTATGCAGGAACAGGGGGCTGCTCACTGACAGCTGTCACATCTGCTTCCTTCCCTGAGTATCTTCGCTGACTAAAACACAGCTCAGTAACAAGATGGGTAGAACGGCAGGGCGTCGTTTGCATATTGTATTGGCAGTGGAGGCCCGGCCCCATGCATCTCTTATCAGTGATTATGACTGCGGCGTGTTTAACAGCGGTTGTACAGCAATTTCACAGCCGAGGGGAAGAAGAATAATTGTATTTTCCGTGTGACTGAGTGCAAACACTGTGCACCGCTGTGCTTTTGGGCTCCTCTCTCTGTAGTAAGGACTGAGAGGAGAAGGTGTTCTGCTATTGAGACCAAGTATAGATCCAAAATTGTGTCAAACGGGGTGTTGAAACTTCTACCTGTGGTGTAAAAAGCTTTACATCTCCTCATGATTACAGCAGGGCTCTATGAATGGCAAGTTCAGTCCAAAAGTCTGGCATCCTATTTGGGTAAAACTGACCCAGTTAAATGGACTGCTGCGCTAAGACATTCATGCCCCTCAGAGGAATCTTAATGACAAAAACCCTTCTCATTAGCCTTAGCTGCAGGTCACCTGGTATTAGAGCAGTCACTGTTTATGCAAAACTCAAGTAGTTCTCAACTCAGGGGGAGAAATTTATATTAAAATGTTCAGTTTATTAGGGCATGAGACCATCTGAAGTAGCTGGCTGTTTGATCCAGCAGAGGGGGCTCTCATCGTTACCTGACCATTGAATGGCACTCTTGAACTCAGTAAATTAATACCATAGACTGTATATAGAATGGACGCTGTCTGCCTCCTCGCTGGGTGAAGCCACTCCTGGTGACGGGCTGCAGTATAGGTCATAAATCCCACCTCCTCCAGCCATCCCTATGGAGTTGGTGACTAACTTTAGAAATTTGTTACACAGAATATACATTTTTTCACCCCTGATTGCAGTGTTGACATGTAGTTACTGTAAGACTGGTTTGTGCTTAAGTCCTCTTTTTTCTGTACAGCTCCATTTTTAAAAGTTATTAGGGGGTTCATGTTTTCTATGATAGACACTTGATACAGCCTATGGGCGTATGAAGTTTGCGTAGCTCACCCGGGGATATGCTGTTTGAGCCGAGCGTCATCACAGCGACTCTCTGCGACTCCCCCACCGAACGGGTACAATGCTACTGCGCAAGTGGTGGAGTGTGTACAACGCTGCTGCGCAATGTTGGTTTCAGGAAGTGGAGAAAAAATGTGGAAATACTGAGAGCTTTTCAAATCTGTATACTGGTGGAAGGCAGAACCAAGTTGTGCATAGTATATACAGTCTATGTTTAATACAGTAATGATTTTGTACTGTCCTGAGCAGACAGTGGTGACAAAAACATCTCAAGAGTGCTGCGTGGAAGTATTTTGGATTCTACTCAACACATTGAAAGATAGAGCAGGAAGACTGTCAACTTTGTACGAAACAGCTGTCTTATTCCTAAAATAATTCGGATTGCTAACAGGCTGCAAGCTCTAGAGGTGTCCCAATATGATATTGATATCAGATATCGGTCCGATATCAGCAAAAAAATGAATATCAGATTTTATCAGCCTGCCTCTAAAATCTCCGATACAAGCAGTCCATTCCAGTCTCAGCTCTGGCACCTCTATTTAGCAGAGCCCACATAATCACAACAAAAGTGTGTACTAAGGATCTCACAAAGTAGCAAGGAGTTAGCCTGGCTGGGCCATCCTGTTGCGTGAGTCACTTGACGTTCCTTCCCACCACAGTCTGGACTTCGGCCCATTGGGAGCGTGTTTTCCCGATCAGAAAATAACCGGGCCAATCAGAGACCGTGTTTTCACTGTTACCCGGACAACAGGGAAAGGCAGCCCCTGATTGGTCCGTAACCAAGCATCTGTGATGATGTCAGATGCTTGGTTACGGTGATTGGTTACAGTAGTCTGTCTATCAAGGAAAGTACTCCCGCCCACTTTCAAGGCTTCCAATGGGCCGAAGTCCAGACTGTTGTGGGAAGGAACGTTAAGTGACTGACGCAACAGGATGGCCCAGCCAGGCTGGCAAGGCGTAGGAGTGATGTCGATCATGTGGCAGTATTTTTTGTTTCAGTCTGAAAAAGACATTGCAGCTGAGTGAAAAACTTGTCATGCACAATTTTGTGCCAATATCAGATCAATAACGATATTGGCCAATACTGAAGGCTACAATATCGATATTGTATCAGAAGTAAAAAAGTTGTATCAGGACACCCCTGGCTAGCTCCACCCTATGGTCACCCTAAGCTAGCAGGTAATAGTTTAGAGCTCAGTCAGAGGCACAGAGGTCTGCAAAATGACTTCAAAAGCAAGTCTGCTGTTTTAATACAACAGGTACAAATTTTATGCAAATGGTGACTTTGGATCCTCTGAACCTTCCTCACATGAGAGGTTCTAAAATGGGTTTGAGAGGCTGGCCTATAGACAAGCATTATAATATAGAAGTGTGTGTTTGACAGCTAATATAATAGAGAACTTAGGGTGAAATGTCTGTTTATCAAAAGGTCAACACACTTTAGACTATCTGAAATGTGTCAACTGGTCACGGTTATTCCAGCACAATCAGATAATTTGGTTTGAAACTTGCTGTGAAGCTTTTAAAGCCCGTCCCTCTTATTCTCAAAGAAGTGGAGGTGAAACTGTCTCACAGCCAAAGACATCGAGGGAGAGGAAAACCTCAGGAAAGTCAAGTCAGCAGAGGTTTCCACCATCAGCACGGCTAAAAGCAGCATGATGAGGAGAACGGTGGCACACACCTGTGTCCACTGCCAGGTGAGATCCCTGTGTGTGACAGGTGTCTGAGCTGAACGCGACCAGCAGACTCGGAGCTGACATATTCAGTCATGCGTGCTCTCATACAGGCAGCAGACAGTCAGTCAGTGTAATGATGCTGACACAGTTAGAGGCTTCTTCCTGTACTCAGGGCTGCTGAGAGTTAAACAAAGAGACAATGGGAGACCTGAACAACACTGAAGTTGGTTTAATGATGACAGCAGTTGACCTTAAGATTTATGTAACTGTAGTGATGCTGATTACAGAGGGAGGATGAGAGAGGGAAGAAAACAGCAGCTGAAAAAATTAAATATTGATGTCACAACAAAAAAAGGCATTCAGTATAACTGTGAGTTAATAGTAAAGCTCTATGCTGGATACCACACATCATAAAACAAGACAGACAAAAAAGAAGCAGGTGTTGATTTTAGGTGTTGCAAATCAACCTTAACTAATGTCTTTTGTTTTTGGTACTTAGCTCATTTTCCTCGAGTTTTAGGTCCCAAAGGAGCTGGAACCCAGGAAAAACTGACCGTTGATCCAAGGCCTACATAGAGAAATAAAACCAGACGCACTGATACCTGCAAGTAATGTCTGACCAGTACATAGGGTTACTATGAGCACATTTTTGGACTGTGGGAGGAAGCCAGAACACCAGAGAGAGCGCACACATACACAGTGAGATCATGGAAACCTCATAAAGGATTTAAACTAGCAACCTTCTTGCTGTGAGGCAAGTTTACCTTTGCACTATGTGCAACGTGTTCCAGATAATCTTATAGTAAAAACTTCATGATTTCACAATAGTTGTGACATTTGACAGAGCTGAAATTTTTCATTTAACCAAACACATATAAAAGGCACATACTGTTTTATTATTTGATGATTTTTTTACCCCATTATGGAAAATGCTGCAACACACATGGGCCAGAAATTCACTGATGCACAAGCAGGGTCCAATGAAAATGTTTTAACAGCGAGGAAGTACACAATGATGAGCGCTCTTGAACTGTTTGGGATTGCGTGTCCTGCTCAAAGGGACCTTAGTCATGCCAAGAAAGTGAACTAAAACCTCATAATGAGCAGTTCCAATTTTCTTATTCCACAAAGATCAAACAAATGCAGACAACTGCATAATTCATCAAAACCCAAAACAAAAGACCAAAGAATCACTGGATTTTAATGAATTCCTGAATTTTGCCAAACAGGTTTTGCAGCCACAGTTTTCTGCAGAGCAGAGGACTCCCTATGATTTTATTGTCACCGGTTTTCATGAGTACCACACTGACCACATACCCTTACTTTATGGTTTCACCAGGCTAAAATTGTGTCTTAGAAATTACAACACAATAGTTAAGATGATGTTCCAATTAACAAAGGTAAAAAAAAAATAGTGTTAAATTTGAAATCTATAAAGTAATTTCCCATTATTCTTCCACAGTATCAGTCTGACGTTCCAGCCATACAGTTACACAAGTTCACAAACATCAAGCTGTCATCTCTCTAACTCACAGGCTCAAACAAAGCTCTAATTGCTGCTGCAGTCTGAGTGTCAGACTGCAGCACAGGGCCTGGGCTCAGTACTCTGCTGGTTGTCTCCAGTAAATTGGCCGTTCTTACTCCCTACATGTTCTCCTACATAGCTTAAACATTTTATTTTTCCATGATGGATTTACTGAGACATTGAGAAGTCTCACTAAAGCACATCCTCCACTAATGATGCCCCCAACCACTGTCTGAAAATCACTATGAAAGCATCAGATCCCAAAGTCCTCTGTCTGTTTTAATGCAGTATGTTTGTTTCTTTTCCTCTTGTGTTTCTGTTTTAAAAGCCATGCCAAGTAGTGGTAACAGATTTTGCAGTATTTTTTTTTCCTTTTCAATAGACAGCTGTGTTTTGGGTTGAAGAAAGCAAATGACTGACTTGAATAATGGCTTTTATTAAAGGGTAATTGGAGTCAGGAAATCTAATCAGCGTGTTGACATTCGGATGTGGAGTACAGCTGGGTCTCCGGATCGGCTTTTCTGAGGAATGCACACAGTTTGATCATGAAACAGGTTTGCTCTTCAATCAAAGATTTCATGATGTGAAACATGACTCCAAAGATATTTTTCTGAGGGGAAAAAAACACAAAGGGCAAAACAAGAAGAGGGATTCTCATTGATGGAGAATGTCACTGACTGTGGACCTACAGCTTTAATGTCTGTCTTCAGCTGTCCCCAAATAACTATGATGGAAAAAATGAAGAGAGAGGTGTAAATAGACAAGAGGAATGGAAAAAGATAACAGGTACAAAAATCTACCAGTCTCAAGTTTTTTAAAAGAGGCCACCAGGACAAAATCCAGTAGACGAGTAAAACACTCAGCTTGATAGGTAGCACCTGGTTATACTGTAGGTTATTGTTAAAAGGACCCATCAATGATCAGTAAAAGTGACAGAAGCACTTATGACTGCCCATAAAGCTAAACAGTCTGTATAATAGTGCAGCTTGTCTTTGGAAATTTTATTTTTTAACTGATCAATATGTAACCAACACTGAAACTGCATTTCAGCACCATGGACAGCGACACTCTGGAGCAGCAGCAGCAGACTGTGCTGCTCTGAGATCAGTCTTAATGGGAAAACTGCTAGTAAGGATCTGATCAAGTGCAGAGCTTCAGTATCTGAACAACAACAAAAAAAACACACTTAAAAATCTCCAAGATTTTTCGGCTGACTGTTATAATAATCAGTCAAACAGAAAAGTCTCTGCAAGAGAAACTGAATGCTGATCTAAAAAAAAAAAAATCTATGAAGTGAGCTGCAGAAATGCTTCTCTCATTCAATCCCAATGCCGTAAAGTTGTGATTTCTTTGAATTTTTTTTTTACTAACAACCAAACAGTGTCTTCAAAAGTGTTTTATAATGCTGCGCAACCATGATGACTCATTTTTAGTGAGCCGCACTCAAGCAATACAACTGAGAAAACATCAGAACTCATACGTGAAAGAACTGAAGAAATGAGACACTTTGAAAGTATAAAAATTTGACTTTTTATGTAGTGTGTGCAGGAGATATTAAAGGCACTGTAAGGGATTTTAAAGTTGCTGTGAAACAGACTGAAACCAGACTCAAGCTAATGTCCCTTTTTGATGTTTAAAAGCAAAAGAGACCATCAGCAACTGGTCTGATCATATCATTCATGTGATCTTTAATGCTTAAAAGCTCTATAAGGGGGAAGAACAGTAAATATAAATGACAGACAGCTGAATAAACAGCCTTTTTGACTTTTCACACTCATGGCAGGTGACAGATTTTGTTGTAAAAAGACAACAGGATGAGGTTTTTGTCTTAAAATGTTACTTTAACTTGTACAGAACAGTAAATAACTGTAAAAGGCAACACTTTGTGCACAGGGGGGGCCAATGTCAACACAAACCTTATCACCTTAAATCTGCGTTCTTGCAGAGAAATATGCTTTTACGACATAAAGCTTAAAGTCTATCATTTTGGACTTTGATCTGGCTTTATGGAAGCGCATCTCCTCGTAATAAAAAAACAAAAAAGAACTGAATGAGTTAAAGAGAAGAGTATAAAGGTACAGTGGCCAAGAACTTTCACTGCAATTCTGATAAAAAAAAAGGAAATCGAAGCCCGCCGCAAATAAAAAAAGAGGCGGTGCAGATAAAAAACAAACAAAAAAAACATGACGTAACTTAATGATGCAAAAAAAAAAAAAAAAAAAGTGGCAATTAAAAAAAAAAAAAGAAAAAACTGCAAAAATAAAAGGATGCAAATTCATATGGACTCAGGCACTGCATGGCCTAACCAAATGACACATTGAAACGCACATGAAGCGTAATTAAACAATAACCTTTCAACTTACTTCTTTCCTCGCCTTCTTGCTGTTGTCTTCTGTGCCTAGATGGTAAAACACCGGTGAATCATCATTATCGGTCCCCGGCTGCTCACTTCTGTTGTGGCTTTTTTCATTTGCATCCTTTTATTTTCTCTGTAAGTAACTTTTTTTCCCCCTCATCACTTTTTTGTGTGTCCTTCACTTCCGTTGTGGCTTTTTTTATTTTTTTTTGCACCTTTTTTTTTTTATTTTTTTTTATTTGCAGTGGGCTTTGGTTTAGTTATTTTTTATTTGCATCAGTAACTTTCGGTGTGCCTTTTTTTTTGCATTCTTTTTTCATTTGCAGCAGTGGCGGTTCTCAGCCATCGTATAAATGCGTTTTTTAATATCATTCCCCTCAAAACTGATATTCCCAAACGGAAGCCGTGGCACCTCCACCATTTGGGAGAAGTTCCTCCGCCGCATGTAGAGCCGACTGCGCGGAAGCAGAGCCTCAGTCAGTCTGCTGGCACAGAGGGAGGCTGCTGCCACTTCTCCGTGTCATTATTCTTTGCAGGTTTCCTTCAGTTGCTCTTGAGCAGGAACAGATCACCTGGATTTAGTTTAAAAAGAAGAAAGAAAGACAGAAAAGAAAAGATCTCCTCCCTCGTGCACTTCTCCACCTGATGTGAAAAAGGAGCGCAGATAAAAGAGAAGCGAAATGGGAGCGTTTAGGGTGCTGCTGAGGAGTTTACATTACGTGGGACTCTACATGCAACTTAGTGTTTGCACGAGGCAAGCTGGACACGGCGAGATAGAGAACCACATCTCCGGGAACGGTAGGTGTGAGATCTGGGAGACTTGGTTTCTCTTCCTTTTTTTCAATGAAAGGACATGAAGGGAGGCTGTGAGGGGAGGACGGCAGAGGTGATGCCATCTGCTCGCATGCAGAGGAGGAATTAAACAAAGAGATGCACACAGGCTGAGAGGCTGAGGTTGATAAACTCATGCAAATAGCTGCTGTCTTGTTTGTGTCAGCTTGTAGCTTCTTTCTTTCTGTGACATGTTAAGGAGTTTTGGTTTGTGCATTGAATACATCAACCTCTCATTAAGTCAGAGCATGTCTGTCCATCACATCAGACCAAAAAGGTTGAAGGACTGAGTCAAATTTGGATCTCTGGATCATTTGCAGACTAAATACTCTTTGATAGGAGTCTCTGTGTAACAGTAAATGATGTTTGGTGATTCTGCGCTCTTGACTGACAGCATTGTGTTCTCTCTGAGCGCAGCATCCTTCATCCAGCGCTCCTCTTACTCCTCTTTCCTCCTCTTTCCTCTTCAGTGGGTGATTCATGCAGACAGGAAGCAGAACTGATGTCAGCTGATGGATGGAAGTTAATATTCTCTTTAAGTATCACCATGAAATCTAACCTGAGCAGCCTCCCCCCTCCCTCCCCCTCAGCAGGAACTTCCCTAAATGGCCAACAGTGTTTACACTTTGTTACGTCATACAGGCACACACACTCACACACGCTGTCTCACTCACTGTTTGTGGAGGGTTTGTGTGGATAACTTTGGCTCAGCCTGCCAATCTCCACAGGTGTCAGTCACTCTGTGGGTTTGGCAGATGTGCCGGCAGCTCGATGTTTGAGTTAGAAAAATAAAGTGAGGAGACGGGGAGCGAGAGGAGGCGAGAGTCAGGGAGTTTAAATGCCTCAGTGCCCTTGAGTCCAACTGCAGGTCCATCACTAACTTTTCCTACTTCTGAACTTTTACCTTGTGGTCAGATGCTTTTAGACTGCTCAAGATGGAATAATAATAATAAAAACAAAAAAACTCAGTTTGCAACCCACACATATGCTACACCGTGCAGAGTTTGCATCTAAAAATGCACACAAATGATCAACATTGATCCCATTTCCTTTAACTAAGACTCCAGCTGCTTACTTGAATGTATGTTTATTTAGATGCAATCATAGCACTGACAGGAATAAAAGAAAGGCTGAAAATTTAACCAGATTTGTCCAAAGCAGAACTTGATAAGTTTTAAAGGTTACAAGACTTTGGTCCGTCTCATATGACACTGGCTGACACTGAAGGTCCAGCTTCGACACAATAAAGCTCCGAATTTTAACATTCTTAGACTGACGCGATGCAACGAGGATGAGAATAAATGTGATTGTTAGCACAGGCTTTAAGGTGTAGAAATGGGAATGCTTAATGATATCTACTTGCCAAATTCTATTGAACACTCTCTTGCTGATCTCCTCCATCAGGGTCGAGAAGCTCTTGCGCTGCACGGTGGAGATACACAACACTATGGGCCCCATACAAAGGCAGACACAAAGGGCTCCTACCTGCACTGACAGCCAATTATTATACCCACTACCCCTTTTTTTGCCCCACAACAACCACTCTTTTTGTCTTCTTCTTCTTCCTGCTGGTGTGTTTCATGCTGCCGCTCATAAATACAGAAACACAAATGTCATTAGTTTGTCCGTTCTGTGCTGCTGCAGTAACCTGGCAATATAAGATGGCAGCCTCCATGATAGAGGATCTGCTCTCACCAAGATATAAAAACCTAAAAAGTGATATTCAAAAAGAAACCCCATTTACTCAGGCAGCTATAAACTGATTTAAACACGGTAGTTAATATTATATTCAATTTCTGTTCTGCATAGTTACATTAAATACTGCACCATTACTTTTCTGGCCAAATTAACATACTTTCACATTTGGAGAGCAAAATTTTGCGGATATTGCAGCTGGGAAAAAATTCAAAGATCTGGCAAAAAACACACAATTCATGTTTAATTTAAGCATCAACTGATCTACTAACTTTCTGCTGATCTTTTGAAATGAGCTTCTGTTTTTCTTTCTTCACATAAACTAAAAATCCCCTGCCTATTGTTCCAGATGTTTCAGACAAACTCAGGCTGATAAAGTTAACACTGAATAATGTCTATGACGCAAACTTACTTTGTTTCCATGCGCTTTATTCTACTGTTGACTGTCTCCTCAAGGTTAAGGTGCAGGAACTTAAACACATGCATTATGACCTTATTAAAGCACATTTTTCATTTGTGGTCATAGCTGGGGTTGTTTAATCTTTGTCTTTGTTCAAGTTGTCACAGTCTGTATATAGTGTCTGATTTCATTCATTTTATTAATATCTTGCCATCAATACGTACCCGTTTGTCTTCAGCTTCAAAGGCTGTCCATGTTCGTCCTCGTGAGTATGTGGAGTGCCATGGAGAGTATTTCTACATCTGTTGCTATTTCCAGCACTGTGAGTTGTATTTCTTGGCAGATTGGTGCATCCATGAGGTAACACATCAGAATCTGTTTTTTGGCTGCTTGTTGGGAGACACATTTTCAAACAGTGGGTGTGTGGTATTTTTATGGAAATATGTGTGCGTGTGCAGATAGTCTTGTTTTTTTGTTTTTTTCCTGAGGCAAAATGCAGAAAAAGAAGACGGCAACCGGAGATTTAAAACTTTTGTTGACGCAAGTGCATGAACAGATTCACACGCTACAACTCCTCATTTGAATTAATGCGTCAAATTAATCTAGAATGAAATACATAAAACCAGAGTGTAGAGTTTTGTCTATGACAACCACTGGATAAACTGTGGCTAGAATAATCTGCATGATTGGAGTGATGAGAGCTCAGGGGTATAAGTGAGGAGAAATCCATCTGAACTGGCTCGGTATTTGCAGAAAATTGACCACTTTATTGAGACATTCATAGTAATGAGGTGAATTCTCAGTGTGTGGAACCCCACAGTGAAATAGATAATATGAGGACCAACTGAGGAATAGCAGGAACCCTCTGGTTGCTTTTACTGTCAGTTTGGCCCGTACTGGTGTTTTTTTTTTTTTTTTAAAGCCTGTGGGGGTCATAATTTATCCTCCTTTTCCTTCACTGGTGCTCTACCAGCTGCAGTATAAAACACGGTAAAGAAAAAGGCAGTAAGAAAAATGAAAGAAAAGAGTTTGGGATTGCTCAGTTTCTGGTCTAATTCTGCGTTAGTCATTGATGCTTTTCAATTACCTCCTAATTAGGCTATGGTTATCCAGCCAGGCAATTATCCCAGCCAATCAATCGCCTTAAAACAATCAGTGAAGGGTAAATGAGCTGTTAGCCAATAAGATGCTAAAACTTTGCAAACTGAAACAGATTGTAATGAGACAGATGGAGAAAGCTGACAGAAGTCTGGGGACGAGAGTGTTGCAACAGAAAATCTTCATTGTAGTTTCCAGAAGCACAAAATTATGTCTTTAAATCACAGCGAACTCTCTCTTTTTAGAGGCAGGAATGGAATTAACGTCTCACAAATATGATAACATCACAATACAATATTTAATTGAATATTGAATTTTACTTCAGGGATAAATAAAGTTTTTCTTATCTTCTTATCCTATTGCAATGGAAAAAGAAGCCTTGGGAAAACTGCCATTTTTAGAGCTTAGAGCTGCCTGTGAATCAACCCTTCTTTGGTTAGTGAGATGTATTTTGATTGCTTGTTGTAACTTCAGCCTTTGTCTTTTTGTAGAAAGCTGCTAAACGTGATTAAAGTGAAGCCTTTGTGTTATCAAGTATTTATGCTTTGGCACAAGTGAGTTCACTAACCTTCTGAATCCTTTGTTGTTGTTAACCACAGAAAAAGTCTGTAGGTTTTCAGCTTCATTCATTGTATAGGGGTGAAAACACTTCCTTTAAAGTCTTTTGGCTCGGCTGGATTTTTTTCTTCACATTTCTTTAAATCTTTTCTGATGACGCTTGGCCAAGTGGCTCCTCTTGTTGGTAGGTAATGTCAGTCTGGCAGTGACTGCATAGTTAGATAGGTTTTAACTACACCATCAAACCAACATTGTATTAGTCTTGCATTGATTGTTCAAATACACCAACAATGATCCATGGGCTGTTCAAACTGTGCCATTCAGTGTCTTTTAGTCATTAATGAGTTAATCATTCATGGCAGCTCTACCCTGAACAACATTCATAACTGCTGCATTATCATTAATCCACATAAATTCATACGTTCCTTTTGTGTAAGGTGACTAAAATGCGCGTCTTGCTCCACTGAAGATGACATTCACATCTGTGAGCCTCCATTCAGAGACGGTCTTATATCCTCACCCTGTTTTGACCCCCATCACCACAGATACCAGCCCCATTCTGACTCCCATTATTAGATTGGGTTTGAACCATTTTTCTCCAATTCAACAGGTGAATCATTTACCATTCAGTGAAGACAGACGCCTTTATGGCTGCTGCTGCCCCTTTAAAAGGCTTCAGGCATGGCTGCTCCTCTGCACTCTGACTGAATATAGAGGAATATAGTGGAAGGATGTGTGAGAGTGAACTCAGGTGTAGCACGGATGCAATTACAGCCTGCGACTGCTAAACCTCCTTATAACTCTGTCCTATGCACCTTAAATGCCCTTTTTAGTCAGTGGTTGTGTTGTGTGATAAATATAGACGGGATGGGGGGAAATAGGACTTCCTCCAAAAGCAAACTGGAGCAGCGAGGCAATGACATCACACCGCTGTTTGACTATTAAATATTCAACAGTAGCTGATGCAGTATCCCTGGCAAACATTCAGCAGCAGCTTGTGGGGTTTACTCATGTATTCCACAAAATCAGACGCCAAATGTCCCTGTCTACTCCTCGCCTCCCATTCACTCAATTACAGTTTACCTCCATGAGGACATGTCCACGCGGTGGTGGGGTTCCTCACACCGTCACAGCATGTAGTACAGAGGAATAAATCCCCCAAAATGTGGTCAGCTGATCTTCAGGTTTGGATCTGCCAGTATGGGCACAGCTCCAAGTAGCACTGATGCAAAATGACATATTATTGCTACTACAGCATAACACAAACATCTGCTTCTTTGCACCATAAATTTAGAGAAAAAATAAATTTTTAGGTGGATTAAGGATTCTTGTCATGTCAGTCAGAAGTAGTGATGGGCAAATTAAGCTTCTGGAGTTCTCATTATAATTGGGAGATACGAAGCTTTAAATCAAGAAAACACAGGGACATCTGGTGGCGACTAAAAGAAATAGCAGTCCAAACAGTGGCGCTCTTTAGTACCACCACACTCTTGATATTCAGACAGCTTTGGGTGAATTTGCAAGAAACGGGGCTGGAGACAATCTCAGCTGTCATTGGACAAGAGGTGGGGTACATCCTGCACTCTCAAAATGAATGTGTTAAAATCTTACACATTTTTTGTGTTATTATATTTTAACATTTGTTATGTTATATTTACACATCCTGTGTTATTATCCTAGACACACTTTTGAGTTAATGCTATTTTAACACATAAAATAGTTATCATGTGAATTAAACACAACATGTGTTAGCTGCTGCTAGGTCAAAGAGGTTATTAATGAAAACACCTGCCAGAGTTATTTTTAACCAAGCAGTGGCTTTATTAATTGTCCTACTTTTGAATAATTCTGGAATCATCTTTTTTTTATAAATTCTGTAACTTTTTTCTTTATTTATTTTTAATTTTTTGAGAGGGAGGAAGCTCCTCAGCAGGGGAATCAAACCTCCAAACACCCAGTCTCAGGGTGGACCACAAGGCCACTGAACTGGTATCTGAGACCAGATTCTTGAGTAGCACGGTGCCCTGAAGACAGGAGTATACCTTTCCTCACACACAGACGTATGGTTCTCTTAATTGACTATGGTTTGGGTTGTGCTATTTTAACTCAATAAAAATAAAATATTAAGTTCCATTTCGGGGGGAAATAAATCCAAATATATAAGTCCCATTTCTGTAGGACCCCCAGCTGATCTGTCCACTTTACTCAGACACCTGGATGGTCCCTGGCTGGGTGACCCTGGGTCATAGAAGCTTGTAGCTCCAATTTAGGGGTGTGGATTGGAGCAATGCACTGAGAAAGTTGCCACATGAACCAGCTCTGGAAAAAAATCATGTTGTGTAATCCCTTCTTTGATCCTCCTGGGGGCAGCACTCGCCACTGCCTTTGATGGCTTTGAAATGCAACAATGGCAGCTGTGCTAACAGCTACAGGCTAATAATCAAGCTCGCTGAGGAGTTGGTCTGCACTCACAAATGTGTGAGAGGCACATTTACATTTGCAACTCAAACTACACGCCACGGGAGTAACGCCGTTGTAACCCGGCCCAGCGTACAGCCTCGAGCCACAGGGGACGGTTGTTTGACATGCCATGTCTGTATTTTAGGTGTTCCATTGTTGCACTGATGGTTTAAGATTGAAATGTTTACAAAATGTTTAATGCTTATACTCTGTGTTTGCACTATGTTTTGCTCTCAAGTTTGCACTAAAGTCTTACAAAGTCCAAGATTTTGCGCTGCTGCCTGAACCAAATAGATTTTATAAAAGTGACTTGAGATTCAAGCAATTGTTTATTCTTTTTAGTGACCAGGTTTGGTAATTTAGTAGATAATCGCAGTAGCTCAGGAGGTAAGAGCGCTCGTCCAATAACCGGAAGGTTGGCAGTTCGATTCCCCCCTATCCCAAGTCTGTCCGTTGTGTCCTTGGGCAAGACACTTAACCCACCTTGCTCCCAGTTTGCGTCCTCCACTGGTCTATGATTGTGATTGTGTATGGTGGTCGGAGAGGCCGTAGGTGCAAAATGGCTGCCATGTTTCCGTCAATCTGCCCCAGGGCAGCTGTGACTACTAAGGTAGTTTACCACCACCAAAGCGTGACTGTGTGAGCGAGTGAATGATGTAACACAATTGTGTGTAAATCATATGAAAATAAAACACTTTTGTGTGAAGAATACATAACGTAGCTATGTGTAAATTGCATGAAAATATGACACAGCTCTGTGTTATCTTTGTGTAAACCCAACACAGTTGATGTGTTGACACATTTAACACACAACATGTGTAAAATCTGTCAACACAAAGTCATGTGTCAAAACAACACAGTGTGTGTTGTCCTTAACTAGACACACGGATGTGTTAAGAAATAACACATGATGAGTTATTTCTAACACATTCGTTTTGAGAGTGTGGACATGTGACAGGTGAGACAAACAGTGTAAGAAAACAGACTCAGAGGATAAGACACATCACCAGTGGAGCCAAAGCTACACACTTTTAAATTACTGACATGTATCAAGCATCTGTAAAATGAAAGATCGATACATACCGTATTTGTCCAATTATCAACCAAGGCCGATAATTGGTCTTTGCCTCATCTGCACACTTAAGTACTGACACACTGCATTTGATCTTTGTTTTAAGAGCACTTTGTTGCAATTGAATAACCTAATGTTTTCAAAAAGAGCCCTGATATTTAACAATTTTTGTGAATGTGAACCTTTTGTTGGAGATGTTTGAATACATTTTGGGGCTTAATTCTTAAAACTGCATGTTCAATATTTAAGGATTTAAAGCCCCATAAGGTTGACACTGAATACTAATATTTCAGTGATGTGCTTGGCCGTACTCTTTGTAAATTAATCTCCTCTTCCCCTCTCAAAAATTATGATCACACAGTTTAATTGTCAACTTTCTAACTTGTAAAGCTGTAAGAAGTGGTGTCACCGTCACATAACGTTTCATGTTGGATGTAAGCTACAAAGCTTCATGGTGAAACAACTCATAAAAACGTGGTTTAGAGCTCCATTATCGTCACCTCTCTCTCCAGTCTGGACCACAGAAAACTTTTCATGCTAATTTGTGAACTCTATACATAAGTTCAAGTTGTGGACTAAGCTTGGTGCTTGTGGATTGACATTATATTCAGGACAGAAGGTTGGTGCCAAACTTGGTTTGCTATTTTTATATGAAGCAGCAAATATGAAGCAGCCTGAGATTGTTTCTAAATTTAAATAATTAGGGCGACTTTTAATCTTCCTGTTTCTGACTGTGTGCCTCTGTCCTCAAAAACACAAAGACACATGGAGGAAGAAGGAAAGTGTCAACCAGAGGGACAGGTGAGGGAGCAAAGAAGAGAAGGACAGGCTGACAGGCTGTTTCCGAGCTCGTTGGTGCCCGGTGGAGGGTAGAGCTGTTGTATTTGGGTCCTGACCTCACTATACACAGCTCACTGAAAGACGAGTGCTGCAGGGCAGAGTGGGACAAACTACAGGAGGAGAGAAATTATTACTGTAGCTGCACCTCACCTCTGCACAGTGTACAGCTCTGTGTTCTCAGGACTTAAAAATCAATCCTGTACAAGTCTCCTGATTGCCCCTGCATATCCTTTATGTGCAAAGAATACCCAAAGTGATAATCCCTGACAGTTTCAAAGTGGAAGGTGTGTTTTTTTTGCAGCGCTTCACTATTCACTTACATAATTCAACACATTTTCCAGTTAAATCAGCTTCATGATGGTTGTTTTACAGGGATTGCCTCATGACACTGGAAAAAATGCTTCTGGACTTGTATGCCAGGAGCAGATGTATGTTGAACAATTAGAACACCATCACTTATACCTTTTGGCTATATGATACATCAGTTTTAAGTTAACTATTTTTTACATCCTTTTTTCATCTGTTGAGGTTTTTGTTTGCCTGCCGGCATCCAAGCATTAAACTTGCAGGCCAAAGCCAGGCGCACAAACGCTTGTGCATCCACATACTTTTTAGAGTGACAGAAGCACATACATGAAAGAAAGAATCACTGATCATCTGCATTATCTAGGTCTGTTAGTCCAACTATGAGAAGTTTGATTTCGTGTGATTTCAGTCAGACTATCCTATTTACATGTTTTAAAAATCCAGTTTTGGTCAAACACAGATCAACTTTTTGACCAACGTAAACACCTCAAAACAGTAAAACTGTTCTGTACAAGGGTCAATTTTGGCACCAGGCTGTGAACATTATGAAATTTGCTGTAAAATTAGTATTTTATAATTGGCTCTAATGAATTTATCATTGTTTTTGGCACCAGCCTCCAGTGGACTCTCTCAGAACTGCAGTTTTTTTTTTGATTGGTTTCTGAATTGGCTTCATTTTTCACCATTGGAGGTGGCGTCTTGGTTAGCATTGGTTGTCTGATTTAAATCAGTGCTTCAACGTGGCAGGTATGCTCTGGATCGCCACTTAACCCTTTAGCATGCCATATCAGCTGACCGTATCCTCTCTGTGTTACAGGTCTTTCTTTATAATTCATTTAAATATATTTCCCATTATGCACTTTGTGATGGTTGCATCCTTTGGCATCGTTAGCTGATGTTCAAGTGATTGTGCTGTATTCTACATTTTTGATCAAATCTTATTAAATCTTTCTAGCTTCCAAAAAAGGATAAATAATTCCCTGTACTCTCATCAGGGTGCAAAAAAACTCAGTGACAAGCACAATGAATCCTCTGAATATTTTCATGTTTGGCACCAGAAAAAAAAAAGGGTAACAAAACTGGAGTGTAATCATGGTGCAACACTTTGAAACATTTACAGACAAACCAGGCAGATTGGTGGGAAATAAGTGGTAAGCTCAAACATACTGTTCATTTAGGCTCTATTTTAAACACTGATGGGTAAAATATTCACGGTATTTTAAATCTGTTTTGATTGGTGTAATAACAAGCGAGTACACCCTGCATTTCTACTTCCAGCCCCTCAAAAAGACACTGAGACTCTGACTGTTACAACTTCGTTATTAAAAAAAATAGGAAGGAAGGATACTGGCAGCTGGTAGAGATGAATAAATGTGTGAGAAAAAAGGACATTAGAGTAAAAAGAAATACAGTCTATGCTTGAAACACAAAATTGTGGAGAACAGGTGGTTACGATCTTGGCTAAAATCCATTAGTGAAGGCAGGAACACATGGAGCTGGCTCATGAAATGAAAACACTAGTGCTTCAGTTTGGAAACTAATAAAAAAACCTTATGGTGAAGTAAGTTTTTTGGCAAATTAAACACAATTATTAGGAAAAGAGTGGAAGGATTTATGACCTCTCTGATGCCCAAAGTAGCTTTAAGTATCTTTAAGGCGGTTTGATTGAACAAAATAGTTGATGTTCAAAAAAGCTCAGGAGAAAGTGGAGTTTGTGACTTACCTCATCTACCCACTGAATACTAAACAAAGTGAAAACACAGCACCCCTGAGAGCAATTATTTTCAGCTACCTTGACAGGCAAGTAAAGAGTAACTACAGCAACAAGCAGGAAGCCGAGCACGGATTGTTTACCAAGGACTGAATATTTACTTCAACCAAGACAACGCAAGAGGGAGAAGTAATTAGAAAGCTCATGGAAAAGACTAGAAAGGCGCAGTCTCTGTACCCGGCCCAGCTGAAACTATTTTTGGAGTCAGGCATGAAAACAGTGAACATGCTGACAGACGCTGCGCCTGTGCTGAAAAAGACGGGGATTTACATCGAAGAGGACGAGACAGTGAAACTTCAGAGAGTGCCGATACAAAGCAACTGGAGCACTGCGATGGGGAGGCATGAGAGGAGAGGAGCGCCAAAAGATGACAGACAAACAGACTGTCATCCAAGTAATTTTGTCCAAATACACTGCATGCTGAGAATCCTGATCAGGACATTAAAATGAAGGGAGGACTTTAACAGATAAGGAAGCAGAACAAAGCACTGGGCTTACCGATGCTTGCAGATTTTCCAAAGAAACACCAAAGTGTAACACATGACAAGGTAGATGTGCTCTATATACATGCATTAAAAGCCTAATTAATTCTACTATAGTATATTATGTCCATACAATTAAAGGAAAATTTAAATACAGCTCTGAAAACAGTGCTGAAAATTACTTCAAACATGCAGCTGCTGGAGGAGAGTAGGTGAGTTGCGTTTAGTCTCTTTGCTAAAGAAACAGGCAAAGCTAAAAAGATGTTTGGTGGCTAGTACTATGGCTGGGACCCTATATGTACTGTTGATGAAGTTAGGTGCTGTTCTGAGCATTATTTGTGACTATACAGTGGCTTTTTGGTTGAAGTTTACATGTGGAGACGTAGACCGCTGTAAATTGCTATTGCGTGGTCGTTACTGAAGTTGGTATAACTAAAGAAGCAAGCAGTCGGTAACATTAATCTCTGAAGGGGGTGTTTAACTTTGTGTTACGGTGTGTTTGACCCTAAATGAATTTAATGCTGGAATATCTCTTTATATAATATACCAATAATATGAGGCAGACATACTTAACACTAACTGGTTCTGTTTGTTTGTTGAACGGTGGTTGAATCGTGCAGCCTATTAACAGACTGCGGTCCTCAGAGCAGACAGCCTTGGTTTGTGGCCCACCATCGCATGCCATTCCCAGTTTCCTCTCTTTTCATTATCTTGTCTGCTCGTAGAGCATAAAAGCCCAAAATAAAACCAAAAATTAAAAGAACTGATCGACCTGTTATGAGTTAATACGAAGGTCTCACCATGGCAGGACTGCAAAGAAGGGAAGCTCTGGATACAAAAAAGAAAGTCCAGCAAAAACACATTGTTTATTCAGGGCTGTAAACTCTGGTTTGAAACAGCTTTTAACAGAGTTATGCAGAGTTTTTCTCCTTCCTGTGCAGATAAACAATGATTCAGAGGCCTCTCAGATGTCATTACTTATTGAAGTAAAATGATTCTTTCAAGGTCTGCAGTTTAAATGAGGTTACTTATTCACCAGTCTAAAATCTCTGCGGTAGAGTATTTCATGATTCATTAAACAGTTATGTTGTGATGTGAGGAATAAATAGCATGAACTCATCAAAAAAGAGGACTGGATTGTTTCTTTCAATGATAATATTTACTGTTTCCTCAGTTTATTAGTTTATTCTATAGGTTTTAGTTGTCTGAAAATGTTTAATAGCTTTCTCCAAAATGTCCTTGAATGTATACACAGTCTATAATAAAAAGCTGTGACTTATATGTCATGTCATGATTTTTGACGTAAGCCAGCAGCCCTAAGTCATAGAGAGCTAAAAAATCCAGACAGAGAAGTTTAAAGCTTTTTTTTTTTATAAGTAAAAGAAATCATTCAAAGGGTTTGCCAATGCTACAGCAGGTTGATTCATCTCTTTCTGGTGATATCTGCAGTTGTTGCTTCTTTCCTCCATGGCTGCGGTCAGTATGAGAGCTCAATAAAAGCAGACACACAGCTGCTTGTGTCTGATACAGCCGGCTGATTTATCAGTCTCACCTTTGAGGAGCCATGACAGCGGTTCATGTGTTGCACTCATTGCTTGACAATGCAGACTTGGACCTTTTGAGTCCTCCATCACTCTTCCTTCCTCCTTCCTCCTCTCGCCTGTCGCCTGTCACTGCTCGACTTGTGTGTAATAAACTCCGGATCCTCTCGCTTCCTTTACCATCAGAACACCCTGCTCACAATCGGCACAAACAAGCTGCGAGGTCAGACGGCAGTCAAGGACTCTCTTTTTCTTTTCTTGCTATAAGTGCCTTCTGCTGCCGCGCTCGTCCTTTACTTTCCTTCACCAATGTGTGTGTGTGTGTGTGTGTGTATCTGTGTGTGTCTGTGTGAGGACATACTTTGGAGAAGAAATGATTGCAGGCAGCTTTGAGCGTGGTGATACAAAGCTTCACTTTCTCTGAGGTGTCCGTCTCTGACTGAACCTTGTCATTATCCAACTTGTGTGTGTGTGTGTGTGTGTCTCTCTCTTTGTGTGTGTAAGTGTGTGCGTGTGTGTGATGCACATGTGTGACTGTCTGCAGACTTTGTATTTATGATAATAAAGGCGGCTTTGAGACGGACAATCCACATACTCTTTGTGTTGCTTGAGTGTGTTTGTGCCTTTGCATTTATGTTCAAGATGTGTGCATATGTGTTATGTGTGTGTGTCCAGAGACATGGCGGGGAATAGAGCACACACACACACACACACACACACACACACACACACACACACACACACACACACACACACACACACACACACACACACACACACACAGCACTCAGCATGATGATGTTTGGGGACGTGCTTGGCTGTAAAGGCTTGTTGAGAGAGTGTTGCTTATCTTCCATTAGACACATTACTGCCAGCATTGCCATCAAAGTAGAAAGGCACACACACACACACACACACACACACACACACACACACACACACACACACACACACACACTCTTAGATTTGGAGCGACACACACACACACAGGCCTCTCCTGGGGAGGCACTTGGCAGGATTCATCTGTTGGCGGTTTCACTGAGGGAGGAAAGAGGAGGAGGCGGAGCAGACAGGCGAGGAGGGGAGCGTGATGTATCCGTGGTCCAGGATCAGTCATTTTGCAGCCTGAAAGAGCTCCTCAGCCTCCAGCAGGCTGCCACATCATTTAGTGAAGTATCATTGTTCCCTGAAGAGCCTCCCCTCATTTGTTAAACTCTTTTTGCACAATGCAACTGTGTCTTTTAGTCGTGAGTTATTCTGCTCAAAATGTCATCACAGCTCTGAGATTATTTGCACTTCTTTGACTCATTCTTGAACAAATTTGAACAGTTTCCCTCCTCAAAAAGGTGTTAAATAATACCAAAAGCAGGAGAAACATTTCGGTACGTCTTGCTACTGCATGTCAGTCTGACATTACACATTGCCTACGCTCCCCAGAGGGAGTGTGAGAAATGTAAATTAATCATTAAACATAAAAAAATGAAAAGCCTTCAGCATATTTGTTGCATTTTGAAAGAATTGAGCAGACACTGCAAAAAGCCGCCTTAGTGCTTTTTTAATCACATTTAATGCAGCAATGCAATTACAAGGCTGCCTCGTCAGTCCATTGCAGTGATTTCATAATTCACATACTGCTGAGACTTAAGAAAATAATCAGCCAGGTCTATTGTGCTCAGAGTAAGCATGTAATATTCATATCATGAGCTACACTGAAGGCCAGAAGACGCTGCCTCTGATCTGCTGTACTAATATGGCCCACATCTTCATTCAAACTAAATGAGGATAGTTACTTTTTATAGCATCCTTCAGATATAGCGATGATGAATGGGCAAACATACAGTATATATTTAACAGGCTGAGCAGAGAAAAGTCTGGAAAAGGTCCGCTATAAGGGGAGAATGTAAAGGTCAGCATGCATAAATACATATTCAAAGAATAAAAGTTATAAAACAGACAGATCTGACAAGCGAGTGAGCAATAAAGTCAAACATTCAAATGAAGAGTATTTCAGCTATAGAAATAGGACAGTACGATGAAGCGGCTAACTTTAAAATCCACTCACTTTGTGAGACAGGCAGCTTTGTGGTTATAATCTCTGTGAGTTTTTGTGACATCCAGAGGCTTTTCTGTCCCACAGAGGAGATTGGTGATTTTCAAAGTCTGTCCAGAGAAAAACCAAAGTGACCTGTGAGGATAAAATTGAGTAATTTAGTGTTTTTACTGTTTTTACCCGATTGTGCTAGATGGAGGCTGCCATCTTTTTAGTTTGTGCAGCTGACAACATGCAAAAAATCCAATGAGGAGCCAGAGGAGCCTGAGACAGATGTCATTTATTTGATGTCCAGATTTTCACAGTATAGAAATATAATGTATAGAATATAATAATAATAATAATAATAATAATAATAATAATAATAATAATACATTTTTTTTGTCACTACACTCATATTAATGAGAGCAGTCTCTTTTTTTACCTCGTCCCCCTCCCTCTTGTGTGTTCTTTCCCCATCTGCAAATACAATCTAGTTGTGCATAAGTGCAATGACAATAAAGTATCTTGTATCTTGTATTTTATTTGTAAAGCGCTTTTCAAGAACGCAAAGACGCTGTACATGAGTAAAAGCAAGAACAATAAAACACACATCAATATACAATAAAACACACATCAATATACAATAAAATATACATCAGTATCAATAAAATCATGTAAAATCCATGGGGGGAGACTACTATGGAGGATGAAAGGCAGTGCGGACGAGGTGGGTTTTGAGAAGGGTCTTGAATCTGTTGAGGTCTGTGCAGTTTCTGAGGTCCAGTGGGAGTGAGTTCCAGAGGGTGGGGGCGGCGACTGAGAAGGCTCTGTCCTTATATATATAGTTTATTTTACAGCCAGAACATTTATTAATGCTCTGAACTTCTGGCTTTACTTCTCTTTTATGTGGCCTTTTCCTTAAACATTGCTCTGTAGACCCCAGAATGTGCAGGATCCTGGTCTAAGTGCAGCTCAGTACATGGGGATTACTTCTAGATGTAAAGTCTGATTTCTTTGGCTCTGTTTTTCAAACTCTGACCCCCCCCCCAGTCTGCAAATTTAAACAAAGAAAGGACTTTGAGCTTCAAGTTCATTAGGTGGTACTGCACACTGCCCAGAAAGATGAAACTATAACAGAGCAAGCTGCAACTTAAGTCGTTTTTGGAGCCTTCCCTTGTGTAGCACGCGCACACGCACACACACACACACACACACACACTCAATTATGTGTGCTGCCCCTGGCCATTTTCAGTCAGGGTTATCCATTACGACTCTGCAGTGACCGAGCCTAATTACACCGCTGTGGAGAGCCTCTTTTCCTACGCAGTGGGTGTGAATGTATACAGACACAGACGCACGCGCATGTGTGTGTGTGTGTGTGTTAGAAAGAGAGAGAGAGAGTGTCGTCTGTGAATGACTCTACATCCCCTGATTGGTTCTGCAATTACCCAAACTGGAGCCAAATTAACTGGCATACAGTGAAGGGTAGTGTTCAAAGTATTGTTTGGGGCTCAGACACCCTGACACACATGCACACACACACCTTTACACACACACACTAACAGCCTCACTTTGCTTGAGTCCAGTCACGCTCCTTCGTTTCTTCCACCAGCTGCCACTGACTCACACATCCTGTCTTTCATGTCCAACTAATAGGCCTGTGGCCATCTTTGAGGCCCTGCATGGTATTTACAAAGGTCTGCTGAGCCGGACAGCATGATACCTGTGGGCAGTGTAGATTGAAGCATTTAACACACACGCACACACTAATACCCTTACACACAGCTTGGTGTGACAGAGCAGCATTAAAGTGAGTGGTATTAGCTCAGTGTGGTTTGTAATGGTTGGCTGCTCTGCAGATGAGAGCTGCAGTCCAGATAGATGCTGAATGCTGCTAGTTACACATGGATACTATTTACTGATTGTCCTGTCTAAGTGTTTTTTTCTCATTATTGAAGTTACAAATTATATTTCCATTTATTCAATAAGTCTTTAAAAATGTGTTTTATTATTAACAACACATTGTTATTGTTGAAACTGTCAATATTGCTCATTGATTTGCCCAGATTGATTATCTCTCACTTTGTCTGATCACCTGTCCAAAACTTTCTTTTTTCATGAAGATGAACTAAGACTGTGGAATATTGCAGCCATGTCCAATCAAATCTGCGAATAAATCTAGGAGCGATTTATTCGCAGTGAAGACAAACTCTATCAACCCGACAACTAGAACAACCAGCTGCTTGACTCAACACACCACTATAAGTATGCGAGATTACACAGATGCTGTTATACTGACTGCAAAGTTTGGGAAACGCTGACTTATTTGTGCATGGCAGCTGTTGTGTACATGTATTACACATTTGTCCAGATGGCAGCTACTGGTTTGTTTGGGTCTAGTTACTGAAGTTAAAATGACTGCTAAGAAATGAATGTGCTGAGTTGAAAAAACAAATCATAGTCACCGCTCTGTTTACAGTAAATATAGGACTGCGCTTGCTCTTACTCAAGAAGACCCTCTTTACTCAAGCCTGCATGCTCTATTTTGGTGTTTTGACATGAAGGACTAATTGAAGGTTAGTAGTTTGTGTTTATATATATATATATATATATATATATATATATATATATATATATATATATATATATGTCCAGTGGGGTAGTTACTCATAAATTGTAATGAGATTACTTAACTAATTACTGCATTTGAAAAGTAACTTCACTGCTTATTACTTTACTTTCCCATTTTTTAATTTACCATGTAGAGGTACATGGAAAAACGTCATACCCCAATCATCACTGAGCATAGTCCACCTCTATTGTATTTATTGTATAAATGTCACCTGGGCATAGAGTGGATTTTATACAAATATTTTTGTCCTTTCGACTAATATAGTGAAAGTAATGCAAGTATCATCACCACTTGCCGAAAGCCCCTGTGCCATCAACCTGATTAATATGAGTTGGTTTCTTGGAATTGACTTTTTATGTAGCAAATTGCCACCAGTATGCATGCCAATTTTACTTACACAGTGGTAAAAGGAGGCTGTGGCATATAAGGATAGTGCCCTGTGAAGGGGTAGTTATGGAGAGTAGAATTTAAATGTAGCATGGTAATGTAAACTAACACACAAATGCAAAAAGACCCAATAATATAAATTCAACATTGTGTCATTTATCAGCTACAGGTGGGAAATCCCCCGCCCCACTCCACACGTTGTACCTCAGTGTTAAATTTTTGCAAAGTGTTCCTCCACAAAATCATTTTCTGTGTCTTCAGAATATATCAAAGTAAAAGCAAACAGAAGCAGCACACCAGATTTCCTGCAGGACTCCGACAGTTTCCTCCTCAAAGATTGAGCAGCAAAGCTCCTTGAAGCTGGAGGGGAGGCATTTCATAGCTGGGACATGCTGAGGACATTCTGCTGCCACAGAGAGGCTGTGGATGCAGCTGCTCTGAGCTCGACTTCAGAGTCCCTCGGGGTCGACTTTTTCTCCGCATCTGGCTCTGCTGCTCAGAGGGGAAAAGTTTGCCCTGCGACAGAGCTCGATATCGGAACTATATTGCCCTAAACATGACACTGTATCACTGATGAGAGCATGCTGCATATCCTGCTGAATTACTTCTGGAGGGAAACATTAAGCACAAAACTGCTCAGTGCTCAAGCTATAACTCTAGACAAGGGATTAGTGATGAGGATATGATGCATATCGAATCACCTTTTGACTGGAGGGATGTGTTCCCAGCAGTACATTTAGACTCACACATTTCCTTGTTTCTTTCCCCTGTATTCCAAGCATTGGTTGTTTTCCCTGCAGCTCCTCTGTAGGGGCCATTTTGACCTTTTTCCATTATGTGTTCTGTTAAATGTCTCCAGCATCTTAAGATGGTGTTGGAGGAAACCAACAGACTGGTTTCATGAGTCTAATTTGAAGCATCTTTCATCACAAATACGGCTGGGTGATAAAACAATAACAATATATCTTGATAATTAATTTCCCTTGATATCGATATCAGCAATCTGCCATGTTTTGGTAGACTATACGAATAGCTAATGAAAAGGGGAGTTGCTCCGGGTCCGCTTCGCACTGAACCAATCGTGCTGAATTAGAATCAAGTAACAAACAATTGCCTAGAAACAGGCTGCAGCTACATGCAACCATAGCACTTGAACACATATAGCCGAAAGCACTGTTGGTGAGAAAAAAAAGAAAATGAGTGCTACCCCCAGCTGAAATGCAGATGAAGGCTCAACAGATGATGACATTGTTGACAACAGTGGCACGAAAACATCTGTGGTGTGGAGGTATTTTGGTTTTTTGAGGTCGGACATTAAGCAGAGTAATGTACACAGCAAATTATGTCGAGTACAAAGTATGTTCTCCCAAAGTCGGGGAATACCTCAAATCTTTGACACCACCTGAAGCAGTGCCACGCAGCAGAGCACGCACAATGGAAAAGGTTAAAAACCCCAAGTGGAGCAAGGAGCCGATGGCGCCTGTGCAGTCGAAACAGTCAACCATTCAGTCAGCTTTCTCCAGCGCAACGCCTTAAGACAAAGGGCTCAGTGGTATTTTCGTCTGGCGGAGCCCGGAGTACAGCCAGTTTGGTATTTTCATGGACTGAGGCGCACTGAGGTCCGCCAAGCTGGGCGTGGTGGCGTGGCAGAGGGAGGTGTCAACAGAATCAGCTGGTGCAGTGACATTTTTGTGCTCGCCGGTGGTGTATAAAGTGCACTGAAAGCTCGCCGATTCAAAGCTCGCCGAGCGCAGCTGGTCAAGTGGTATTTTGGTAGACCGGCTGCGTATCAGCATATGTCACCGATGCCTCACCGGCAGGTTTCCACAGTGTCAGGCACATTTCAGTGCAATTAATAATCAACAACAACTAATAATCTGAGTTAGCACATACATTTAGATCTATAGATAAATCTGATCTATATCTGATCTGATGAGCGCGTCTGGCACGCGTTTGGACACACAACCTGACCGAATCAACACAGCTGAAACCGCATCAAATTAAATTAAATATCTAGTAAATATACACACATGATGAAGTTAACTAGATATGTAATTTGTCTAGCTTCTTTTCTATCTTCCTCTTCCTCTTATTTCTCGCACCGCTCGACCTGGACACGTCTCCGTGTCCTCTCCCCGTCCTGCTGCAGCAGCGGCTCAACAGATGATTTGTTTCAGTGCTCAGATGAGTTATCTACTTTAAGCCGACATACGAATATTATAATATTCAGTTTTGTGAGCCAAATTTATTTTATATGCCAACATTTATGAAAGAAAGAGCCAGGTCACGGAGCGCGATGCGTCATTTACGCACAGATGGTTCCAATTTTAATGCCATTATTGGAATTTATGATGTGATCTCTGCACACAACCCACCTTTGTCACGTGAGGTTTGAATATGTGCAACTTTTTGAGAGTCTTTTTTTGTGGAAAAGGGTGTTTGTCTTACTAGTGGGTCCAAACTTACACACACCAAATCCATCTTTGCTCATATGAGAGAGTGTGAAGGACGCCCTCTGCAGCACTTACAGTGACACTTGTTGAGGGGCTGCCTTCTGTCGCCATCTCTTGATCTCTTTGACTACTTCACAAAAATAGTAATATGCCTCGCCAGTGGCGGATTTAAAGGCGAGGATAGGAGCTTATGTTATTGGTCAATACAGGTCTTGGCTGTGTTAAACCCACTCCACTGTCTCCTCCCTCCCTATGACTTATGGCACTGGGAGGAGCTGAGTTAGGGAGGGGGGATACTTACGCCGGGCTGCGCTGCTCACCAAAATACCAAATTGTGCTTGGGAACGGCTTGTCGGTGCGTCGGACCTGACTTACGCCTCGCCTGACTTACGCTACGTCTCCGGCGATGCATGAAAATAGAACCCAAAATGTCAAAGAGACACAAAGACCTCACAGATCTTATTGTATTGCAAAAGACATGCTACCAAAAAGCACTGTTAAATTTCATGGAAGAGTAAAAGAGAACATATAATTGTTTAAAACATATCACATTTATGTTTTAAACAATTATACACTCATTAACTGAATTGATAATCTGCAATGGTGTTTTAAAACATGCCCCAGTAAGTGTTCTCAGGGTCCAGGAGGATTTGAAGGTTTCACATCCTCAAGTTTAAACTTTAAAAATACAAGAGAGCCAGGGACACTTAATGATTTTCCAACAGGTGTTAATTTTTTGTTAGCACATGTCATAAATTCTGACTGCACAGTTAGGTGCATGCTGTTAGATATCTAACCCTGATGCAGACTGTTCACTGGTTATCATTCACTCCAGGTTGGACGTCATTGTCCCTGTAACAGCTGCTGATAATGTTTGGTCTTTGTCCTGAGCTCTGCGATATGTCAAGCTCATTAGCTCGACCAAACTGTAGTGTATGAAAGACAAACAGAGTTGTGCCGTGCTGCAAATGAAATCTCCTGCAAATGAAGCTTAGCAACGTTCCTGCAAATAGATTACAAGCGAGGAGTTGTATTCCCAACGTCGGCTCTGATTAGCGCTGCATAGACGCAGCTTGTTCTGTTTTTAGAGAGAGAGTCATTCCTGTGTGACAGCTGGGCCTCTCAGAGGACGCCTGATGTGTTGTGTCCCTATTAGATGTGACACTTTTCTCAGCCTGTTATTCTTTTTTAATCTGCTTTGTCAAAGTCATGCTCTCTCTTTGTTTTTCCTCAATCTTTTTCGGCTGTGTCTCACTCTCCTCTTTTCTCCCATCCTGTTCTCTTTCTTCCTCACTATCTACATGTGTTAATATGGTGGAGGTGTCACTGATACGGCAGCCTCGGAGAAGATGAAAAGATTCAGTGCTGATGTAGGCTCTGCAGACACTCGGTTCTCACAGGAGATGAATTTTCCACCTCTGATTAATCAAATGTGATTTAGTTGAAATATTCTGAGTAAGTTTTGGAAAGTAGGCCAGGTGCTTCTTTCTCCCTGTCAGCACCTGTGCTGTGTCTGGAGCCCTGAGGTGCTTTCCGGGTGTTATCTTTCTGGATGTAATGAGCTGAGCTGGAGAAGGACCACATTGTTATTTGAAACCGATGCTCTCGCTTCGTTGTTTGTTTAAATAGTTAATCAAATAAAAGATTTCTAATAAGATAGGTGAAGCAAAATTTACTATTCTGTGTTTCTGTTAAATCAGAGTTTAGGGTTTTAATCTGTTTATTAACTGTATTAAATCATAGACCTCTATGTTGTGTTGTGTAATGCTGCAGTGGTGATGAACATCATACAGCCACAGGTGGAGAGAGGAGAGGGGGCAGGTGTGTGTGTCTGAAAAGCCAAGGGACAGAGTAAGCACTTCAAGCACTGAGTAAATTTCCTTCTTTACTCGTAGGGAAAGTCTGCAGTTTAGTCCAAATTAAGTCAAAGCTCTTAGTAAAGTAAAGCACTACACTATGGTCCCCTTCAGTCCTGTTAAATATTCATTCATTTGTATTATCCTGTTAGACACAAAGGCATGTTTTGGTAAACAAAATAAAGGATAAACAGTTTTTCTTTCACTCATCAGAGTTCCTTTGATTTTCATTTATTTGATGTTTTTCAAGGAGCTCAGAGGGTTTAAGCTTTAAAGAGTTTTAAAGTTCAGGGAATGCATGTGATGCAGGCCTCACTTCATGATTAATTGGGTTAAATAATTGTGATCTCAATATCAATGAAATTACGGCGAATATTTTGCAGCTCTTACAGAAACCAGGCTGTAAACCATTGCAGACAGGTTGTACTTATATTTTGTCGCTCCATAGACCCAAATAGCCAATGTGTGCACTACAGGGGAACACTTGTGTCTTAAATACTTGTGTAGTACAAAACAAATGAGCTTGAGTTAATGAGTAAATTGAATTTTCCAAACGGATCACAAAAACAAAACTATTTTTAACGTTTTTGAGAAAGTTTTTAAACATAAGCTAAACTTTGGAGTGGTAGAGCTGCCTCCATCTCCAGCAGTCGATAGTCCAGCTTCCACTCCAGTTTTCTGGCTGGTTCCTCAATGAAGGTTGAGCTCACCAGTATCCTTTAAGGGTAATATAGCAGTTACAAGTACATCATGTGACCTGAAAAAAAATGAGCCATCTTTTATAGAGTTCAAATGTTGCACTCTCACAGGTTTCCTTGAAAACATGATACTGAATAAAAGTTCATTTTGATTTATATTTTTCATTTTGGTTGATTCCTATCAATCCTTTTTACAGGAAATCAACTGATTTCCAGTCTTTGGTCAGAGACAATGTCGTAAGAAGACTACAAGATTTGTTAAAAACTTTGATTACTTTGATTTCATCGTAAACAGCTCATAATGACTTTATACACATCTCACTGTGACCCAAGTCTTCATTTTACAAGCAGTAGTTGAGTAGTTGTCACATTTCTTTGGCTGCAGTGATAACAGACAGCACATAGTCTCTGTGCTCTTCCCACATACTCTCTCTCTCAGTTTTTTCTGAAACAGCTTTCCTCCAAACAAAAACACAATGAGTAAGAGTGAAACTTATCTGATTTGTTTCTTCAATTTTCCCAGTGTAAGAAGATGCTGTTCAGGGCAACAAAAGTACTCAGAGAAAAACATAGAGATGCCACCTTCTTGTTCACTGCTGATTGGGTGTCTCAGTGTGAGTCCTGAAGCTGACAGTCTGAGGAAAAAACAAAACATTTATCACCCAGAGTAAAAGTCTGATGGTTGATGTTGCATTACATGTTTTTCGTTAGTGCAGCCTGATGTTTCTTTGGTATAAGACGCCAAATTGTGCCAGTGCAGTTCATAAGTCTGCCATCTGATTGGCTACAATGCACATGTATGCATATGAAATTGAAGGTAGCATGTGAATTTAAAAGCCCGGTGTTGAGACATTTGGAGCAGTCAAGTTTAGTAATGTGCGTTGGTTTACAGGTTGGTTGTGGGAGCAGTTTCCTCTGATTTATGAGAACTATCAGATACTCTAAAAAACCTCATTAAAACTTTCATCTCAGGCTTTTTCGCTGTGCTCTGAATCAGTATTCTGTTTTTCTTGATGACGCACATTCAAGGCCGAAGCTTGGTCATCCGGTGGTTATTATTTCTTTCCAAATGCCATTTCTTTAGAGTCGCTGCTGTGCTCAAAAATACTTCCTGTGTTACATCCTCATTGACTGAGGGGGAAGGACAGAGCAGAACCAGGGCTGGCATTTAGCAAAGGGCTGACCGTGAATAATGAACTCAGCGCGCCGGATGCTTTGAGACTAGACTGGTCTTAACTTCTGTTTGGACAAATATAATGAGCTTAAACTCAAAATCCACAAACTTCTTCCATACTCTCCAAACCTCTGAGATCATTATGTATTTTTATCGCTTTCTTCTGCCTGATAAGACGCACATGATGTCAGCATATAACCCAAAACTTCATCTAAATTTAGTTCAGTGGCTAAATCTATACTAAGAAAAAGGAATCAGTCCATTCATGTCTAGAAGTGCTTGTTTGAGGAATTTTCTTTTTTGTCAAGAATAACTTCAGATGGCTTGAAAATACTTGTAATGTGTCACAACGCTGTATGTAAATTAATCTTAACACTTTAAGAATATGTTTAAGTGGTTCTGACACCAGATATGTCAAAACTACTTGAAGCGGTCATATGCCACCCTACATCTTTCCAGTATTTATTGACTATCCACTCCTAGACTCTAAATACAGGCATGAAAGTAAACGTATTTTAAAGAAAACTCAGTTCACAGCTCGTATTTCTGGTTCGAGAGTTTCTTTACAAAACATATTAGTGATAACTCAAAATACTCTTCTTTTTATCTGCAGTAGGTATTTCAACCACTCTGTGAAAATTAAATGTGGTTTAAAATCATAAAAGTTGCTCATGTGTTCAAATCCAGAGTTGTGCTCTCCCAATGTAATAACTGGGCTCATTTAAAAGTAATCCTTTATCCACACTAACATAAGATATGTTCATGTTTGGGAGATTTGGGTTTAAGAGATAATGTTTTTTGATACAACATCCCAACGTGACATAGAGGGGATAAATGAGACCCCACATTACCTAAGAGAACCTGTATAAGGTCTTCTGTTGGCATGTAACACCAAGCCCAAACTGTCTAATAGTTTGTGGTTGCTTTAAGTGTTTTCTTCAATTTGGTTGATGTCCCTTATATTCAGCTCATAATTTTCCAACATCCCTTGTTTCTGCTGTAGACTTGTCAGCTTTAACTTCTGATCTAAACTTTTGTGCTCTAGCATATTTGGGGGTAATGTTGCAAATGTTTTCCACGTTGTCCATCAATGCTATTGAATCCGTCTGATAAACATAAAAAGTGTTTATGTTAACTCATTAATTAAACAAACGTGTGCACAGTCCAGTTCTAGCACATGCACAAACATCTATGCATACATCCTTTGTAATTTGCATTGTGAATGTGATATAGAAGTTATCTCTTTCTTGACTGCCGAACTGAAGTGGAGGGGATTGTACATGCAAGAATACATTTTAAAGTGTCAAGGCTTACTGTGGTATTTAATCACATTTAAGATAGAGTTACAGTCTGAGAGAGCAGTGGAGTGAGGCTGGGGTTACAAATGCATCCTGGTGCAGAAGAATGTCTTTGCAAACAAGCTTTCAGTGATAGTGTCACACAGAGGAATTAAGTTCTCGATGGACAACAAATCACAAAAACACATAATATCTTCATAAAGCTTGGTTGAAGTTCTTTGGAAAAAACAGGTAAATAAGATGCCCTGTAGACTACATTTGGAGGTGGTAGTTGGAGGTAATAAGTGTTTTGTATCGATGCAGTTTGACTTTACATGACCTATAATGACATATAGGAGAATAAATTAGTCTCCATGTTATCCCAGCCTGTGTTGAAGCGATCAAATTTGATAAATTTTTGCCGACACTGTCACTGTAACATACCCACTGTTGCAAAGCTGCAGAAAGCTGACGCATCAGCATTTGTAACTATGTTGTGCTAAGTGCTGATACTGATATTTTGTGTATTGTTTTGAACAGGGATCCCTTGATGGTGTGTGAGTAATGGGAGAAATATTCATCCAAACTAATTAGACTCCATCACTGAGCAAGCGGCTGCCTCTGTCTTTTCCATGTTTGTTCTGAAACCTAATAAAAGGCGAACCCCAAGTATTTGAACGTTTAAGAGGTCGGCGATGTTTCATCAGCCCCTTTCACACATAAGCGCCTGACATTTTCAGATAATTTCAGGACATTCAGGCCATGATGTTCTCCCTTATTGCTGTTCACTCATTCACCTCGCAGCAGGAGACGATCAGAGTCGGACTTGTTTTCACAACTCGAACTACTCAGTTTGATAAGGTGAAGGGGCTCCAGGGTAGCAGGTGCATAAGATGAAGTAAAGTTGTACCAATTGTGGTACAACCAGATCTTTAAAGGTTAATATTAGTGAAACGTGCACAAGTAGCTTTCACAGAGAGACTGACCTCTGTGTAGGCAGTAACCTGACCATGGACTGTAATAGGGCTGCAGGTAATGACTATTTTAATAGTCGGCTAGTCACTGACTATTTAAATGATTAGTCAGCTAATCGGATAATTACGTGCCTTCTCCTCAAATGTTCATGCATCACCAACGTGCTGCCATGGTATGCAAGGTCTGCTTTGCAAACCTTGCAAGGTTTTTTTTATTTTTTTTTTCACCTTATTTAGGCTAAAGTGCTCCCAAACTTTGTAGGTTTTTAAGCGCTTACTCGTAATTGCTGTATGGTACGCTAGTACCGCCATGTTTTACGCATGTGTGACTTTAGGCAGAGATCATAATGAAGTAAGATGCCTCACTCCACTGGAAAAAACACATCTGGTGACAATAGTCGACAATGGAATTAGTTGTCATCTTTTTTTCATTATCGATTTTTGTGGACATCGACTAATCATTGCAGCCCTAGACTGTAAACCTACATGAAAGTCACGACTGTCACAGAAACCTGGATAAAGTGAAAGGGTTTTGATCAATGTTGTAACTCTTGTTTGTCATGGGCACATGTATGAACCACTGAACTAACGCTGTGTTTACTATTAATGTTTACCTGCACGTACAGTGTAGTGACGTGAAAATCAGGTGACAACAATGAGGCTAGGTTAGAAGTTTTCATTGCCTTAGAGAAAGCTAAACTTCCTTAGATGCTCCCTGGATGCTCCCTGTGTCGGTGTGTTTGATTGCATTTATTCAGTGATAAAGCTAAGCAGTAGTCTGTCCTGTAATCTCTGTCATTCATCAACGTCCAGCCTTAATGGAGCCAGAGAGAGAAACTAGGGGTTGTTGTTGGTAAACCTCCCTTGACGGCTTACACATCTGCCAGCCTGTTTGTGCAGACAAAGGCGTGCATGCATCTCTTCAAAATTCCAGTATGTGTTACATTTTCGCAAGAATCTGTAAGTCATTTCAGCGAGTGCTGGAAAGATATTCTACGAGTGTTTCCCCCTGTGTGGAAAGGTGTGTGTGCATGTATCCAATAAGTCAGTTCACTTGTTTATCTGTGCTGTCAGCTCACCCCATGAGAGCCTCTCGCACAACACCAACCTGCAGGGAGAAGAGGAGGAAGAGTGAGAGGAAAGCAGGGAGAGAGAGGAGGGAGGAAGAGAAGGAGGTGTGATTAGTGTAGAGGGGAATTTCACCGATCCCTGCCAGACAAGGAGGCTCGTTTCCAGCTGTCCTGTCTACCAGCACCTCCCCTCCTCCACCCTACCCTGCCACCCCACCCTCTTCCCCTCCTCTTCTGCTTGTTCGCCCCCAGCACTGGAGCACAAAGGCTTCCTTAGCTCCGGCTTTAAACAGTGGGGAGATAATGGGAGACTCTTCTGGCTCTATAACCACCAGTGCTGAGATTTCAGTCAAAACAAACAGAGCATCCATCATTCGGCCTGTCACAGGAAGATGCAAAGCCCATACCTGACATGACATCCAATTCATCACATTTGAATAATCCCCTCTGAATACAATGAATAATGATATTCAGGTGGCAGCTCTGTTTGTAAAAGCTTTTTTATTTGCAGGTCTGAACGTTCACGGTCCTGTAACTCTTTCTAAAGAGCACAACAAAAGAGCGCTCAGTGAAATGAAGATTCTGTTTTGTTGATGTAACATTCAGTGTTATTTTTTTCAAGTTTGTTTTGGGGCTTTTTGTCTTTATTAGGACACACATTGGAGGAAACAAGTGAGACGTTTGGTCGCAGAGGGTCACAGGTCAGATTCAAATTCAGGCCCTTTGCCCCATCCATGCATGAGGCACTATCTTCCCTTAAAAGCCCTTAAAACAAGGAAATAAATCTGGTTTAATTTCATCATGGGTAAGCTTCTCAGAATCTTCCTAAAATAGAAAAAAACAGGTGTATCTTGGCAATACCGTAACACATTATATATAAGGCTTAAAGGGATATTCCGACGTAAAATTAAGTAAGGGTCAAACACGCCGTAACACCAAGTTCATTACTTTACTCACCATTACTTCATCATTTCCTTGAAGTAATAATCAACATATCACTCATTGTACTGCAGACGCAGTAGTTCTTCTGCCTTAGAGTTTCAGTCTGATTGCATTTCCATGAGGAAATGATCATAAATGTTCTTCCTTGAGCTGCGTCCCCCTGCTGCAGTCGATGGACTCGCCCAGAGGTCTCTGTACAAACAAGCGGCTGCTGGTGGAGAGTGGGTGAGTTGTGTTCAGCCTCATTGCTAAAGAAATCAGGCACAGCTAAAAAGATGTTTGGTGTCTAGTACTATGGCTGGGATCCTATATGTACTGTTGATGAAGTTAGGTGCTGTTCTGAGCATTATTTGTGACTATAGAGTGGCGTTTTGGTTGAGTGCGTGGCTCTCTGTATTGCTATCACTTGGTCATTACTTAAATTGGTATAACTAGAGAAGCAAGCAGTCGGCAACATTCATCTCTCGACTGGGTGTCTAACTCAATGTTACGGTGTGTTTGACCCTTACTCAATTTTACACCGCAATATCCCTTTAATGCTCACTGCTTATGACCCCTCAAAAACATTACTGTGAGCTGTTAAATATTTCCATCCTGCTGTGTCTTACTCATAGACTGTATATAGAATGGACGCCGTCTGCCTCCTTGCTGGGTGAAGCCACCCTGAGAACAGCACCCTCTGTTGATGGGCTACAGTAAAGGTCATAAATCCCGCCTCCTCCAGCAATCCCTATGGAGCTGTAGACAACTTTAGAAATTTATAACACAGAAGCTAAATTTTTCTCCCCCCTGGTGGTGATGTGGACATGTAGTTATTGTAAGATTGGTTTGTGCTCAAGTCCTCTTTCTTCTGTGCAGCTCCATTTTTAAAAGTTATCAGGGGGTTCATGTTTTCTATGATTGACACTTGATACAGCCTATGGGCGTACAAAGATTGCGTATGCTGTTTGAACCGAGCGTCATCACAGCAACTCTTGGCGGCTCTCCTGCCAATTCAGGAAGTGAAGAAAAAAGTGGAATTACCAAAAGCTTTTCAGCTTCAAATCCATATACTGGCGGAAGGCGGAACCAAGTTGTCCTTAGTATATACAGTCTGTGGTCTTACTACTATGAACCCCGGAAAATAAAGTCATATTCACTGACGTAGAGGTAGTGTTAATAGTGGAGTAGGGACGCATAGATGTGGGAAAGCAAAAAGCAAACTAGTTCATCAACCGTTTGCAAGTTGAACAAACACTAACAACCGACCAGAAGACGCCCACTAATGGAAAGGGTGCAGAAATAGCTCTGAAGGTCCACCCATGAGGTGTTCAGATTTTCACATCATCCTTGCACAGGCCCTCTTTTCATATTGCTGGATTAGCTGTCACTCTGCTAGGAGTTGATAAATACGAAGTTAAGGGGCTGATTTTAATACCCAGCTGAGTCAGCCTTCTTATTGTACGTTTTTTTAAACCATCCCTCCTCCTCTCTAAAACTCGGTATCCTCCCCTCTGTTCAGAGTCAAGCCCAGCAGGGAAAGCCTTCTTTTAGCTGTGAAGCTGGTTCTTAGTTTCAGCCTGTGCAGCTGTCAGCTTCTATCTCTGTGCGTGAGTCTGTGCAAGAGAGAATACTCCAGGGTGCATTAGAGAGGGTCGAGAGATTAGATACCGAGCGCTGATATCTCCCGTCTCTCCCTCTCACTACGTCTCCTCTCTGCTGCCGATGTCCGGCCCAGGAGAAAAGGCTGGTGGAGGAGGCTTTTTAAAGAGGCAGAGGAAGAGAGATGCTCCCTGTTGTGATTTCTGCAGACCTGCTTCTTTCATTCTCCCTCTTCATCATCATCTTCTCTTCTGCTTTCTTCTCTGAAACTAGCCCTTGTCCCATGGCTGCACTCCAGCAAAAACACTGCAACAAAACTGAAACACAGAGACGGGACTGCGCTTTATTCTAAGAGAGCTACATAAAAAAAGAAAAAAGAGAAACATACAAAGCTTCCCTGAGCGCTGATATTTTGTTGTTGTTTTGTTTAAAACATTTTTTTATCTCCAAGCCTTGCACAGCAGTTTTGTGTGTCAGCTGGGAGCAGCTATAGATTCACCTTGGAGATGGCTTTATTGATCGCTGTCTCTGGGGGCTGCTACACACCTTCAAATTCATTGAGTGAACAATCGGAGAGCTGTTTTAATTGCTGTGTGCTTTTACCCTGTAATGGCGGAAACAGAGAAATTGAACCATTGGGGAAAAGCAGACATGTAAGGAGAAATACTGCAGGGCACACAGCAACCGAGCAATTCAAGGAAACTATTCTGCATGCAGGAGACGTCGACATGGAGAGCTGTGTGCTTTAGATACTGCATGAGCTACATGGTGCATGTCATAAATATTATCTCATGCTTGCTTAAATTATTTAATTAATTATCATTCCTTCACTGATGTGGCACTTTAGTGTCTGAACATTTTTAAGTTATTCAAGTGCACTTTTAAAAAAATTATAAAAATGACGGAATAATGAGAATTAGTTTGTGTAAATGGGTAAAATCCTTCACTAACAGGCCTGTTTAACAGATTATTTAAACTGTAGGTGCAATGCAACATTACAAGTAAGCTTTAGTCCACTAAGTCAGCTTGACAGTAAACTACAAATATCTGTCATAATATCAGATCTCCTCCTCACGATTACTTACAGCTAGCTAACTAGGGGCAGCTGCTTCTTCCTCTTCATTTCCTTTGTTTTATAACATGTGAAAACAAACATAAAGAACCACTATTTTGGACATTTACTTAAGTGCTGGATCCCTAAAAGTCAGTTCAGACAAAAATACCTGCTCAGTGAATGCAGCTGAACACATTTTGCAAAAATCTCATCCAAGACAATGCAAACAAGTGCGGGATGATGCAAATTGAGTGGGGGGTGGGGGGTAAATCTAAAAATACCTTTAAAAGTGAAACAAGATCCACTGCAAAGGGTTTCTAATTTACATTACCACCCATTTACTTTACATTAACTTAATAACCAAACAAGGTCACACAAAATATTGAATTTAAGATTGTTTAAAGGCATGTTTGACAATTGGAGAGATTGGTAATTATATTAGAAAAAAGAATGAAAAAAATCTGTTCACCCTAGCAGGTGCAGGGCTGCAAAAACATTGACTAATGGAAGCCATCCGTCCCAGACAGCTCCTATTGGTCAATCTCCTGCTCCGCCTCTCCACCCAATCACCTTGTTGTATTTGACACACCCCTCTCCTGTAGTTTCGACTCATCCCCTCCCACTCTCCCAGCCCTCCTTGGAGCTCTGAGTGGCTAAAAGTAGCGTAGCAGCTTAGCTACAGGGGCTGTGATGGAGAAGGATGCAAAAAAGAAAAACAACACATCTGCTTGCCCCACCGTCCAAAGTGCTAAGAAAACACAAGCCGACAGAAGGAAGGGCAGAGTCAAAGAGGAAATGTGACCAAGCGAGGAATCTAACTTGAATAAACCTGGGGTCATCCTTCGAGCGGTGGAGAAAGCGCTGCCAGGATTTGGGCCTGAAAACAGATGCCTAGACAGCAGAGTTTTTGTTGAACAGGTAATTTTTGCGTTTTATCGTGGCACATGTGACATAAATAACTCTTATTAGACTCTGCAATGTCAACACGGCAGCTACAGACGGTGCTCGCTAGCAGAGCTGGCGTTTACTGCCGCTAGTCACTATCAATCCGACATGGTGAATCCTATTTGAAGCTAGTGTAGGACCTTCTGCCGGCCGGCTTCTTGCTCTGCCAGAGGTGGTGTGTCGTGGGGAGGGTGATTCAGGTTCTGTGGGGAGTTATTGTGGAGCACATAGGGGAGAGATTTGTGTGTGGGGGTTGAGATGCTTTTTTTCAAATCTGCCTCAACGGCTCCGTTTTTTTCAACTGCTTCTTAGATTGTCAACCATGCCTTTAACTGCTACCATCAATACATACGGTTAAAGAAACCTTGTGGTGATCTGCAGCTGGATGGATCCATGCATGGATTGCAGGACAGGATGTTGCTCCACTTCTACCTGTCAGAAATGGTTGAGTACAGTAGCTCCTCAGGCTGCTCTCATATCTGTACACATTAACTGTCACTAGTTCCTGACACTCAAAACCAGCCTGAGATGGTGACGAACATTTTTGCCACAGTGTCAACAGGCAGCCAGCTTTCTTTGCTTTTTAGGGATTTGTGTGAAACTTTGTGCGTTGTAGTAAGTTAAGACTCACCTACCATTGTCGTATTTTACACAATTATAGCCCCTGTGAGGGTGGACTGAAATTCATATCAGGCATTTCAGAATGTTGTTCAGCTATAGTTAGGAGGATTTCAGTTTAAAAATGTCCCATTTTTTTAACCTTTGTTTAACTCATTATATTAAACACTACGTATGCGAGTGGCATTCCTTTTACAAAGCGCCATGAGCACCAAGAAAGGGCTCATAAACACAGTGGCATTTACACATGGCTGTTTCAACCCTCACATCATCCATCACTGTTTTATGGCTAGTTAGCTCCACTTCTGCTGTACAGACCAGCCCCTCTTTCCCCTCCCCTCCCCCCACACCACCAGCACCACCATACACACCCTCTCTCCCATAGGGCATCTCCAGTGAGGCTTGTAAAAATCATTACACACCTCACCATGATGCATGCATGTCCTGTTCAATTACTTCCACAGGCTGTTTTTTTTTTTTTGACAAAATACTGATACTTGGAGTGAATCCAGAGTCATTATATTTTTTCAGACCTGTTTCGGGGGGTGGGGGGGCAAGTATGGTGAGATAGTTAAGATGATAGATGTGTAAGTTAGATCGCTGTGTCAGCCATGTTTCAACACAGAAGCATGGAAAAAGGCTAATCCCTCAAAAATGAGGAAAGATTTTCAATATTTACAGAGAGAGTTTTCTTGATCTTCACAGATTATCTTCACCATTTTGAAAGCCATGGTAAGTTCATGACAAATAGCAGGATGGGGAGGATTTAAGTACCGTTCCACAAGTGTATGAAGAAGAAGACACGGAATGCAAAAGATCTGGCTTCTTTCCACAAGGATGTGTTTTTTATAACATTTCAGAGCTGCATCTCTCTTCGTCCCTGCCTCCAACTATTTCACATTTATTATTCAGGGGAAATACATTATTTCATTGTGTTGTTTGGACTGCATATTAAAGTTGAGAAGTGTTGTAGACTTATGAATAAGCAATGAGTACGGCAAACTCCTACTGTGCCGCACTGCGCTGGAGTCATTTGTGCTTTCTCATTAGCGAATGTTCAAAAAAACTCAAACGTGTGCTAAAGAGACAAAACAATCTGTTGGATTCTGGTTTGTCTTTGCGTTTGCTCGGGCTTAAGGCTCCCGGCAGGTTCTCTGTGTAACTGGTGGCAGCTGTTTACCGCAGAGCTGTGCAGAGGCTCATTATTAGAGCGTGAAGCTTGTTATGAGGCCGTGTGAGAGACTCGTTAGTCGCTAATTATTTCTGAGGAGCTGCCTGGCAAGTCTGAATGGAAATGAGTAAAGAGAGACGCACAGTACAGTACATTACATTACATTATAGGAGGAGGGGGATTGTCTTCGTAGTGACACGGGTCAAATATGTCCACAATTTTAACTGTGTGTCTTAATCTGCAGGGAGTGTGAGTTTGGTGGAGGTCATTCAGGCTTAAGTTCAGATATAGGTTTAGAGAAGATATAACAAGTTATACAACACCAGTTTGGAGACATGACTTTAAACAACAAACACACACACACATACACACACACACAAAATGCTGCTTGAGCTGTAATATATTCGGGTAGTTAAGACATTTCTGCATTTTGAGAGGTCACACCACAATAATGTTGGTAGTAATTGCTTCAGACCAACTGAAAAGGTATTTTTGAATGTCATCATGAAGACACAACCACTGAAAGTTAAATTAAAAAAAGAAAACTAACAACTAAAGACAAAGGCAGACAGCTAGCTGGAGTGCTTTAGGTTGGGAAAGTCATAAGGCTGTCAGCATTAACACATTAATTGGGATGCAATCGGGAATGTGTTGTTTGCACATTGTAAAGCAGAGCCATCTTGCTGCTTTTGTGGTAGAATATACCCAGACCTGTGACTCGGGTCTAAAAGACATTTTCCTGTTGGCATGTTATGACCATAGACCGTATATACTATGGACAACTTGGTTCCACCTCCTGCTTGTATACGGATTTGAAGCCAAAAAGCTCGCAATATTTCCGGGATTTTTCTTCATTTCCTGATACCAGTGCTGCGCAGTAGCGTTGTGTGCATTTAGCGGGAGAGTCGCCGAGAGTCGCTGGGGTGACGCTCGGCTCAAACAGCGTAGCTCAACGGATGAGCTACGCAATCCCTGAATGCCAATAGGCTGTATCAGGTGTCAATCAAAGAAAATGTGAACCCCCTTATAACTTTTAAAAACAGAGCTTCACAGAAAGAAGAGGACTTGAGCACGAACCAGTTTACAATAACTACATGTCAACACCACAAGCAGGGGGGAGAAAAAATTATGTTCTGTGTAATTAATTTATAAAGTTTGTCCACAGCCCCATAAGCTTTGCTGGCAGAGACGGGATTTATGACCAATCCGTGTTGAAAGCGTTCCGTCAGTGTCACGTCTCTGTTCCGTCATGCAGTACTGTCTTTCACCCACAGGATGCATATTTGGAGCATGGCAGCAGCGAAGTGCAGCCCTGGTTAGCTGGGCTCAGTTTAGAGGAAACAACATGCTCACAACAGGTTGTTTTGCCTTTCTGTGGTCTATTTCCTGCTAATTTGGATATAATTCAGTGACTGCTGAGTTTCTACTACATGTGAAGAAGCAACGTGATTTTACAGTTTGGGTTTTTGTAGGTTTACTCGTGTTTAATAAAGTGAACTATGTTCCTTTATGCTGTGCTGTTACCTTCAGACAGAGTTAGCAGTTAAAAGTCCTGTTGGGGTCCACATGGATCAGGGATTGACCATTGGATTGTTCTGTTACTTATAAATCCATAACCAGGAAGTATTTCTCGCCTACACAAACTGATACACAGTCAGGAGTCCGCATATGGTGTTTTATCTTGAAATATACCGGATGACACTTATTCACCTCACGCTGCAGGATGGTCATGGTTGTTGTTCTGATCTTGTTCATGGCCTGGTTGTCATCTCCATGTTCACTTTCTAAAGTCAGCTCTTTTCATCCTCTGTAAGTACATTCTCCTGTTGTTGTCCTTGCTCTTCGTTTTTTTTTTTCCCTCCTTCCTTTTTCGTAGCTTATTATCTCATATTTGTTTGGATTTATTATACAGCCTACATTGTATGTGCAACATTTATGGGTTTTCTTTCTATTATGGCCGCTGCATATAAAAATGAGAGACTTTCCCAACAATAAAATAAGCTGAAATTTTAATTAGCAACTGCAGAAGCTTGATTTGTTGGCCTTTGGTGGTTGTTCAAATCTGCATTGTGGCATCAAAACAGCCTCCATCAATCATTGCAGAGATTTCTTCTGTTTTTTTTTTTTGCTACCTTTTGAGTTCTGAGTTGAAGCTGGTCTGTTTCTGTGGAGTTTGATTAAAGAGATGTTTCTGCAGCACCTCACATGTTTTTCATGCAGAGCACAGACAGAGGACAGAAATAGACTCAGCTCCAGCCCTGAATTTCTTATTGTTCCAAGAGGAGCTCTGAGCCAGACAACTGATGTGGTCCTTCAGAGCAAAACAAGGCGTCTGCTGGAGGAGGATCCGGCCTCATGAGGCTGTTTTCTTCCTGATTGTGACGAAGCGGAAAGACTGGAGTTAGGAGCTCATATTATTCAGTTATTGCTGGAGACACCTGTTATCGTGGAGAGGAAACGGTGTGTGCAATTGTAGGGAAGTTTGACGGTAGCAAATGATTCTAGAAAATAAAACTGATCCCCTGTGTTAATTTTCAGGTAAAAGCTAAATAGTTCAAATGAAACTATATCGAGAGGGTCTGATCTTCCTCCTCCAGACAAAGTGAGGTATCATTCATTTATTATTCATGTGTGCCCACCATTAAGAGGAAAGAAGCACACAGGCTGCTGTTTGGCATTAAATGAACAAGAGTCTGTGATTAAGTTTTGATAACCTAAAAGAACTCTGACGCATTAACAATACTTTTGTTTGCCAAGTTTCCCATAAATAATACAGTTACTATTTCAGCTAATAGCAGTAAGTGTATTACTACCTACACTATAGCCCTACAGTCTATTAAACACCTTAAACTAATAATGGATCTGCTGGAATTTATTGAACATGATTAAACTTGAAGATATTTATTCATGCCATTGTTATTCCGATAATGTCTTAACCGATGAGGCCAGCCTCTGCGTCTCTCCTCAGACACATGTTCGATGTAAAGCCTCTCACCTGATTTGTACTCAGAGACATGGTTGTTATTCTGAACTCTGTGCTCTCGCCGTGTTTCTCTGAGGATGAGATCGTCAAAGTGTTGATGCGGTGATTATTTCTCGTGCAGAGGTGGCGCCTTTGTTGTGTTGGACGTCAGAAAAAAAAGAAAAAAGGACTCGTCCTTGGTGTTCTGGCTGAACCCTCTGGCTCAGGAAGCCGTGTTCTCCTTTTAACCTTTTTTCATTTGATTAAGAGGGAAAACAGTGTTTGACCTGCGCTGTGGGGGAGGCAGGATGGCTGCTGGGATTTGGGCCAAAACAGCAGGAAACTGAGCGCAAGTGGAGGAGCTGGCAGAGGGTGATGAAGGTCCATGCACACACACATATCCACAAGTCCCTGTGTGCATTTCTATGCAGGAACACAAGCAAACACCCGCAGGGATCTACCTGTAACAGTTTTTGCACATAGACATGCTTATGAACATCATTACATCATTAAATACAACACCAAAGACCCATACATCATCAACACACACTCTCTGCAAGCTCCTACTAGGGAAAAATGTTATTTTGTCATCCTTGTATAATTTTCTGCGTCCACCCAATCCCATTCGATTACTTAGTCATGTTAAAATGTTTGTAGAATTTGTGTGTTGAGCTTCAAGCTTAAGGCACATTCAGCCTCTGCCTGTTGACAATGTGGCAAAAACTGGTTCTGTTGACAGGGTGTGTGATGATGACAGTATCACACCCCCCACAGTCCATGGGGACAGATATGACAGCAGTTTGAAGAGCATCCTGTCCTGCAATCCAGGCAATGGCAATAGAGCTAATGAGAGCATCTGAAGATTGTGTTTGCAGCAAATGTTATCAGTAGAAAAAACAGCTGAAAATGAAAACTTTTGACAGAACGTTCCAGGTTGGAATCTTTTAAAAGTCACTCGTTCTGCTGCTGTGGAAACTGCATACACTGATGCAATGAAAATAGTAAAATCACAGCTCTATTCACACATACTACAGTCAAAGAGTTTGTAATCACTTCTCTGCTGAAGGACTTATTTGTGCACAGGCACATTGTGTCCTTCAGCAGTGTTTCATTATACTACCAACTACCAGCCTGGCATGCATTCACCAGCATTTGTTCCCTCAGTGTTGTCATATGATTATTTGAAAATGCAAAGAAAAAGAAAAAATAAGGAGGTTGTTCTTCTCTCTGCCAGAGCAACTTTAAACCATAAGCAGTAGTGTCAATAATAGTGAAACAGTTGTGACATTTGCTGCATTTGATGTTTAAAGGTAAGTCAACTGCAAAACTTCAACAAGACAGCAAGTTGACTGAAGACAGAAATGTCATAAAAATTCCTGCAAAAGTCCAGTTTTCACTGTCTCATACTGCCTTTGGTGGAAAAATTCAGCCCGATGTAAACTATAACAAATAATCTGGCTCATATTTGAACCACACCATGATGGAAAATGTTCAGTTTAATATTGATTTGTCCTGCAGGGTGGCTGGAAAGAGTTAGTTGCTGTGGAAGTTCCACCTAATGTTGGATAAGAGGTATTTTATTTAAGATATCAATGAATTTGATACAGGCACCCTCAGTGTCACTTCTGGACATTTTTTTTTTTTTTTTTAGTACCGTTATTAAACCTTTCCTCCCTCCAAAGACTAATAAAGAGCCTAACAGACTTGTGCTGTTTTGCTTTATTTGTAATTTTCCTTCACTTTTGATAAAATTGCACAAATGGTTTGCATAAACACTGCAAACAAAGGTTTTGGGCACAGTCTTAAAATGCTAACAGGGTTGACAGAATCCTGAGTCTTAAAATCACATTTGACTCAAGACTTTACACCCACAGTACGAGGGTTTACATTTTTATGTTTTCATGCATTATTTTGCGATAGAGATTTCATTGTTTTTAAAGCTAATTGAATAATAATGTTGTGTTTCATTGTAAGGCTGCACAAAGAAACCATCTCCTGAAAATGTGGCTGCAGATCTGAGGTCTTCTTGAAAAGTCCTTGAAAAAAGATTAAACTCCCTCCAGCTCCATGCTTGCTGTTCTTACAGAGCCTGACCTCTGACCTCCCAGTGGAGAAGAGCATTTGAAAAGTGAAATCCTTTGTAAAGTAGATATGTTTCTTTCCTTTACCATACAGCATTGATCCCACATGGGTCGTTTCTCATGCCCTCGCTCTTCTGTACTGAATTGAGCTTTTAAATAGGCTCTGGGTGCTATACAGACGTTATAAAAATCAATCTCCTGGCTCCATTGGTATTCAATCTTCAGATGTGCTACAACATAGTGTAACCACTGTGCATCACATAATGAAGAGCATTGAGATTCAGATGCTGATGCCACTGTCCAATTTTCCCTTGAGCCATTAAGCTCGGGCTTAGATTCAAGCATGACAGATTTTACCTCCTACTGTTTGAACAAAGCAGCAACAGCAACTATATTTACATTTCTGCATAGGAAGCTGTCTATTAGGGGAAATTAGTTAAATTAGCATGTAATAAAAATGCAATTCTGTTTAGTAGAAGTGTAATTGAACAGCACAGCAATATATACCCTTCTCTTTCTGAGCGTAAAAGAGGATGCACATACATCAGCCTAATTACCATTATAATAGCTATAAAGGCACACTCTGCTGCAGCCAATTCCTCTGCTGTTATGAAGCCATTTCAAGAAGCCGAAAGCCTCTCGAGAGTACAGTATATGCACCCCGATGCAGCACCAGCCATCTCACACACACTGCGCAGCATTGACATTCAGAGGCTGATGCTGCTGGCTGCAGAATCTCACAGCTTGCAGCATCTATTTTTGCAACAAATACAGGAAGTGGATGTAAGTATATGTTAATATTCATGCCAAGCCCTGTGATGTGGTTTCAAATGCTGTGGCAAAGGATGAAAAGGGTAAATTATGTCATGGCCTCTAAGCAATCATCCTATTCAACCAACGAACAATAGAGGAAAGCGAACCATTATTCTCCCTCACCATGACATAACATCAGGTTGGCGTATTTATTGGGCTATTATAGTGAAACCGTCATGTAGTCATGAGATGATCTGACATGCCCACTGATATGCAGTCCTTTTAGAAAATTACTGAAATGACTTGAATATAAGAAAATGGTCATCAATACAGCAGAGACATTAAATAAACTGTCAAAAAGCCTGCACATACGGCGTTACAGAGAGAAATTTACAAAGATGGCACGTCAAAAGATGGTCTTTAAATAAAACAAACTAAGATATGCCCATAAGTAGACATTCCTGATGGTCTTGTTTGCTTTTGGATATCAGATAAAGACGTCAACATGAATTTAAGTCTACTCCTTTGATGTAAAAACTTCTCCCAAGACCCTTCAATTGTTTTCGTTAAGAAGATTTGGTCTCTAGAAAGTCTTCCTTTAATAAGTATGGGAAAGGATTTAGTCATCCGTAAGCATGTGTAGTTACAATGGTAAAGATGATCATTACTCAAGCATTTTGATAGTACTTAAATAAATAACCCAGGAAAAAAGTTCCAGAGTGACTACTGACAGGAAGCATATTTCTACCTACCTTAGGGTGGACAAACATTTGTCTTTACTGTGTGATGCATTGATTTGTCCCACTCACTGACCCTTTACACACTTTTAACACACTTTTATGAAATCTTTGTATTTTTAAAATAAGTGTCACTGAACAATGTTTACTATGTGTGTAAACAAGACATTCGATGGAGTAAGTCTGAGGTTTCACATGAAGACCGGAGGAAACATCTCCTGCTCCTTCTATCACGGCTGTAATTACCACATTTCATTTCTCAAACAAACAAACGATACAAGGCATCGCCTCAGCACCCGCCCACAGCTATCTGCTACCTCACATTGTGTCTTCTCTCTCTCTGTCAAACACACAGTCTCATATCAATCCCTCTCTTTATTATTTTAATATGCGAGTCTCTCTCACAAATACACAGAGCCCGGCTCTCATAAACACTGACCCACTCATTAATTCATTCTTTGTTGTTGATTTATTCCCTCGCTTATTGCTCATAACGTAAACCAATTCTCTTTTTCTCAGTATTGTGAGCACTCTTTCTCTCAAATTAATTTCTTCTTGTTCATTTCAGATTTCTTTTGGTGGTAAATGTGCCTGACTGTAGATTTTGTGTGCAGCGATTTGAAGCAAAAGCCGAGTAATCCACTGTTTATCTTGGAGATAATGATAATGCTTCAGGGTGAGCAGGCCTTTTATGGCCTCAGTTATGACAGTGTGTCAATTACAGATGAATATTACCAACAGATAGAGCATTGGAAAGCTCTATATTTGAAACATTGTAACAATGAAGCCAATGTAGATGATCATGATTACACTTAAAGAGGTCATTTGTGGGACTTACTTATGTTTGCACAGTAAAAGATGCAGTTAGGTTTATGTATATAAATTAAAATGACATTATATAAATTACAGCAACCCTCTGTTAGATCCATAATCAGAATCAGCCCATCATGGTGTCTGATGGCACGTGCATTATCAGGATATTTTAATGATGTACTCTTTAGATAATTACTCTAAGCCGTTACATTCGTGAGTGTGGACACTGTGCAGGGCTTCTCTGCTTATGTAGCCTGTCATAGTCAGTTATCATAATTAAAAACGCAAAGAATTGATGTTTTTATGAGTTTTTGAATTTGAAATCTGGAGTTGTAAGCAAACTGCAATCCACATCTCTCTGTAAATGCCTTTAATTTTGACAAAAAGCCAAAAGGTTTTTGTGAAATAGAAATGTTTGTTACTCCAGATCTTTGCAATGACTTGGCAAGAGAGATGTTTTTAAGCTTCTTGGCTCATAAAGAATATAGCCTGTAGCCAGAGGCTAAGATTCTAAAAATGCTTACTTGTACCATAAAATGTACAAGTGTTTAATTTTACTAAATAAAGAGATGAGTGAGTGGACTGGTGATAGATTATTTTGCCAAATTGAATTAAAAAGTGTCAAGAATATGATTTTAATGTTAGCTGGTGCCTACAGTAATGAAATAAGGATTTAATGGGATGATTAAGGACGTGTACTTCATGCAGCTGGTGTGTTTCAGGTGCAAATCTGGTGCTTAGAAACACTGTCACCCAGTTATGAATGAAAGTATCTAACTTCTAGTTTTACCCTTCATAGGGTCATTCTTGTCAAGAAGTTGCTGTAATTTTAATGAAGGTAATAATGACAAATATTGAAGACTCTTATATATTTGGTTATTGTAAAACCTGTTATATAAGCTGCACAGGTGTATTAAACACCTGCAGTTACGGGTTGTGCATAGATTTGTGACATAAGAGGTGTGCCTGCAATGAGACAGGTCACTGAGACCATGTACATGTTTTGTACAGTCTGTGATCTTACACTGAGGAGTCTTCACACTTTATTGTTTCTTCATGAGTTGAAGGAATCATCAGTTCAGTCAGGACCAATTTAGTCAAAATTAATTATTTATAACAAGCAAACATTTTCACATTGGTGGTATGGCTCTGTTCTGAGAGTTCCTTGCTCTTCCATGCGCTTGCATGGAACACCACCGCTATAAGAGGGAAGAGCTCCTCTTCGCGCTAGCTTGTAGCCTAACATTGTCGGTGTAGTAGCAGAAGCAGGGAACATAGGAGCTCTTCAGCACTCGGACACTAATGTCTTTAGGGACATGATTAAAGTTAATATCATAATTAGCTTTCTAATGACAATTGAAATCCACTACCACAAACACTTGTTTCGCAATTGTCCTCTCTACTTCTCCGAGTCTGGCCTGCATAGTGGGGCTCCCAGGGTGGAGCTTGGATTTGTGGTGTATGAAATCTCACTGTGACTGAACCTGCTGTTTGGGTCTGCCAGAGATTCACAGAGATTTGAATGAAGAAATACTCAGAAAGGCAATTTCCCACTTATTTTTCCCATGATGTTTCCTGTAGCATCAGAAAAATGACATATGAACATGTAGACAACAAGAAAAACATGATTTTCATTAGAGTGGGTTTTTAACATAGACCAGAAAACAGACAGGTTTAACCAAACTACTATGACGCTGCCCATTAGGAATTAGTGACACCTAACAGCTGATAAGAACTAACAAGAGTGAAATGAGATAAGCAGTTGCAGCTTGCATTGACTAATTTGTTCATAGAGAGGTATTCTTGCATAATAGCATCCCTCTCATGATCATTATATTTTCCTGTGGTCTCTAAATGTGCCAAACATTGGATCAGAATCATTCATGGATTTTGCATTGTGGACTTTAAAGTTAAGCAGAAAAAGACAAATTATTATCCCTGAGAGCATCTTCAGAGGCTCTGTCTCTTCCACAACAGTTTTTATGTCCCAGCTTTGAATATTATCAAGCAGAGAGGGGCTGTGGGCATTGTTACCGGCTTCAGCTGCATAATGTCAAATCAATACCTGGTGCGTTTCAGGTTTCACAAATGAAAAATACAAGCAGATTTGATCAATGTACAAGAGGGATGTATGACTCCAGGCTTGTACTGTTCTTGTTATACAAGACAGATCCTCAGAGCAGCCTCGGTGTATGACCGGCTGAAGTTAATCTATGAACCAGGATAAAAATCAGCTGCTTAACTGATGCAGGTTTGACTTATTGGCAAAGAGAGCAGGACAAATCTATGATTAATGATGATTAATGGCGCTCTGCAGAAATAAATAGAAGGACTCAGACTAGCTTTGAGTAGCTTTGTAGCACAGAAACCTCTGATGCGTCTGTTGTTTGCAGGAAAACTCAGACTGCCTGATAAACTTCAGAGACAGTAAACCGCAGAATTTCTTTCAGGAGACATGAAAGCATGCAGTGCTTTTTCAGATGAAATCAAACTCTTCATGTGTGACATTGGATCTCCCAAAAAGGAAAACACATGATTGACTCTGTTGACCGAAATTCCTTCATCATGATAGAAACGACTGTGACAGACACAGTGCTGATAGTGCAGTCTGAGTAATTTCATGAACCAAATATGGAGAAAAGAAAAAAAGAAACTTCCTATTGTGGCTAACTCAAATAAGCATCACGCCTCTCTTAAAAGGGAAATGCATTATTTGTTTTTGCTGCGGTGTGGTAGCTGCAGGTGTCTGTTAAACTCAAAACACATGCAGCTCAAGCACTGAAGACCAGAACATAAACTAATTAATCCAATTAATTTTAGCATCCCACTTACTTTAACTTACTTTTGCTGGCTGTGTCCTGTACAGACTTCTGTCAAATTCGAGCTTGCCAGAGTCTACTCCTCCAAACATGTTGCACTGTTCTTGATTTCATTTGCTGTAAAATCTGTGAAAGTATCTTTTAGCATCTAGCACGTGGCGATGTTTGCTGGATCAAATGGCAAGATGTGAAATTTGCGTGTAGGTGAGCACATGTCCCAACTGCTTCAGTATACAAGTCCAAATCCTTCTTTTCATTTTTTCAGTCCTTACACAGCTCAAGTTGAAGTCAGGTCACAAGTCCCAGAAATAATGACTCAAGTACTATAACACTCAATCTGACCTGGAAGGACAGTTCCTTGTTAGCGAATGTAAAGTGAGGGTATTTTACTTCAAAAGTACAGATCAGACAGACTTCACAAACAAAAGGGACTGAAAGCTGCTCAAACAGAATCTGCAAATCACACGTTCTCATACCTGTTATGTTACAGAATGCTATCAATAAAAAAAGAGGAAATTTGCTTTTGCAAGTTTTGCAACTCATAAGATCTTGTGGTCCTGCAGAGCTCACTGATAAAAGCATGTCACTAGCAATTATGCAAGCTTGTCAAGCTGAAGTAAATAATAAGTGATGTTTACCATTTAGCTTGAGCTTTTCCGTGCCAGATCAGCTGTCTGTCGGTCCACTGAGACATGGAAAGAAAAACAACTGTCAGACCAGATATGTCCCAGTTCAACAGCTGTATCCTTTATGTATCCTCCCTAAAAAAACAGTCTCAAAATGAAGGTGGATTCGAGGACTCCTTGTCCAGAAAATTTCGAAGTGTCAGAAACAGTTTAAATTGTAAAAAATGAAAATAAAAAGCTCTGGACTAAATCGAAATTTTTACTTGGGTCTAAGATACAAGATGAGAAAATTATGTGAGGATAATGTTTGTCATTTTTGAGTCATTTTTATCTGGAATAGAGAATTAATATAACTTTTACTCTTCATAATGTGATCACATGAGCAGTCTTCTCTTAAACTGTTGTCTTTCCCATCCCACATCCTCCACTCTTAATTTGTCTCCAATGGACACTGTCCTCTTGTCCAACATAGGTATGTGTTGTTTGTGGTTACCTTTGGCATGTGTGTTGTTTTTGACTGGTTTTGTTTATTGGTACAACACTTGAGTCCAAGATGAATTTTATCCTGGGGGACAAAAAGTATCATATCATATTGTAATGTATGGAGTGATATAGTACCATGTCCTATCACAGCACATCATATCATAGCACAAGACGTCTTAACCAAATCATAACCTATGGTATCAGATCAAATTGAATTGTATGGTATGGTATCATATCAACTCAATATGAATGTCAGATCTTTTTTATATCCAGAAATCACTCCCCTTTCAAAGGCAGCAGCAGGCCTGTGAGGGCTTTTTTAAACAGTTTTGTATCTCCAGAGATGACAGTGTTTTAAAAAAGTGGTTTTAAATTTAGTAACGCCTTCCTCACATTAATCACACTCCACAGTGTTCATGTTATTAACAGGAGAATGAGGGAAACTCTCAGACAGTGCAAACAAGTCTGTCAAATGAGTTTTGTCATTTTTACACAATGTCATGCGAAATCTTTTTTTTTTCAGTGCACGCTGTGTTTATGGTTCAATTTTGTTACTTGGTTTAGTAAATATTAGACTTTTCTATTTGTCCAATAATCTATTCATTTATTTTTTCATTAATTTGTGAAGAGTGTCTTAGCTAGTTGTTAATGCCAAAATATCTTTCTTGTCAGTTATAAAGTTTTCTGTATTTGTGATCTTTCTTTTTGTTGACTCTGGTTTTGGAGGATATGCTTTGGTCTTCTTTGGCTACAAAACCATTGTAACTTTATCCCCAATTAAAAGAGGTTAGGTCAAGACACAGTTTAGAGAGGAGATCTAGACTGTATCCCACTGTTAGAGAAAAACTTCAGCATTGAGTCACAGTGGAAGGGAGAAGAAGCAGACTCCTGTCTAACAACCATCTGCTGATACTGTGTTGGACTTTGAAAGTTGGATAGAGGGAGATGCAGAAAGAAAGAAACAATAGAGGTGAACAACAACAGTTTGGGTCTTTGTTGCTGCTCACTGCTTGTTCAACGCTCCTTATAGAAAATGTGAGTGAAAAGTTGCTCTTCTAGTATTTCTATTATTATGCAAATTAAATATCGTTAACGAAGATTCAACAGGTTCACAGTTATCTATCTTTCTCTCTAATGAAACTTCTGCGCCTCATTGAAATCTTCTGTGTTTGGACTGAAGACAGAAGTTACCCTTATTTGTTAGGGGGCCTTTACAGCTGGTAGTGACTTTGGATTACCTCTTAAAAAATTCCTTCGGCCAGGGCTTTGTGTTTCATTTGGCTTTGTATGTTTTAATTCCCAAGATTTGTTGCAATTTCTCTAACAAAACTGAAGAACAATAATAAAACACAGATGATCCTCTGTTTCTGTTTTACAAAACATTTCAACCAGAAAGGAAAGTCCTTAAGAATGCTCTTCAAATATAACAACCGACAAATTTTACTTCAAACTAAAAGACTTTCAGACTTTTTATTTCCTTCTTTGTACTGACATTATTTCCTTCTCTCCTTTGGTTGCTTTAACACTTGCACAAACACTGTTAAGATGTTTTGCATATTTACAGTACAGTCTAAGGAGATTTAAACTTAATGTTCTCAGTGTGAAGACTGCAGTTTGAGTTTGATGGTGAATATTCAGCATATTCAACCTCTGAATCTGGTTTGAACTGCTCATGTAAATTCAGTTTTTGACTTAATAAATATTGAACTATGTTATAGTATTTATGCTGTATTTTCATATGTGTCTTGGCCTCAACAGTACGTTTAGTTTCTGATGAAAATGCCTCAAACACAAACAGGCGCATCAGAACTGAACCATCCATCAACATGCCTCTCTCTGTTTCTCTGCAGCCATGTTCACAGAGGTGCCTCACGACATGACGGCCCAGAGAGGACAGGATGTGGAGATGGCGTGCTCCTTCAGAGGGGCGGGAACACCCTCATATTCACTGGAGATCCAGTGGTGGTACATTAGGAATCATGTGGACTGGACTGACAGACAGCCCTGGACAACCAATGAAGTGAGTTCAAGAAACATGCTGAAGGATTTCTAATTTAAAGATATTAGCATTTTGACCAACAGCTTTAACTTTAGTTATCAGTGCAGAGGATTTTTAATCTTTTTGGCCATCAGTACAAACATCTTTCTGCCTGTTTCCTTGCCACTCATGTTGGATGGAATGGGTCAAGGCTTTCCCATCTTAAGCTTGGGTCTTTTTAATACATCAAACAATGAGCGTGGTCCAGACCTGCTGTTTTGGAAAGCGTCTTGGGATAATGACTGTTGTGATTTGGCATTATATAAATGAAAAAAAAAATATTGTTTGATCTATTATGAGCCCTAATCTCACTCCAGACCTCTATGATCAAGGAGCATAGGACTAATACTTAAAGGTGGGGTAGGCAGGATCTCAGAAGTGCCAGTTTGTGGCAGAAATTTTAAATGTAAACACTATTCCTCCCCACCAGTTTTCCCTTCAGCTGCTCCTCTCCCCTCTCTCACTGCTTCAGCAGGCCCCACCAGGATGGGGGTGATGTGCTCACACTTGTGGGTCTGTGTTAGGAGACATGCAGCAGAGTTCTGCACAAGCTGCAGGCGGGCAAGGAAAGCCTGGCTAATCCCTACGTACAAAGAATTGCAGTAATCAAGACGAGTTGTGTTAAAGCATGGATTAATTTTTCCAGGCCAGGTCTTAATAAAATGGGCTTCACCTTCGCTATTTGACGTAACTGATAAAAACTGGGGGGGTAGATTAAAAGCAATTAAAAGAGGGCTGAGGATTGAGCTCTGGGGGACCCCATGTGGAAGAAGAGCTGTTGACGACACAGAGTTGTCGAGTTTTATGGTTATGGTTAATTATTATCAAAATTAACCATAATGAGTGTGGTGAAAAAGGATGAAATGCAGGGATTTTTGATGAATTAATTAATATATTTTAATGTGTATTTATCATAATCAAATATAACCTGAGATATGTCTTAATGTTATTAAAATCAACCATAATGAATGTGGTGAAATCAGAGAGGGATTTATGATTAAAAAAAAAATAATACATTTTAATTTGCATTCATCATAATCCAATGTAACCTGAGATATTTCTTAATGTAATCACAATTAAAGGGATCACTAGACTGTTTTTGTAAAATTACTATTTTCATTTAAAAGCGAATTATTTATGAAATATATTTATGAGCGCCAATACTCACCCAGCACAACCGAGGACACATTTTGGTAAAACACAAATTCTTAGTATTCAGCCATTCATGTGGGTGATAAGCCAGCTGTTCAGTGACCAAATACACAGATGTGTATGGACGCAGTCCTGGAGAAACTGCACATATCACAATATGGGGATACTGAGATATGTCATAGCTGAATTGATTTCCACAGGGAAAAGGAAGGAAGGAAGGAAGGAAAGAAAGAAAGTAAATAAGAAAGAAAGAAAGAAAGAAAGAAAAACCTAATCTAAGAGCACTGGAAGCATCACCACCAAAGGTGGACTTCCTGCCGGCGAGGTCCCGGACCAGAACCCCTGTGAGCGGATGTCCATGCTCACACTACAACAGGGCACCGACAGGAGGTTGTGTCTGGCGTTATGAGCGCCAATACACACCCGCCCCAGCACAATGGAGGATGCATCCTCCAACCTCTTCCGAGGTCTGGCCTGTCCCTAAAAGGATTGCACCCCTGATATGTCCCAATTTCTTGGTGTAGATGTCAGTCTGAAGCTGTCCCTTTGGAGGGCTTGGCTTTGCCCAAGGATACTGTACTGAAACCTGTTAACTCAGCCCTGGTCCTCTTAATTATTCTAAGTGTTGAATCTTAGTGAAGAAAAGCACACAGATTAAAATCAGGAGATGAGTCCGTCCTAGTTGCATTCTGGGAACTTTTTTCAACATGCAAATAAACAAAGTCAATGAGCTGAATTCTGCAGTATCCAGACTAGGGTAACAAAGAAAATCTCTTTCCTTTAAAGCACATTTTAGTAAGCATTCACTCACTACTAATACCATGGGTAAGCCCCTTTATTCTTCATGCAAGTTACAAACTCTTGTTTTTAATGGTCTCTTTCTGAGTCTCTCTACGTAAAGACTCCTTCCTAATGTATAAGGTCTCTTACTTTATGGTATCTCAGAAAGTGCTCAGTCAAGAGGTCCTAAGGACCTCTTACCTTTAGATGCATAGCTTTATTGGTTTAGTATCCCAAACAGGGACTTTCTTAGACCCACAGCCTTAACTGTTTACCCCCCAATGATACCCCCCAATTGTTAATTTCTGTTACTGTAATGTTGCATTCATTATCATTAAGACATTAAAAATATAAAGAAACAATGGTGTGAGATTTTATCTGAATGATTAAATCTGCACAGCAACAGCCTGACCTTACTTAAAACGAAGTTATGTCAATTTTTTCAGTGCACATTTTTGAAAGTAAGCTGTACGCTATTTCAGCAAGGTTATATTCCATAGCTAGCAGCACAAAACATGAATATTTTGAAGTGGTTTAATAATCTGCCAGCAGACTCCTCTGCCAAATTGGCCGCTAAACTGACACCTCCTCCGAAAGGATAAGCCCCTGGATGATGGCCAGAGCCTGGCCCTAGTAGTACCATGGAGAGGGGCAGCGATGGGAGCAGGTGAAGTGAAGCCACAACAGGTGAAGTGTTTGGCGCACATTGTGGTAGGCTTTAGCTTGGTCATATTTTCTGTTGATTATGTTGAACGTGCTGATAACGGTAATGTCATAGCCTAGCTAATCTTTGCAAGTGTGTTAATCGCAGTGCCAACCTCCTGTATTTCCTTCCTTCCCCTTGTGGAAATTGGTTTGGCTATGACATATCCCAGTATCCCCATATTGCGATATGTGGCGTTTATCCAGAACTGCATCCATACACATCTGTGTATTTGGTCACTGAACAGCTGGCTTATCACCCACATGAATGACTGAATAGTAAGAATTTGTGTTTTACCAAAATCACTGAGCACTTAGTGGTTTTGGTAAACACAGTCTAAAACATCATTAAGCTTTTGGGTACAATTCGGATATCTCCCAAGTTAGGAGGAACACCCAAGTGGCAGCCTCTGGACTGGAGAAATTATTAGTTAACAATTCTAAAATCAGGGGTAAAGGAAAGTGGAAGAATAGTTTTAGCCGACAAGAGTGTCTTTCTGCTGGCAGCGTTCTCCAAGTGCAGTTAATCAGACCATGAGCTCTGTAGCTCTCGGTCTCAACGGTGGTGCAGTCACAGCACAGCGCTGTCCATGGCGCTGAAAGTGAGAGCAGGTTATTTTGACTTAATTAAACCGCAACAACACCACAATTTTCATTGTTCTGTATTGTAAAGCATTGTATTTTTTAAAAGTTTTTTTTTTTTTAAACTTGTAACTGTGCCTGTTTGGTGCCAATTATCAAATCACTATGGCTACTCATTAAACCTGAGACTAATTTAATTAGTATGAACTTCAGTTAGTGTATCAGCAACGCTTAAATAGAGTGGGATAAAAAAAAAAAAAAGGAGACTATTAATAATTGTTCCCTCCAATGTATTTCATATGCCACTCTATAGACTGAAGTCTAGTGATGAGTCTACAACAATGCCACACATTGACCCAACAGTATAAAACATAAGAACCCAAACAGCACAAGAACAGAGCCAAGACCAAGAGGACTGATATAGTAATTTAAGTAAAGAAGGAGGAAAAAACAGTTGAACGGCAAATGGAAAAATTCAAAAAAAGAAAATTAAAAACAGCTGAGGCAGACAAAATCACTATAGATGAAAGCAGTCCATTCAGATGAATAAGGAAATAAATAAAAACATTAAAATCCACTGAGGCCTTAAAGTTAATTAAAGGAAAAAGCAATAAGGACATTAAAGAAATTTAAACATTATCAAGCATAAAAGTGGGTGTACGTTAAAGCAACAAAGTGGCTACGATGCAATAAAATAAAGATTTTTTTAAACAACATTTAAAGGAAGATAGGAACAATAAGAAGACATCTATGGGAAATAAACCGTTAGACACATGGAGGGAAACAGGATGAGAAAAGGTAGAAGGTAATAGAAGCAATAAGAGAATGACATCATATCAAAGCAAATCTTCTAAAAGAGAAGTGGGTTTTGAGAAAAGATGTGACTGATTCTGTGAGCATTATCTCCCCCAAAGTCAAGGGTCACCTTTAGTTTTGAGCTCCCGCTCTTGGACTATCAATAGGGCGCTACCTGAAGATCTAAGGCTGTGGGATGTCTTAAAAAGGGTCATCATTTTTTATATAAAGCTTGGGCCAAACTCAAAGTGATAAGTAGAATTAAAGGGAGCTGATGTAGGGAGGCAAAAATGTGATCATGTCTGCCTACACTGGTGAGAAGTCAAGCTGCTGCATTATGGAATAACTGGAGGTGAGAGAGTATATAGGATATAATATGTGATTCCTAACAAAGGAGAGGACTGGACTTTTCTTAGTGCCACTGCAGGTTCTCCTGAACACACAAAGAAAAGAGCAAGGCGAGCATTTATAGGTTGGTTTCTGCTGTAACCTCATTGCTTGTTGCCACTAAATCCTCCACACCGCTTCATTAGGCGTGTATTTATAACTTCAAAGTGCATTAATGAGTTTTTGGGCCCGTGGGGACAGTAATAATCAAACACGGAGATAAACAGTTTACACCGTTTTCCCTGGTAAAGTGTTTATCCATAATGTTCTGCAAACAATTGCTATTATACATCTGTATTCACAGGGAATTGTTAATGTTTATTGGAGTTACATTTCTCCTCATCAGACAAGTATGAGTTTTCATGCAGGATTTATTAGTTCAGATTTGAAGGTTGAATTCTTGTGTTTTTCTGTTGTTGTAGGTGGCTCCTGAAGAGGAGATGCCGAAAGATGCTACAAAGATAAGTGTGAGTTAATCTTTATCTGCTGTTGTTCTCTGAGTGAAGCTGCATATTTTGCCTCAATGTCGTGTTAAAATGATGGAGCACAAAAACCCTCCTGATTACATTCACACTTTTTGTTCCGGATGATCCGCAGATGTTGTACTTATGCTGTATTACACACACGGATCAGCTTTTCACTCGGAGCAGTGAGCGCTCCAGACGACACATCAACATGTTCCCCTCATTCTTGATGGGCTTGTAGAATCACAGTGTCAGCCAAAGAGCAGGCGGTGCTAGAGCCGGTGGGTGGTTAAGTGTCCTCCTGGAGGGGGCACGGCCTGTGCTGCATCATCTTCAGATTCTCATAAACGCCCCTGCATCTTTATGACTTCAACAGCAAATTTAGGTGATAAACAGTGATGGGGACAGGCTGGAGAGTCAGCACAACTTTTTATATCTCCTCCGGTCTCCATGGAGACTTTGACTTCCTCACCCAGGAGAACAGTTTCCCTCAGCATGCTGGGAGGAAGACGGTGCAGCCATGTTGTAACTCAAACGTGAACTTTTCCCCTCTAATTAACTGCAGAAGTGAGCAGAATGTAAATCACCGTTAATTATCTGCACAACAGCCCACTCCTTCTGCTAAATCTCTTTCTGCAGTCCTAAAGCTCCTGTCACCCTAATCCAAAATAGCCCTCTAACTATATGTGCAGCCTCATGTGCATCTAAAAAGGAGTAAATCAGTCCAAAATTCAAGTTATGTCAACCTTTGTCAGTCTCTGTGGACTTTGGTTTAAAAAGAGTGCAGCTAAACTTCAATATTAACAACGTTTTCACATCTGTCATCCAATCAAAGGCAGCAAAATGGAAGCTTTTTGGCTGTTTATGTCCAAGGACCAGCAACCAAAGGCAGTAGTGGATATATGTCGCAGTAGGATAGAACTGCAACAATGTCTGACGTAATTTTGATTCAAAGAGGGCAATTAACATCGCAAAGCCCTTTCTTTGAATCTCACCTTTTTTGCTTTTGAATCTTATGTCTCTGCATGCAGCAACAAAATGTTTTCACAGCGTGACATACAACCTAATGAAAATTTCTGACTCCCAATTTAGAATTTCAACCACTCTATCAGTCTGACCTCTGTCCATCTGTCCCTTTATCCCCTCTCTAAACCTAGCTCAGTCGCAGCAGACGACTGTTTAACATGAGTCTGGTTCTGCTCGAGGTTTCTGCCTGTTAAAGGAAGTTTTCCTCTTCACTGTAACTTGCTAAATGCTTTAAAGTGTTGCATTCATGGTTGAAAATGGGATGGGAGTGGGTCTGATCCTATCCCAACTTTACACTGGTCTCATAAAATAGTCTCTGTAAATAGTCTAGTCTTGACCAGCTTTTTTGGAAAGCACCTTGGGATAGCACTTCAATCAATCTATCAATCAGACTTTATTTATAAAGCACTTTCCATACAAAAATGTAGCACAAAGTGCTGTCCATTCAAGCAGGATATAAAAGAAAAATACAAATATAGAACCCCATCCACCCTCCCAACCCACATTCAACACATACAACACTCACACGCTCACACAAAAAACAGGTAAGGACTCTTCAAATTGCCACAGTTAACTGAGGTGTGAATTGGCACTATGTAAATAAAGATTGACTGATTAAGAGTGATTGAAATTCAGATTGATCCTGTCAGCGTGTCAGGGATTGAATTATCCATTGATCCTGCTGTAGTGGGATCACTACCAGTGTCTAATAAACTCAAAAACATCTGCAGGCCATCCACTATTTAGCAAAATTTTGACTGACAACACACCTTTAACCAAGTGTTTGAGTCACTTCAGTTGCTAACAATATTGTTTCTATGTTATTATGTATTACTATCTTTAGCGTGTCATGTGCTTTAAGGAAACAGTTTAAGACAATTTCTGTTGAAGATTGATGGTCCTTTTAAATATTTTACAAATTGCAGTGGCCTAGCTCACATTTACTGTTGAATGTTTGAAAGCAAAACACATAATTCATGTGCCTCTTTAGGCGCCCTGAGAGGAACTGTTACTGAACAAGACAGCACACATTTAGACAACTGAAATATACACTTTGAGGCTGCACAACACCAATGATCATATGCACTATTGCTTAGTGCCGAACTAGAGAATGTTCATTACTGCGGCAGCAGTAGCTCAGGAGAAAGAGGTTGTCCAGTAACTGGAAGATTGATGGTTCGAACCCCACCCTATCCCTAGTCTGTCTATTGTGTCCTTGGGCAAGACACTTTACCCACCTTGCCCCCAGTGTGTCCCTCTCTAGTGTATGATTGTGAGTGTTGTATGGTGGTGGTCGGAGAGGCCGTAGGCACAAATTGGCAGCCACGTTTCCGTCAGTCTGCCGTAAGGCAGCTGTGACTACTAAGGTAGTTTACTACCACCAAGGTGTGACTGTGCGATGCGAATATGTGATGTATCCAATGTAAAGCGCTTTGAGGTCACTGATAAAAAGCGCTCTGAAATCTGATGCATTATTAGTATTATTATTATCTCAACTCTGATGTCACGAATGCATCATTCTACTTTTAATCAAATTTCCTGAGGTTTCAGTCATTCAAGAAGCAACAAAGTCACCTGGCTAGTCATCCAGTATTTGCATTGAAATCATTGTATGTTAGAGCACCAGTGTGCATGCAAAGCAAAAATATCTGCTAAGGCAAAGGTATATAAAGACAAGTTTTCATTTTTCTTTGTTTATTCTGCAACAAACAGAAAACATGTAGCCTCTCCTTCCTCCCAAGAGGCGAGCTGTTGCTGCCTCGGTGTAATGAAGGTACCAGCTGTGCTCTGGGTGACTGAGTGCGTGTGTGTGTGTGTGTGTGTGTTTGTGTGGGTGACGTGATCACTGCGGGCTCTGCAGCTGGAAAATCATTATGAGCTCTCTGTATATAATGGATGGTGGCTGCCATACTTATGATCAACACAAACGTGGTAGGTGCTTACATGTATGGAGACACAAACAAATGAATAATGAAACATAACAGCTTTAAGAGCTCATTTTTTACATACAGTCACACATGCAGGGATCGTCTCCGGCACACCTTCCTCCGCAGCATCGCGGGGAAGAAGGTGGGTGATAAACGAAGTTGTATTCATATCTGTGTGCGTCACATCTCATGATGTACCCAGAGACTCTAATCATCTCAACAGAGCTGCTCTGTGAACTCTCCAAGCTTTTAGCTCCAAGATGATGTCTCTCCATACTTTCAAGGCCACAAATAGAATTTGTAGAGCAGCACCTTTGTCTGAGTGTGCGTGAGTAGGAGTAATTTGCTCTGAGGAGGTCGACTGTAAAGTGTTTCAAAGCTACACTACAGAAGAGATTTCAACATCACATTTTTGCTGAAGGTCTCACAGACTTTTATATTAATTTGAGTGGCTATCTGCATATAATCCCAGCTTATTTTTCCCTTGTTAAACCCAGCAAAGGCTAATTAATGGCAGACACACTTAAAGCTCTGAAACAGATAATAAAGAAAACTGTCTCGAAGCTGTTCACTGACAAGTTCAGCAAGGGAAAGAATTGAAAAAGGCTCTTTAGTCTAGAAAAGGCATGTTTTTCTGTCTTATGGAGTGATATCAAGGCCAATACTGCTATCATTTATGTCTCTCAAATATAAAGGCAGCTGACTTAGCTTACTATCAAGATTGTTAATAGGAGGAAATGAGCCTGAAGCCAATAGGTAAGCTTATTTTTGTACGTATTTTGTAAATGTGTTGTATTGGCTCCTTTACTGCTTTACAACTTTTTCCCAACATATAGACTGCAGAGACTGCTGCTCTTCACCAACATATACAACATATGTTAATGATTTTACCACAAACTGATCTAGTCTCAGTGATGTCCCCCATTGTTTTCTGGAGAGAGGTCTTGAATCCCAAACAATGGTGGTTGTTGTGTTGGAAATGCTGACTCAAACTCAATCTTGTTCAATCAAACATGCTGCCTGTCAGTCAGCTTTGCCCTTTATCATGCAAATCTACGTATGACTTGTGGTCTTTACATCTTCAAAACATACGATGTGTAGAAATTAGGAAATCATGGATAAAGACTAGAAGTTCTGCTGTAAAGACATTTTAACATGGATGTTGATGAGAGTTCCTTACGTCTGAGGCCAGTCTTACATAGACACTCAAGAACTTCCCCTCTGGCTTCATTTTTCAATTCTGGAGGTTGGCACTTGGATTTTACCCACCCAACTAAAGAGAAACTTGTAGTTTCACACAGGACTTGAACAGCAGTGTTGTCTCACCCAATCACTACCCCCCATCTCTAACCTATCCTGACTTAATTACTCTTTTGCATCACCTTACTTCTGCCTTTCCAACCATTGATTTACTGCAGCCACCTGACATTGCCAACTTATGTGAATATTTTTAACTTAAATGCACGTTATATCCATGTGGGCACATTAAGTGGACAATGAACCTTCATTCCTGCCCATCTCTCACCTTCTCTTTTGCTTTTTTCCATCTCTTCCAGGTTGTGAAAGTTGTAGGAAGTAACATCTCCCATAAACTCCGCCTCTCCCGGGTCAAGCCATCTGATGAGGGTATCTACGAATGCCGCGTCATTGACTTCAGCGACGACGAAGGTGCCCGCCACCACCGTGTCAGAGCCTACCTGCAGGTGGTGCCAGAGAGCGACAACATTGACAGCACCCATAACGACAACTTCGAGGCTTTGGATGACACCAAGAGAGGAGTGCCATTCAACGATGGAGATGACATGGAGTCTCCCAGAGGCACCAAAGAGCACGCTCATGGTCATCACCAGAACCATGGGCACCACCAGGAGCACGGCAAGCGGCCTTCATCTCCCACTCACCATGGCCACAGCCACAGTGGGAGCAGCCAGCAGCACAAGGCGGGCAGAGAGCTGAGGAAGAGGGAAGTGGACAGTAACCACAGCCTCAATGACTGCAGCAATGAGCCCAGCTGTGCACTGTAGATGTTAGCTTGAATACACCTGAGCAATTGGATAACATGAGGTGTGTCACAGCATCAAAAAGCTACTTCTCCCACACAGTGTGAGCCTGTGTACAATTCAGAATATTTAGAAATGCGCAGTACGGCCTCTGTAACTGTGCTGGAAATGTAGTTTTTTCTTGCTGTGCATGGATCTGGGTTGGACTGCTTACTGTCTATAAAGCCTGGCTTCACCACATTCAGCTAAAGGGGGCTGATGTGTAGATCTAAGCAGCTTTCCTGTTTCTGTTCTCAGCACCAACAAAAAAGACCCTTGTCTCACTGATAACTCATGCTTCTCTTGTACTTTAGATACTGTAAATGATCAACTCTGCTTTCACCTTCATACTTCTCCCTCTGCCTTACTTTGTCATTTAATGCACCCTCAGAAAGAAGACAGTATTTTACCTTTTAAAGATGGATTCATGCTTAGTATGAGAAAATTCTCCCTTTTCCCTGAGAATTCACTCAATATAACTCAACTGTCAGTGAGTTTTTTTTCTGGGTCTCTTGTCTGGTCTGATTCCTCTGCTTCCTACCCTGAGCACAAGTTACATCAAATCATTTTGAGTTTTGAAGTAATGGACATGAAAATCGTGCAAACACTGCAATCACCAGTAGGTACCCTTGGAGTTGAGATGTTGTGCAAAATGTTCATAAAAAAAGGGGGATTTGATGGTTTGCATATCATTTAGACCCAAATTTGACTGAAATTTTGCAACATGGTATTGACATTTCAATAAAGCTTCTTGATTAACTCTGCAGACATTTGGGAACAAAGAGGGTCAGTTTTAATGATATAATGTGCTGTATGTGATGAAATCCCCAGGTCCTTTGCAGTCTATGCTCACCTAATCTCCCATAGACAGGTGAACCTCCTTTCAGCTTTACTTCTGAGAAATTTGAGTCATTTTACTAACCTGCTCTCCTTGTCCCAACTGTTTTGATGTTTGTTGTCAGCATCAAATTAATAATGTGCATATCTCTTTCATGAAACAATTGAATGTTTTAGATTCAACATTTGATGTTGTCTTCACTCACATTTTTTAAAAAGTCAAATTTGGGCTTTAAATGATTTGCAGACCATCAAATTCTGTCTTTATCAATGTTTTTTTCACAGCCTCCCAGCTCTTATTTAATTGAGGTTGGAAAATTCAACAAGTAATTCACAGTTTATTGGCAGAGAGACAAAACAAACTTATTTCAGAACAAATCTATCATTAATAAAGAAAGCCCAAGTTCATCTGAGTCGAACTAAATACAGTGGAAAGACTGAGATTTATACCACAATTGTGCACAGTCAAACAAAGCTCATCACAGTCTGTGTTTACCTCACAGTGCTTTTGAGCTTTTGAGTTTGCAGCACAACAGAAAATATGATTTTTTTTTCCTTCTTTTTGTGCTGCACGTTCGATCTGCTCATGGTTCTTCAGGCTGAGAGAAATCAATCATGTTCCATTTGGACCGCCACCTGTTTGGAAAGCCATGAAAACATCTAAATCTGTGGCACTAAATTAAAAATCTGATTCGGTGTGCCTCTGAATCAACTCTGTGGCTGTAAACCAATGGGAGGAATCCATACATCTTGGTGCGAGTTACTTTTTTGGAGGAGTGGTGCTGTATTTCTACCCGGCCCAGCTCTCTCACCCTGATGCTCATCAGTAATCTAAAAAGCCTCAATCCTCTCCACTACAAGCCTCTAATCCACTCTGTATATATGACTGTATTATATGAAATAAAGTGAGTGCATGTTCAGTAATTTTCTTAAAAACTTTTTCAACCAATCATACACAAAGCCAGTGGGTTAGTTAAGGATATTTATGTCATTTGTTGGTTCCTAATCATTTAAAATTTAATGTTGGGACTCTTTTTTCCACTTTACTGTCCTGACAGATAGAGCTTTGGTTTCTCAGAGTTGTTTTCTGTTGCTTTACTGCGCTCCAGAAGTGCTGTACAGACAGATGAATGACACATTCTCTTCATAGCTGCTCAGAAAAGGGGTTTCCCTAATGTATCTTAGTACTTAAACAGTGTTTCTTAAACTACTGGACTGTGTGTGCAGGGCCGCTGACATGAGTGTCACCATGTTTTTAAATAGCCTGAACGTGAGATGCAGTTCACACAGTTTGGGACTCAGTCTGACAAGGTTTGAAAGGTCATTTTAATTCTGCCAGTTTTACAGCCCGTTGATAATCTCTTTGCTTCGATGCTTGTTTGGGGCGCTGGACAGTTTTCTACTCTGCAGTGATGAAAACGGACAGAGTACATGTAGGTAACACTGTATAAAGCCTTGGGCAGTGAGGGCTGGAAGTAAAAGGAAAATGTTGTTAGTGAAACACTGAAATTGGCTGTCGTTACTGCCTAAAATATGGTCTGTGTCTCAAGGCCATGAGGGGCTCTGCTTCCTCGCTGTGCGATCCATCAGAGGATACTCCAGCGCTCCTGTGGTTCTTGGCAGTCCCTGTAACTGAAAGGATGCTGGAGGGGAGGAGGCGATGATCAGGGGGATCTTTTTCTTTTCAAAGACTAACTTTGATTTAAGGTTTTGTAGAGGATAAATCACTGGTTAAAAATAAATAAGAGGGAACGTGTAAATTTCTTCTAGGATGTTTGGTCTCACTCTAAGTGTATGACTTTATCAAATAAAATAAATTGTATATGAAACGGAAATGAGTCCATGGTCACTTTCTCCAAGTTTGTTTATATGTAATCTGCACCACACCTGAACAATTATTAGATGTTATGATGGATGATGGATGGATGGATGGATGGATGGATAGATAGATAGATAGATAGAGTTTTCTCATAATGTGGTACTGCTGCTGTAAATTGGTCTTGTTGTCATGGAGTGAAGCTAATTGGAGTAATCTGGTCATGTGACACTCATGCTTGAATAAGACTTTGAGGACTCAGGCTAGATGAGGTATTTTTCTTGAGTAAACAAGTAAATAGTTATTCGAGAAGTGTTTGCTAATATTGTCTTTTTCAAATAAATCCCTTTTTATTTTTTTCCTTTTTACACCTTGTCACTTTTGTTGCTACACAGTATCTATTAACTGCTAATCTACAGAGAACAGAGACTGGATAAAATATGGGCCTGGTCTTCTGGGCATAGTCTGTTGGGTTTTTGAAGCAGAGTTTAAAAATCTGACTCTACCTAACTTTCATTTGACTCAGCGAGAAACAAACAGGGAGAGTTCAGAAGGCCTGTTAGCAGCTACACTGTTAGCTGAAGTTTTGTGTGCTTTTAAGAGTGTGAGAGTGTATTAAAGGTACAGCCAGAGAAATAAACTATCAGACTAAAATCAATATTTGAGCCAGACTTTAAATATATATTTTTTTCACTGCAAAGACAGCATTTTTTGATTAGGTGTGCATGTGGTGTCTGAGGCTTTTGGAGTCAGCCTCAAGTGGACGTTTAAGGAACTACAGTTTTTAGCACTTACGGACTGGATTAATTCCTAAAGACAGAAGCTCCTTGAATAAGAAGCAATCAGAGATAATTATGTATTTTTGATTATAAGCATGTTCAGCAACAGATCAACATCTTAACAGCATACAAGTCTGACAACAAAGGCCACCGTTAAAATGAACACAGATTGCTCTTAGTATTTGAATGTTTTTATTTATCCTGCTAATGTTTTGTGATGCATAACACATTTAAAAAGCAGGTGTAAATGACACAAAAAGGTGAGAGCTGCACACTGTCTCTCACAGTCTCTACTCAATGATATCTGAAGTGTTACTGCGGGGTATGTGTTCAGCGTTGGTGAAGCTTCTGGCTTCCTGTGTGTGTGTGTGTGTGTGTGTGTCCGTGTGCATTAAGGAGAAACGATATTAGGCAGTTGCCTGTGTGTAATAGGTGCTGCCAAGCCCCCCCCCTCCACTGCTGCTGATGACTAATGGTGCTATTGTCAGCACTGGCAGCAGGATAAATAGCAACAGCACAGGATGAGATAAAGAGGCGCTGTGCCGTGCTCACTAGCATTAAGCCAGACCAGCTAAATACAAAACACATGGCGATCTTGTTTCCCCGCACTGGAAGGCTCATACATTCATTATAGAGCGATGAAGTGGGGAGGCTGCAGGCACTCACATCAGTGAGGTGAGGTGATAAGAGGGGGAGTGGAGGTGGTGGGGGGTCCTTTTTCTTGTTTTAAACAGCTCTGAAGCCCTGTAGGTCTCTGAGTGATAACAGGTACAATTATAGATCGGCCTACAGTCCTGTCATGAGGCATCGAATTGCTCAGTAGGTGCACAACCTCGTGCCCTGTGTTCCTCTTGAGCTGACACATTTGCAGACAGCTCGTGTGATGTGGGCGGCAGGAGAGCTCAGAGGTTAGTGAGGGCATCATTTCACTTACAGACCTCCTCCATCCCTGTTACATCCACACCTGCCACAATATGCTTCAAATATGAGTCCAATTTTATTCAATATTTTCATCACTGAATTGAAACTTGATGAAAAGACCAAAACTGACCAACCTTTCTTATTCCCCTAATGGCTCAGTATTCAAACTGTCAGCTTAAGTCGACTAGTTCAGGGTCTGGATTTGGTTTGTTACCAAGTATTTAACATGTATGCTATCAGCTGCAGTTTGACTTTTAAACATGTTATTAAAAGTCTTTCAAGCAGAGTGATAGAGTAATAAAGCCCCTAAGAGACAGAAAAAATCTGTAATTAGGACTGTTTCAGCTTTTTCACTGGGTTTGATCGATGAGACATGAAACAGTACCTGCTGATGCTTTAGCCTGCACCATCCATCGTTTAATCTCATCAAAATTCCCATCTACAAATCCGCTTTCTTACAAAGAGATTAAAGAACAGTTTTTGATCTAATGGTGGCAATCTAATATTTTTCTAGACTTGTTTTGGTCTTTAATGAGGCTCATTCTTGATATTCATATAGAAAAAACCTGATTATACTGTTTGTCAGTTTTTTTTTGTTCCTTAACTTTCAGGTATAGTTTGAATCTTTTTACACTTACAGTAGCACCTGTAAGCACACTGTGGTTTAGAAAAAATGAGGCTGTAAACTTTGGCTTAAGTTGTCTGTAATCCATCTTACTATACAGGGGCAGGGTTTTGATCTGTCTTCTTTCTCAGCTAAAAAACTCACAGTGAATGAATATATTTTGTACTCAGTATTATGGGGATACCATAATATTTTAAAAATCCTCTACTCTTTAAGGCCCGTGTTACTCCAAACAGATGTCAGGTTATGGCAACGTCAAAACTCCTGTGAGGGACTTTAGATTTGTGTCATTTTTGGTGCCCCCTGTGGTCTCTACTTATCTCGCCCTCTTCATGCTCCTGGAGAGACTTCTGAGTAAAAAAATTACATCCTGCTGATTGTAAAACAGACAAATTTATCTTTTACTGTATGTGAAAACAAGGCTGTCTAATGAAGGCAAAAAGCCCTAAAATATAACTTGAATGAAAAATTATATCACACGTACACACACACACACACACACACACACACACACACACACACACACACACACACACACACACACACACACACACACATATATATACATATATATAGTCATACTTGGTATCAAACAAAAGAGGAAAGAATTTAAAGTCATGTTGTGTTTTAGTTGTTTAATAAATGTCCAAAGGTGAGGAACAATCCCTTCATCCAGGATATTCTGTTTAAAGTTTTTATTTTCACAGATTTACCTTGAACTGAGTGCTGAATATAAATCTTTTCAGAAAATAAAACATAACATTAAGATCAACACAACACAGAAAAAGGCACCTCTCCATCAGATCTGTCAGGTTAAATAAAAAGATCAGCTCTGTCACTGCATGTCTCCTCATTTAAAAGAGCCGTCTGAAGTTCAAACACCTGCAGCAGGAGAGCGAACAGCAGCAGACATGCTTCATTGACATGTTCCCTTTGTGCCGGGCTGCTTATCAGAACTGTGCGCACCATGAAGGTTATCACACACCGTATCTGATGGCTGCTGTTTGGCACAATCGTCAGATTTTCCTTCAGTTAATTGACTTGCCGGAGTCGGTGGCGAGCCGCCTGTTTGAAAGATCACTCAGTCACATCAATCACTGCCTCATTAGCTGCCCGGCTGGTTGATGGTCTCAGAGACCGAGCCAAACTCCTCCTGCAGCAGTTTCAGCACGTTACCCGAAAACTCGTCTCTTGGTCGGCCCATCCCGCTCAGCCGGACCGGCTGGAGGTCAGGGTGAGGCGGCGTGTAGGAGGACGGGCAGTGCAGCTCATTCAGAGTAAACCAGAAAGTGTCCGGATCCACCTGGATTAAGTGTCTGAAAACGCTGAGGAGAGGGGTTTAGGAGAGAGGATTAGCTCACGGCTGTATTTTGCTAATGTGTGTAATATTTATACTATGGAGAAACACTCCTGTAATCCAAAGTGACGGACTTAGCAGAACACAGCAGATTTTTCTGGTTTTAGGGTGCACTCCTACAGTCTGACTGTGAGCTCAGCACTGAAGAGCCAGGTTTGATCAATCAGAGCTACTTTATTCACACCTCTCCTTCCTGAGGAAACTCAAAACTGTCCTGAATGACCATGCTCAGAGGTGAGAGGACAGCTAGTCTGATGCAAAAAAATTTATATTGAATTTTTATTTGAAGCCAGTACAAGAGAAATAAATTTGAAGGAAATAAAGACTGGAAGTTGGATTTATGATATCCCGCTAATCAGTGTAAAACTGTACAGTTGTAAAGCCCGATTTCCTGAGGCTACAGCTTAAACAGATCATAAATCCACATTGTTGCATGTGTTTAGGAATAGTCTAACACTGCTCAGCAGGTAAAATGACTTTACAACCATTTTCAAGGTTTCAGGTAACCTTGAAGTATTCATCTCTTTGTATGTCAGAAACCAACAGAATAAACCAGCACTGGCGAGAAGGTTGGCTGTTTACACCTTGAAGCGAGGCTTGGTTCTTAAAAACCAGTTCCTACTTGGAACCAGTTTCGAATTTCAGAGATTTGTAGACTCAGTAAGGCACTTAAATTTTGGTCTCTTCTTGCAGCCAGTTTTCTGCAGACTTCTGCTGCTTGCTACTGCAGCACAAATAAGCAACAGAGGCTGTAAATGTAGTGCTGGGCGATATGGAAAAAAATGTATATCACGATATGGATCATTTTATATCACGATAACGATATATATCACGATATAGCTATGGTATGCTTTCAGTTCTATGAAAAATTTAAGTGTATACAGCTGCACTAGTACCTGTACAAGACCAGCACTTAAAACTAGAAAAATGAATAAATAAATATGTGGCTGAAGTGCGTTCATGTCTGTGCTCACCCAAAGTTATGCAACACTCACAGAAAACGCCGAGTGTGAGCCAAAGCACTCCATAATAATAATAATAATAATAATAATAATAAATTTAATTTGTAATGCACTTTACATTTACAAAAAATCTCAAAGTGCTACAGTACACAGTAAAAAAAGAGCAGCAACAATAAAAAAAAAGCAATAGAATGACAGTCACAGATTGGCATAAAAAAAAAAATAAAAAAAATAAAAAATATAGAGTTGCAATGTAAGAGGCAAGGTAGTAAAAGCATAGAGGAAAACTAACCAAAGACTTCATTAAAAAGGTAGGTCTTTAGGGCTCTTTTGAAGAGGTTGTTCACACTTCTAGATGTTTCTCCTCCAAAGCTGCTCTATGCCTCCATCATTGTTTACTTTACTCTTGAAGCACGTGGGAAGACCCGAGCATGAATCCGAGCGCTTTATTCGCCTATCAGGGGCAGACAGGTAAGGTGATTTGATTCGCCACGACTCCAGAAATGATTGAAAAACTACAGAATGTCACAAAATTACGTTTCCTCGCTGCTGGCTTGAAGGGTAGAAATGCGCAGCCGCGCTCCCAGCTGACAGGAAGTCAAACCACTGTTGTAGTTCTTTTGTGTTGCTAGCGCGGTGAGGAGTGTTAGCTCTCACTGAGAGATGACTACAAAAATGGACGCACCTGTTCATCTGGTTGTTAAACACGGCTGAAAATGATCATCTTTTAATGTTCCCGCTCCTGCCCACTCCCGTTGCTTTTTTTCCCGTCCTGTCCCGATCAAGGGATTAATTAAAAAATGACTCCCATCCCGCGGGAATCACGTGACCCACGGGGAATCCCCGAAAAATGTCATCCTCTACAGGGAAGGTCCCGGAGCACATAAAACAGGTGCCGGAGCGGCTGAAATAGGTCCCGGATCCGATCAAAAGAGGTCCCGGATCGCGCTCCGACTTGCTCCGGCACAAACTAAGCACTGCTTACAATGATCCCCTCACGTGTGTAACCCAGGTAACCCGCAACGGCGGGAGACGCTGGACACAAAGAGGGCACGTAAAGCGGTGTCATGTCGCAAAATCGAAAGAGAAATGCGAGCCTACATGTCAACGCATCCTTTTCTTTGTAAGGAAATATTGTTTTCTTTCCCGTTTGACACTAAATACACTTACTGAATGTGCAATTATTGTTGTTGTTACTATGAATCATCTGATGGCACAAGCCCTATGGATAAAATACAGCCTATCGCCCGAAACGATAAAAATAAAAATGGCACGATAGACATTTTCTATCGTGCCCACGATATCTATCGTCCAATCGCCCAGCACTATGTAAATGTGTGCTATTTTTTCAGTTTTTAGGCACTAATGGGGGCGAGAATAAGGAATACAAAAATCTAATGATCAACTGGTCTAATCTTCAGTAACTTTGTCAAACATTGCACGGTGACACTGCTGCATCTATGACGTCATCTCAGGCTTCCTGTAATCCCACATGTACAAACACACGTCCATTCCTGTTAAATTTGGAAGACGTCATGCTCTATGGAGGCACATGTACACAGTAAAGTCAGGTCAATTTCTGGGCAAAAGCTCCTTCAGTTTTCTTTAAAAAATTCCCAAAAATGCATTTATGAAAGCAGCTCCTGTGTGACACTGTTTAGATAGTCTACACAGACATCTGAACATATGATAATCTGACCAATTTATCTATTATTTTAATTCATTTGTAGATTATTTGCGAGTCTTTTAAAGGTTGCCTGACTATGTGTAACATCAGAGACATGCAAAAAAAGATCAACTTCAGGTGGGGAAATTAGTTCTTGTCATTGGATTATGGTTCATGGCGCAGTAAGGAGAGTAATAAAATGAGTATGCTTTTGCTGGTGGGACACCCAATAGTTTGTACCTATGGGACAGAAACTTAATCTAAAAAGTCAAAAACCTCCAGATTGGTAGACTTAACGACTTTGTTTTTAAGAGGACTGGAGTGGTCTGAGTTGTCCTTTTCTAAAGAGTAGGGAGAGAAGTGGTTTAATTGCTTCTTATTTGGATTGGTAATTAAAAAGAAACAAAATATGGGGTTTATTCCTTTAGAGTTTTGCTATTTTGCTCAGGTTTATAGTTAATAAATTTAAAATATCGAGCAAAGATTTCTTCACCTTCTCTGCTGTCAGCTTCCTTTTCTCTGCGTTATGAAGTGAATATCAATGGGGTGTTTAAAAACCTTGGTACTTAGCTATTCTCCACATTTTACAGACCAAGTGATTAACAGATTATTTGAGAAAATAATTGGCAGATTAAATGAGACTAAAGTTGCAGCACTTATCTAAAGCAGCAGACTGTTCACTCACTAAGAAGGCGATGCCAACGTGGACGACATTCAGCACTGCTGCGGAAAATAAACAGATTATGAGGTAATGTTTGTTATATCCATGCCAAGAAGTGATGTCTGAAGTTACGTCTTATTGTGCGTTGTACTTTTCTGCAACCTAGTAAAGAAATAATGACGTTAAGAACTTGTGACATGTCCCAGTTTGACTTAAAGCTTACTAAAAGACAGTCTGATTTAAGCTGAAGTAGATTTTGCTGTTGTGTCATGAAACATCACATCATGTTGTTTTTAAGAGACCACAAACAACATTTTCATTTTAGCGGGAATTTGAGCTGACAGTATGCCTAAAAGGGTGGGGTCAAAGGTAAAAGTGGGGTCTGTGTTACTGATATGAGCGTTAAAATGATGCTATTGCACTGACATTAATTGATAATTTGTGACAGATGAAAGCAGTATGGTACCAATAAATTACAGCTGTAATCAACCAAAGAAATTCTTGCTTGACAAAAATTTTCGACCAAAAATCGACTAATATGGAGTGGGGGCATAAACCCTTCTGTGGCGGGGAAAGATGCGCTTGGCGGTGCTCAGCTTGGTGGGATGAAAATATGCTTCATGGATGGTAGAGGAGGACTCACATGAAAGTTGAAACGCTCAAAATAAAAATAAATATTCAGCAAACCTAGGATGCTCTCCAATCTTCCTGTCTTCAGTGGGTTGGGCTAATCAAAAATGCTGAAAACAAGGGGGTGTTCTGAGACAGGCTGTTATCTGTGACATAGGGGTGCTCTGAAAACACCCCCTTTGGCACTTGGTACGTTCCTCCTGTTGCAATTAGCCATAGACTGTAAACTGACGCGGTCGATCAGAATTTTGGTCAACTCAGCACGTATCGACCAGTAAGTCCACCAGTTAAGTAGGAATTTACAGTCCTAATATAAAAAGGTCAATAAACTTTAAAAGATCCATTCAGACTTTTCAAATCTAGCTCTAAGTCTTATTCAGGCATGTCTGAAGCTCCTACCATCATTAGTTCATTTCAAGGTTGCAGAAAAGTACAACACACAATGAGATGTAACTTCAGACATCACCTCTTGGCATGAATATAACAAACACTGGGTGTGTTGTGTCTTGATGTTGTGTTCTCTGCTTGTAAATGATCTCTGTAAACCTGGAGAAGTTTTCACAGATTTTAAAAACAGCCTCCTGTTTTCTGTTGCTCATAAGCCAACTACTGATATAACAAAACCCTCTTAAGGAATAAGGCAGGGTCTTTGCTGCTGCTCTCCCTGCCTCAGACTTTGGCATTCCACGTACACATGTGGAGGGGCAGGGAGAATAACTTATCACATGCACATTAATACAAAAGAACAAGGCCCAGAATTGCACAGTTCCATACACACCAAGTGTGGATTTGGATGAGGCTTACCTAAGGCTGGCTTCTTGCAGTCTGATGGGTTGTCTGCAGCTTAGGTAGGGCAGGCAGGCCTCTCCAACGACATTCAGATCCCCCTCACCTGGAAACACCAAAACATCAGTTAAATACATATGAGGTCGCCGCTGCACAGAAGAGATCCTCTCAGAGCATGACTGGATAGATGAGGGACTTCAATCAATTTCAGCTGTTGCAGAAGATCTCAGAAAAGGCATATGTAATCATAGATGCCCGCAAACGGAGAAGCTCCATAAGACGGCAGATTTGAAAGCGAGTAGGAAGAGGGATAAAAGGGAAAGAGATAGAGATGAAAGAGGAGGGGGAAAAAAGAAATAGGACATGCCTGGACTTTTACCTTTCCTAACTCCTAATGAGCTGAGAGAAACTGCTGAAGAGAATTTCACAGCAGGCTGTTTCTCTGGAATTCACACATACACTCTCCCCTCTTTTTAAGGGGTGGATGTGTGCGAGATGGGCTACATCTTTTCCCTCCCCCTTCATCTCTTTTCCCCACTACCTGCAGTTTTATATACATTGACCCATTTGCCTTTATTCTCCTTTTCTCCCCCTCTTTAAATGCACCTTTCACAACCTTGCCAGCTCCTGCTCCCTCCACCTCCTTGACTCCACTCCACTCTTTCATCTCCTCTCTCTATCGCTCTCTCTCTTTCTCCCCATATCTCCCAGCAGACACTCAGTGATTCCCTAAGCTGCAGAGTGGGCTGCCTTTCAAGCCTTATTTCAAAACATGTCTCTCTCCTTCTCTGCTTACTCTATTTGCCAATTCAACCCACACTCGGCTTGAACTGGGCCTGCTCGCTGTGTGTCAAGAATAAAAGCAGCGGTGCACATTTCAGAGTTAAATGGGATTATTTAGCGAAAGCTTTTATCCCCCTTTCTTCCTCTCTTGCTGGTGCCGCACTTGTAGCCTGTAGTCTTTTGTGCAATCAAGGTGCTGGGAGGGAAGCAAAGAAGTGAGAAATACTTAAGAGTGAGGGGCCAGGTGCTGTTAGATGTAGTGGTAAATGAAGAACAGGCTGCAATTGGAGGTGAAGCCGCTGCTGGAGCTGAAAAGTATTATTTGCTTCAGTCAATCTGTGTTTCTGTCTTTCTCTCTTTCTGACTGGGGCTCAGTAATTGGCTTGCTGCAGGCCTCCCAGAGGTAAGCTGTGGCCAAATCGGTATTCACATGAGTAAGGCTGCAGCCGCGGACTGTTTCTCTCTGGCTCCTTCACATTCTGTCCATCTCTAACGCCAAGCCTCCCTCTCCCTCTCTCTCTCTCGCTCTGATGTGAAGGAGCACGGTGTCAAGTGCCAGTGAGGAAAATCAAGCACAAGGACTTTCTTCTTGGTTACACTTCAGTCATATGAGGCTTGTAAATAAAACATCGGAGGAAGTGATGTTGCTGCTGCAGCTGCTTTTTTGTAGTCTCCAGTGGTCATGCAACGGTTGGAAGCAGTTTTTTGCTACCAGCTGAACTAGATAACCTCATTCTGTTTGATACACAAGCACTTTGTCTTCATCACTTAAACATACTAAGTATGCTTAATCTTTTTTTTTATTCTAAAGCTAACCTGAAAATGATGCAAAAGGCAGTGCACCTGGCGCTTGGAAACATGTGAGGAGCATGAATTTTTCCCTTTATTTTCTAAGTATGAAAGGAGTTTGTGCAGATCCCGGTAAGGCCAGAATAAGCTGGATTTGGAAGATAAATAAGGTGTTTTCTTGAGCTTAAAATCAAACAGATTTACTGTGCCAGACGGGCACAATGAAAGGTGAAAATCAGAGTAATCTGTCTTTTTCTCCACCTCAAGTACACCTCGAGGGTTCTCCATTTTGACCTGAATCGAATCCTTCTCTATGTATGGTTACGAACAGGAAAACATGTGAAGAGACTGCAGAGAGTATAGTGATTATCCCAGTGAAAAACTGTTGAGCTGCAGCTGTCTCCAACTCAACAAAGAGGTAGTTATCTGTCCGGACAAAGCTGTGTTCACAAACGCTGAGTGTTTTCCACCCTGAATAAAAAGCTGCCTCGTAGAGAAGAAAGTGTTGATACACAGGCGTGTAGTCGTGTAGAAAATCTGGAGAATAATGTCCTTGAATTTCAAACAGCTTAAATTTCCCCACCAGAACAGACACAGAAATCTCACAGCTAGATACAAAGCCTGACTTTCACCACAACACTGTACATACATTAAAAATGCCTCTCTTTTGAGTACATACTTTTGCATTTGAGAATTTACGAGATCATAACAACCAAAGCACACTAAGGCCACTGCACAGGGGTCAAAGCAAATTAATGAAGCAGCAGTTAGTCAGATACAGGCAAGAGGTTTCATTTTTGTTAAGATCAAAACATAGATAATTTGTTTTAAAAAAAACATAGACTCCCTCTCCATATACTTGGAAAGGATTGATGAGATAATACTTGACAATAGAAGAGACACTAGCCGATGACAACAACAAGGTGAAACAATTTAATGAGATGGATATGAGACTGCATGAGTGGTATATGGATCTATATGTTGTAACTGCTTACTGTGTATTTGTTTTTTGTTGGTGTACAAATGTATAAGGGTTTCATGTTAGTATGGCACCACCATGGAAGAATGCAGATTGTGATAAATTATTAGGGTTGGGACGATATGCTTTTCTCCCGATTCTATGATTATTTGGATGCCAATTCGATTTTAAATTGCGATTCTATGATATTGTTGATTTTCTCGATTTTTAGTCTGCATTTTTAACACCAGTGAAAAAGTTGAATGATTATGACTGTCTGCTGATTAGTCCAGGAACCATATTTCCCCTAAAAATACACATCACATGTAAATCAGTTTTTAATCATTATTCTCAAATTTGAAAAAAAAAAAAAAAAATCAATATAAAAACTGTAAAACAAAAAAACTGTGATATGTTATGTTATGTTATGTTATGTTATGTTACGTTACGTTATTGTACTGTTTGAAAAAAAGGTTATGTACCCTGAAGTGGAAGCATGAAACAATTAAAAAAAATATGAAATAACAAAAAAAAAAATAAAAATTGAAAGAAAGAAGAAAAATGTGACTGATGTGACTTTGACTGCGGAGTAATTAGTGATGCCAGACAGAGCAGTTTGATAGTCTTTGAAAGTGCAGATATCCTGAGATTGTTATAATTAAAAAGATAATACCCAGAGAGAAATATGCAGCCCTTCAAAAGTACAAAATCAGACAGCGTAGTTTGGAAATACTTCTACAAAATGGGTTAGAAAAAAACTGTTAAGTTCTGAAACTGTGACTGTACTGTCGTACTGAGGTGGTTCATGTGTACAATTTTGCACCAGAGAGACATACAGTATGATCTGACCTCAGCTGATCAAACACCATATGCCACTTTTGTTACGAGACGGGCACAGATGGTTTCTCTGCCGCTGCACACACGATGGCTTCTCTCACCTTTTCTTTGCTCCGCATTTCAAAGCTCAAAAGTGAAAGCACTAAACTCTAACCGACAAGCACTACAGCGTCTGTGATTGTGGAGTAAAAGCTGACTCCTGACAATTGTGGACTGCCCTGGTGAGCATTTATACCTGAGATTGTCCTCTGCCTCTAATACCAGAGTGTTACAGCAAAAAAAAAATCCCCTCTTCCTCATGGCTAAAGGGTCACCTCCTTGTTAAAGCAAACCTGTTCACTCCTACTATAAACCCTGAACCACACATCCTCCACAGCTGTATACTACTGAACACAACAGCTTTAAGCACAAAGAAGGAGAACAGAACGGAGACTAAAGGACCAAAGAAGTAGAATGATTAGATAATACAAAAGAAAGGAAACAAGATTGAGGATCTAAAACAATTAAAGGAGGTATAAAGCAGCAGAAAAAAAAGTCAACAGTGAGAGGCTGAGTTAATGCAATAAAGAGAGAAAGAAAAACATTAGTGTTGATAAAACATTTAGAGATAAAGCAGTAAGGACAAATCAGAACAGATGCTTAAAGGCAATAACAGAAGCCAGGACATCAACAAATCAACAGAACGAGCAAATAATGAAACTAATTTGAGGAAAAAACATAGAAATAAAGAAATGATAAGAAATAAGACGTGTTCATAGCAAAAAAAAAGATGATAAATGCAACAACATCACATGTTAACCGATTCTGCGAGGCGTATCTCTTCAGGGAGGGAGATCAATGGACCTTTAGTAGCACAATAAGTAAACAGACAAATGACCCACAAACTGCCATCCCAATGTGATTCATCCTGAAGAAATCTGAGTTCTTCAGGATCTATATTTGGTACGTCTTAAACCAAAGATTAACAAATGGCTATGACATGCTGACATTTCAAGGATTTCCGCTTCCCCCTGGTCTTCAGACAAAGACGTCCTGCTCTAGAGGTTGTAACAGGGGCAGAAGTAGAGAGTGGGGGACAGTGGTGATATGTAGTGTTGGAGCAGGCAGGGCAGAACAGCACTGTGTGTGTGAAGATCCTGGTGTGTATTTACTCTTTGCCTCTCATGCCATTATGCAATCTGGAGAAGGGCTGTCATGATACCAAAGTTTACCCAAAATCTAGAAATTACCGGGAAAAAATTGGAATGGCTGCATTAATTTATTGGCATCTGGCTTTTTTCCCTTTCCCTCCAAATCCATTCCTACATTTTACCTCTTCATACCCTCCTGTCCCTGTAAGGTTGGCAGCTGCAGTTGGCCTGCAGAAAACCCTGCTACCTCTGTGACACATGGTGTCAGCAGCAAAAAACTCTTCACCCTCCATGATGAGCCTCAGCAGCTGGGTGCAGTGTGTGTGTGCGAGGGTCACATAACCACATGTTCCTCACAGAGATGCTGCCATTCACATTGAAGCTCCAGGTCTTTCCAGTGTTGGACAGAAACATATCACTTGTGTCAAACACCAAAATCAGATAAAGCAGATATTTTGAGTTACTAAATGAAAGTGAAAGAATAAAATAAGCCATTTGAATAGAGCTTTATAAAACCCCTGTGCACTGATTTATCACTGCTTTAACCTTTCCAGCAGCTCTTTTATACCTACTGTGGGAGGAAGAAGTGATTGTGATTGCTACTTTCTTCGTTTTAAGACTATTTTCCCTGTAATTTGATCACTGATTGCAATCACCAAATTTTACAATGATATAAGCAGCCTCTTTTATCAAGTAGTCTGAAAGCCACTTAGACATTTAAATACGCACTAATAACACCCGCACATGAGGGTGAAAAGAAACCTTTCCCTGCGCAAGGAGACTAAAGCTTTAGTAAAACGCAGCGTGTTTTTAGTCTTTTTGGAAAGCTGTGGCAATTTAAACCAAGTATGGCTACAACAGAGATGTCACAGTGTTAGATAAAACAATGATTTGACAGGTACCTTATATTTTCATCACTGGTTACACACTGGGGCCGAGTTTCCAGGCTACTTTGAATGAACATCTCCAGATTTTTAGGCACATGCTCTGTTGTCCTGATTCCTGTGCAGATTTAACAGCGTTTCTTGCTTGTTTGTGGTGAAATGGAGCTTGAATGAGAACAGTTGTTGCAGTGTTTTTTTTTTGTTGTGTGTGTTTGTTTTTTTTTTGTTTTTTTTTGCAGGAGCATTTAATCATTCAGTGGCATCACACTGGTTGGCTGACTGCTGTAATTGTGTGGTATGTTCAAAGTCATCTTTAAAGTGTGTTAAATAGAAGCAAGGCCACATTGAAATTCCACTGAGCATTGTGCGATTTTATGCAAGAGCAGAACTGGCATGGCTAATTGTTTCGCTGTTATGCATTAGATGTGCTTTTGTTTGGGTTGCAGGTAAATAAACATTCCTCATTTACCAAGGGAATAAAAACAGCTGCTCCACATCTTGATTTTTTTTCATAATTCTGTTGTGTGTTTGTGTCTTCGCTCCAAAAAAACCCCGAAAGAATTAAGAAAACTAACTTCTGCTTGACGATTCGCTCCTGATTTTCACTCTTATACCAGAGTGCCATCTAGTGGTGAAAGGGTTCAATTTTTCTCCTAGGGTGATGGAGGGCATCAAGATGTCTTTATCCTGTTGAATTCTGGCCTAAACTGCCTTTTATTTTAGGATGGAGTCAGCTAAAATAGAGCTGCTTTTTAAAAGAATAACACCCTGAGCAGATTGAACGGGTATCAAGGCTGTGAAGTCAAGACTAGCTGACTTATTTAGACTCATACAGAAAAAAGGCACAGAAAAAAAGCCATGAAAGAGCATCTTGTGTGCAGTATGACTGATGGAAATGTGTATGATCAGATACTGCTCTAACAGTGATCTGATTTTAAGATTTAGTTTGGTCTTGTGATTAATTTTCAATTCAGTCTTTTTCTTTCAATTCAGTCTCTTTTCAATTGAAATGTCCCCACCCTGCAGGTGCTGATACTCTCGGGTTTTGTGTCGGCTAAATGAGGTGGTCTCCTCTGAGCTGTCAATGCCTTCCAGTCCTGAAAATGCAAGTCACTGATTGTGCTACTCTATGATGTTGACTTTGTGTTTTATTTGCTCAGGCTTATGTTTAGTTGTTTTGGGGCTGCTATGATTGTTAATGTTGTTGTCTTGGCCTTTTAAATTTGTATGTACATTTTAACTTTTTGTTTATGTGAAGCACTTTGTGACTTTTTGTCTGTGAAAGGTGCTATATAAATAAAGTTTACTTACTTACTTACAGACCTCAATTTCCCCATTGAAAGCTTCTGTTTGTTTTTGTTTGTGTTGTTTAGTTTTGCAGTGATCACTGTTTTATAGTCTTGCATCCAACTCAATATGTGTCAGTAATTCAGTAATCGTTTTAATCTCCTCCTAGGTTGTACTACTAAAACCTTCATGTTTTTTATTTTCTTGGAGTGGAGAGTAGATAAAAGCAGGTTAGTTGGCATCACTCACTGATCTAAGAATGCACATGGTAATAATTACATAGAAATCTGTATATTAGCAACTTAAGTTTTGTTTTAACTATAAGGTGGCAAGCTTTGGTACCACTAGGCCTGGAAAGTGACCAAAAATCACATCCAGAGCATTTAAGGTCACTAATTTGCAGCACTAAGTGGAAAATGCAGCCTAGGACGAAATCCATTCTTCTCTTACCCAGGTCCAGTCTCTGGCACAGTGAGCCCAGTCCCTGCAGGACAGCCAGCTGCAGTTTGTAAGCCAGGGTGTGTGAGTAGACGGGTCCGGCTTTGGCACTTATCGGAGCCTGCCGTACCAGCGAGGAGCTCAGTTTGGGAAGAACCTCTTTGGAGACCCTCATCCTCAGGAAATCACCGCATGTTTCACCCAGAGTACACAGCACCTGGTAGAAAGACTCTTCATTTAATGTGAGGACAGCTCGTTTTATTTTATGAGTGATACACAATATTCATAACAATTCGACAGACGTAGAACCTGCTCTATTATTATCGGTGAAAGCGCAGATTGCTGATGAATGACAGATACCCGTGTCTGATTTTGTCACTTTATCAGGGAAAATGTGTCAAAAGATCTCTGAAAGAGCTCAAATACGACAGGTTCTGACAGGTACACTGATAAAGAGTGACAAAGAATAAAATGACACATGTTCTCTGAGAACTGAGTGTGATCTTCATTCACTGGGGAACAAAGCAGAAAGCTGTTATCATCCTTTAAAACAGATCTGAAAAGCCAGCTTGGGGAGAAGTACTCTCGGAAAACTTCGGTGTTTCTGGTTTTGTTGGCTGGAAATGTTCTGGAGGAAAAATGTTTCACTGGATTACAAACTATGAAATAGACTCCCAGTAGTGACTTACATATAATTTATACAGCGGAAGTGTCGTTTTAGTCAAAAATGTATCCTAACCTGTCCAGCTTCTGAACATAACAACAAACCATGATGATCTTATAAAATTTAAACATGAAACGGTGATCTAAAAATTTGGTGTACTTTTTAACAAAATCAGACAATAGATGTTCACGCAAGTCACGTTAAAAGATTAACTCAAGAGTTAAACGAAATGCTCAACTTTTGTCCTTTTGATGCTTTTAGATTAAACTCTAGCCGACACTCTTATCTCTCACCTTGAGCACTGTGTGGGTTTAAAAGAGTCAGCCTTTAAGTGGTTCAAGGCTCTGTATCTGTCAGAGAGATGTTTAGTCAGACTCAGGGATTCTGTCTCATCGTCTGTCACTCTGCCATTTGGCACCCCTCAAGGCTCTAATCTAGGGCCAAAATTTTCATGCCTACCTGTAGGATTGATTAAAAAAAAGGAAAACAACACAGTGTTTTCTTTTGCCTGAACACAGATGATGTTTACCCACTTATGAAAAGTTATAAAACGAGCTCCCTGAAACATTTGTGTAACTACTGTATCTATGTAAGATTACTCTTCTTTCTGCTCCCTTTCATTCATATTTAGGGATGTTTGTGTACACTATTCATTGGTATTGTTTTGATTTTAATCAATGAATGAAATAAAAATTCAAATTCAAAATTTAAAAAACCCTTAAAGTCACTCAAAAACTCTTCAGAAGCTAATTAATACTAGAAAAGTAACACATTTACAGAAAAATAATGTTTTGTTTTTTTTCTTCTTTTTCTTTCATGGCACTTTCACAGCTTGTAGATGAATTAATGATTGTGCACTTAGCCTTTTTTCAGACTTATCCACAGCCAATCATAATATTCAGTTTGCATATGGTTTTCAAGGACACACTTAAATAGTGGATTACAGGTAAGAGAGAACAGTGTGTTGTTCTCAAGCATTGTTTAGCTGATATGTGGTGTACCACAAGGATCTGTATTAGGACCACAGTCACTTCTTTCTTATCAATTAAAATGAAAATGTTCTTTCTTAGTTTAGTTTGGTGATGAAACTAACATTATTATATCGCATAGTGACACACACACCCTTACAAATAATACAGATGAGAAAGTGGCGAGAGTTGCTCAACAACTCTGACTTAATAAGCACTCATTCTACTTTAAAAAGTCACATTTCATAGTATTTACAGGGAGAGGCCAGAAGCACCGGAGAGATTATGTGAGAGTGTCAAGAGAGGGGAATGACGAGTCAAAAGTCTTTCACATTTAGTTCTTGGGCGTACCACTCTTAGGGGTCTACCAATCAGCTGATTTCACTGGTCCCTTAGTGCAGGCTGAAAACCAGGGGTGATCTGGCTTTTTTTTCAACTGCACCAACTTATAAATCACCTCTTCAAACTTTTTTTTATTCCTTGGCTTTAAATCAAGCACAACGGTTGTGTGGTTTCTCTAGGTTTTATTAACTTTCATACTTGATATTTTACAGTGTTCTTTTTTTTTGTTCTCTTTTTATTTCACCGTGCAGCACTTTCAGGAAACCTTGTTCCTAAGGTGTGGATTGTAACTTACCCTGAAGGCTCTGAGGACTGCCAAAGGGTCATCAGCTATGAGTCTCTGCAAGAAGGGTGGCCAGCAGCGATGAGCCATGGGCAGCAGCTCATTTTCCTTCTCACTCAGCACACTCACACACAGCTCCAACACGTCCAAAACCTGAGGACAAAGTCACAAAGTCCAACTGAAATATATTTCTTTTGCATACAGATTTTTATCTAGCATTGTCTGCAAAGAACTTTTTAACGCCAAGGTTACAGGATACTGCTCTGTGACACCAATTAAAAAGGAAATGATAATAATAACTAGGACCGCAGAAATGAAACTTTCAAGGACAAAGTATGCGAGATAAAAGTGAGTTTTAAACAGCTTCTTCAAATTTAACTGAGAGGAGACTGTTCCCAGGTTATAGAGCCATTACCGGAGTACAGTGGACATCTTGAAGCAGAATTTTCAATGCAGCCATGAAACCTGATTCAGAGGAACTGAGAGATCATAGTGGGGCTTGTGGAAGTTCTAGGTACATGATATAAAATAACCACTGTGACTGCTGTTTTGCTGGAACTGGCTGCAAAGAATTTAACTTTTCTTACTTTACAGAGGTTCTAAAAGTGGGCACAGACACTTAGGGGGGCTTTTAGGTGGTTTGGGCCTCTATCAGTACATCCATGGGGCATAAACAGGCACACGATTCGACACCAAAATTGACAAAAACTGAAAGTTCCTCACTGGAGCTCTGAGTATTCACATTCAAAAAAAAGTTTGCATACGACCATGAAAGGACAAACCAGAATTATCTCCATCAAAGCTTTTTTACAGCAGACAGTACCTTCAGCCTGACCCTCAGGCTGGGGTCAGACAGCAGGTGAATGCAGCGCTCCATCACGTCTTTTGTGATGCTGAGATGAAGAGGAAGCTCTGGTTTCACATCAGGACTAACAGTATCATCGATGTCCTCACACTCTGTGGGGGGAGGGACTTCTGCAGTGATAGAGAAATAAGAGATAAATGATTGATTTAGAAGAACCCGATCTTCTCTTCAGTAATTAGATTATTGTTGTATTTATTCTGCATTTATTATCAGCAAAAGTCTGTTTCATTGTATGGAAAGTCTGTGTGACCTAGATCTTCGATGGTTACGTCTTCCTCGATTCCTATGCCTTCTGCCAGCTCTTTCTGTTTGTTGTAATCCAGCATGAACTGGCGGATATCCAGGATTTCCTCTCGACTTGAGCTCTGCTTGGTTCTGGCAGACTCCCTTGTTTTACTACGATTGGAGGGAAACCATCTCGCTAAAGGAGACAGAAAAACAGGAGGTGAAGTCAGGGACACAGCTGGATTTGGGGCTCCAAATGACAAACATCTTCGATTTTTGTCTCAATTATTTGTATATTAATCCTATTTTTTCAGACTTTTATATGGACTTTTTATTACCACATAATCACACTAATGTGGTATCATTTTAATGGTCACTTCTTATTCAAACAATTGTTTTTTCTAACTACCTGTTGCTATTATATCTAAAAAGGTCATCTAAACCAGGATAAATAGTCTCACAAGGTTGAAAAAAATTACTTTTTCAAATGTCATTAATTTACTTATTAATGGTTTCAATATAAATGCATTAAATGCAAAATTTATGATGAAATGAGCACATTTAATACAGTATAGAAGTTCATACTGGCAAAGAACTATTACAACAAAATTGTCACCTATAGTTCTTTAATTTGACAAATGTTAGTAAGTCACTTTTGAAACCTCACCCAGCGCCTTCATGAGCGCATGCAGCACAGAGCAGAAAAGAGCCGCTGTTTGGTCGTAGCTGAGATCCAGAGCCATCAGCACATCCTGAATGATGTCTCCGACCAGAGGCAGCAGGCTGCAGTCAGAGTGAGTCAACATCACCGTCAACACCCGCGGAGCCTGAACAACGAGACAGGAGTAAGTTCAAATACATGTTCAGAGGCAGGGGAAGCCACTCACAGGGTTACTGTGTGGATGATAGACCACAGTGGAGCACTCTGAAGTGATAAATCCCGTGACTTTGGACAAAATCAGACTTATACTAATCAGGACCCCTGACCTCACATCAACCGCAGCTGTTTGACTTGCAATGACCTGATATCATCCCAAACAGTTCTATTTAAATCACTCTGTAAGAAGATGGTCACACAATACTTTGGCAAAACAGGTCTGGGGTCAAACTATATATGATATCCCAGATTATAATATGACAAATTTTAGATATGTTTATGAGTTTGATTCTAGATTTTTTGGCATAACTTCAAGATAATCAGCAAAATCCACTAACAGATGAATATGAATATCAAAGATGAGTGTAACATTCAAAGGCATGTGGAGTAAATTATGTACCAGAAATTATCCAGTTTTGGGATTTTTAAATGGTTTTCAAAGCTTAGATTTCTTGTTTCTGCCTGATGATTTTCTTTCTTTCTTCTTTTTCTTACATTTTAGTTTATTCTTCATTTTGTTGCTTATGTTTGCTCAATGTTAACTTTCCTTAAATGTCATTATTCTTTTGTTTTTGACTCTGTATAGGTGCTGGATAAATAAACTTGCCAGACTTGCCTGACTCAATAGGGAGGTCAAATAATTATGTTTTTTAAACATGATTAAAATGGTATAGTTGTCCAGGGTTAACTTGCCAATAATCACAAGTCAATTTCACATTTTATGCCTGTTGCAAATATAGCTTAAAGGGATATTTTTTAAGTCCTGAAGGGTGACCTAGCCATGAGTTTGGCAGTACACACCATAATTTATAAAAATTCAGTGGACAAAATTAGCACTATTAAAGTAAATGCAACTATCCCAAACACTGTGTACAACTTAGTGACCATCCAAAAGCAGGTTTCCACAGCGCTCATACGTGAGCAGCAAATCATAGACAAAAATAAAACTACAGAGTCCTCTCACAGTCAGAACCACAGTCTGTGTTGAAAGTAGAAACTGAACATGGAGTCTCACAACAGTACAGAAAGGAGTCTCCATCTAGTGATTCTAGTTGGCACTGCAATTCTATCACATAAATTAAATCTTTTTAGAGTGGACTGAGGGTCAGTCACAGCTCTATATTAAAGATCACAGAACCTGGGAGACGACAAGTTAGTCAGAAAAGGATTTAGATATTATCTACACTATTTGTTGCTGCATTTCCTGTTTTTAAAGATCACACTGCCACAAATAACAAGATTCTTCCCCCTTTACACAGCTTTTTTTATTAAATTAACCTTTAAAAATGTTCCCACCCGTTTTCTTTCCATAGTTCCCCCATTACTGTGCTTTACAGTGTGTTTGCTTTGCTGAGTTTACCTGTGGATGCTGGCTGAGTCTCTGCAGGTTCAGTGAAATGTCATTAAGCAGGTAGTCTGAGTTCTCATTGATCAGCTCCTTCAGCGAGGAATACCCACAGGCTTTACTGATGTCCCACATGGAGCCCAGCGCCGCTTGGCTGACCAGCAGCGTCTCCTCCCCGGCTTTCTCCAGCACAGGGTACAGTGATGTCATCAACAAGGAACGAAAGTCACGTCCCAGAGCCTGGGCGAAGCAGGCGATGCCCTCCAGCTGGATGCACAGCTGCCAGATGTTGCTGTTGAGCTGGTGGATGGTGGAGGAAGGTGCTGAGGTAGACGGGGAGTTAAATGAGGAGGATATCACTTGGAGACAGTTTGTGTTGGTGTTGCTGACATCAGTGCTGGATATGGAGAGGAGTCTGGGTGGGCTGAGAAGCTACAGAGAGACAAGAAATGACCATACATTATACAGTTGATCATTCACAGTTCATCATTTTATTTTATAGACATAAAAATCTATTCCAGGCTAGGGACACACCACTGTCCTCTTCAAATGATCTTACTGGCTGATACATGTTGGTGGTGAACCCTTAAAAATGTAGCAAATTCAAGTGAATGTGAGGATAAATATTGAAGCAAGAAAACACAGATTGGAAACAATGTTGGTTGCAAATTCTTGTATAAAACCGACAGCAGCCTCCACAGTTTAACAAGTCTACATTTCTGTCTTCAACTCCTTACTTTTCTAAGAGAAGCTAATGTACAAACCCACACAGGGCTGCAAAAACTTTCAGTGTTGAATAGCAGCTCTGTTATGAATTTATCTGCTCAAAGACCCAGTCATGAAAGTTTGGAGAAGGTACTTAGAGCTCCAAAGCAGTTTCAGTCTTGAGAAACGCTGAGCATCGATTCGTCATTCAGAGTATCACAGAGGGATCATCTTTTACACATGACTACCATCACCACAGAGTTTACCGCTCAGCAAATTTAGCTAATGATGATGCAATAGTCATAGCCCATTAACGCCCCAATCGCGTCTTCAACCATCAAACAACATTAAAATGCAGTTTAGCACTTTGGGGAAGGCACTTATTTGCTTAATGGAATCGGAGCGGCTGGCCCTCTCTGAAGTCTGTACGTTTAAACTGAAGCTAAAGTGAGCTTAAGTTACCAGTTAGACTGGAGACAGGGGGAAACTGGTTACCTGTCTTTGTTCATAAATAAAAACATCCACCTACAGAGACTTGTTGGACTTTGTGCAGCCTTGTTGTTGTCATGACAACAAGCAGACACTCCAGAAAGAGCAAAATCTACACTTGTTTTTTTATTTAATGTTTCTTTTAAATCTGAACAGAGGTGTTTCTGATCTTTTTGCTTAGAATCGCTCATTGCATCTAGTATCAAAAAAGGTGATCCACAAGGGTCCATATTGGGTTCTATCCATAGACTGTATATAGAATGGACGGTGTCGGCCTCCTCACTGGGTGAGGCCACCCCGAGAACAGCACCCTATGGTGACGGGCTGCAGTATAGGTCATAAATCCCGCCTCCGCCAGCAATCCATATGGAGCTGTGGACAAACTTTAGAAATTAATTACAGAATATACACTATTCTCCCTCCTGCTTGTGATGTTGACATGTAGTTACTGTAAGACTGGTTTGTGCTCAAGACCTCTTTTTTCTGTACAGCTCCATTTTCAAAAGTTATTAGGGGGTTCATGTTTTCTATGATTGACACTGGAAACAGCCTAAAGGCTTACGAAGATTGCCTATCTTATCAGGGGGATACGCTGTTTGAGCCGAGCGTCATCACAGCGACTCTCTGTGACTCTCCCATCGAATGCGCACAACGCTATTGCGCAAGTGGTGGAGTGTTTAAAAAGCCCGGAAATACCAAGAGCTTTTTGGCTTCAAATCCATTATACTGGCAGAAGGCAGAACCAAGTTGTCCACAGAATATATAGTCTATGGTCCTATCTTATTTCATATCTACAACATAATTGATGTTATCATGTTACTGATGTAAAGTTTCAATTTCATGATGAGAATACACTTCAATATATTTGATAATCTTCCCTCTTGAGAGTAATTTATTTCCTATAAGCTGCTTTTATACTGTCCAGAAAAAGCTCTGCAATTTAAGGCTGGTTCAAAATGCCAATAAACCTTATATTATTAGAAAAGAGACTTAAGAGATTCAGTGGCTCAGGGGAATATTCCTGCTAAAAAAAGGTGACTTTACAAAATTAATCTCAATATGAAGTTTTATATTCTTTAAGTATTGTCAAGCTTTGACTTGATGGGATAAAAATAAATATTTTCCAAAATGTTTAACGAATCCTTGAAAAGGTTTTGCCACATGAACTGTGGCCGAAACAGTGTCCCTATTCATGTCAAAATATGAAATCTGCAGAACTGAATTTTTCCTCACCTGCTGGTCCTGTCGGTCTCTGTCAGTGTCTTCACTCACAGTTATCAAGTGCCAGTTCTTCAGACTTGTGAACTCCTCCATGACTAACACTACTGCCTCCCTAAGGTCTTCCGGGGTGGTTGGGTGTCCCTGAACTTGACTCTCCAGACCCTGACCCTGCGTTACCACGCCAATGCCTGCAGCACCTCTGACAATCTCACTGAGCACCATGGCTGCCTGCTTTCTGTATGATGAAGACTGTTGGTACAGATCCAGGAAGTGATCCGTCAGCAGGTAGAGGTTTCCATAGTAACCTGACGACAGGAAAGGAAAAAGTTGCATATTGTGTATTTGAGGAGGAAAGCTGTCAGACTGTACAATATAAAGGCCTAAAACTCTGAGACAGCCTAACTTCACTATTTAAGACTTTCTTATAGTCCTTGTGAATAATACTAGAAATCAATATGACACAGATTTTTATATTTATACAGCATTCATACCGAGTGTTTGACAGATTTCCATGAGCACAGAGAAGATCTTCTCGTCTGTGAAGTAGAGAAAATGCTTCCTCTGTCTGTGAGCAGTATATGAATCATGGGAGCCTGCAGTTGTCTCCATGGTGGCAGTATAAGTTCTTTCCTCCACAATACGAACATCCATCACATCCAGTTCTAGCACCTGAACAGAAAGGTACAGGGAAGTGAATTGTTTAACTTTTTGAGCTTTGAGTTGAATTGTTACTCCTAAACTTTCTACCAAGCGATGATTGCCATGATTAATTGAAGATGCTGGGTCATATTTAATCCCGATTTGGTTTGTTTCCTATCTCTGGATGTGACAGGAAGGCCAGACCAGACACTGCTCTGTGTCCTCATATGACTGATACAGCGTACTGTGTGTCCTCAAGCTTCAGTACAAACTGTAAAGCTCTTGTTCATTTTGTAAGTTGTGCCCCTGAGTCCACTGGTAAAGTCTGGCAACCTGTAAGCTTATACATTAGCACATCTTTATTTATGAGGCAATTCTTGGCCTGTTACCACATTGTCTGTTTTTATCACACAGGAAAGTGCTGGACAGTATTTATTGGAGTTTTTTATCAATTGAAACTTAAGAAACCAATGTTTTTTAATCTAAAATGAAAGACTTTAGGGTGGATTCTCCAGAATTATGTTGCTTTCAAACTACTGGATTGCACAGCTGAGTCTTAGATAGTTAGCACATTTTAGTGCTTGTGAATCTGACTGTGGCTCCCTGTGTGTCTGTGTCTGCAACTGTATGTGTCTCCCTTGAAAAAAAGATCAATAATGTCAGTTGGATTAACCTAACTTTATAAATTCGTAATGAATAAATAATAATATTCATGCAGTGCCCAGCATAAGTCAGTACACCCCCTATTAAAAGTAATGTATTACTCATTATCTAGATAAGCAAAAGTACAGTTTCCAAAGTTTTGACAAAGCTAAGTTTAACATAACATTTTATTCACCTTAAGATGAAAATAAAAGGTGATATGGTAACTAAAATTTAGCTTTGCTCCCAGAACTTTGATTTGGGTGTACTCATTTTTGCATCCTGATTCTAAATTGAAAACAATACTTTTTTGTACGCAACTTAAAAAAATCTTGTTTGCAATTAATGGCCTAAATATGATAGAGTATTTTGTTGTGTAGTCTGACATAGAAAAGGATAATTTTGAAAGGATGCTACAAGTTTTTTTGACAACTCTGAAGGGGTTTACTCATTTATGCCAAGCACTGTATAGAATTAAATAGTTATGAAACGGATAGCTCAATGTAAAGCCTTGACGATATATTAACAAATAGACATTTATATGAAAGAACAGAAAAAAACCCTCTGCCAGGAAGATGAATAATTGCTGTTACGTTAAACACATATTCTGTCATTAAAAGCCTAAAATGCCTAAAACTGCTGGTTGTTTCTGAACTGTAACCCCTGACCACTAGCTCTGGCTGATGACTGCCACAAAGCTAAAATGCTCGACTACCTGGATACAAACAAGCACAGCTGACAGTTTAGCTGTGTTTAATAAACTGTGCTCAGGTTTGACCTTTTTTCTGCGCTCTTTTTTTTTTACCTAGTCTGAATTTAAATTCCGTCTCAAACAGCTGGCATATCATTCATTTCAAAACAGCCCTACATGAAACCATTTTTAAAAGTAACAAAGAATATTATTTGTGTCACTGGAAAAAAAAAAGTTGTACCTGCATTAATGCTTTGGAGATCCTGTCTAGATGTGTAGCTGAGTTTAGCACCATAGAGACCAGCGGTCCGAGCAGTTTCAAATAACCCAGAAACACTTTGAGGATAAACAGCTTCTTCTGGTCGTCAGAGGTCCTCATCAGTCTGGGTAGCGAGGTGGCCATAGAGTGGAGGTTCTCTGAGAGCACATCAGTGAAGGTCTGAGCTCTGCTGCTTTTATCATCGCTCTGATTCCTCTGTGACACGGCGCTGAGAGCGACCTCACACCTGCAGCAGAGGAGATTTCTTCAGACACCTTTTCATCAAGCAGTCCAGACTTTCATTTATTCCTGACAAAACCCTCTTCCCTCCTCACCTCTCTCTGACTCTGGGCTCCTCATCATTGACTGCTCCCACTAGCGCCTCCAGCAGGGGTCCCACACACTCTTTCAGTGACTGGCTACACCTGTCCAGCAAGTGGTCCCCCAGCTCCACCATCTCCAGTCTGACCCTCCAGTGCTGGTGGGCTGAGGTGCAGGCGATGATCTTCTTCAGCAGCACACACAGTTTTCCTGCTGTGCTCTTCGCCCACTCCTGTGTCCGATGAACCACCAGCTGAGCAATTCTTCCCAGGCCTGATGGATGGGTTTTCTGGGGCTCAGGAGCCTGAAGCTGGGCATCCTCCATGACAAGCCCCACAGTCGTGGACCAAACCTGAGAAATGATACCAGGAAAAAGAAATGACTGTTCAAAAAAGTGAGAAAACTGTGTAAAGTTCTGAAAAAAAATGGTTTGAAGGGTTTGTGTGTCAATCACACTGAATATTCAATTAAAAATTTGTGTTAAGACAATATAGTGAAAGTTCCCCTCTTTGTGAGAGACTGGAAACACTTGAAGAACTTCAAACAAAAAAAGTTCCTCTGCATAAAATCACAAAAATTTTGTAAATTTTAACAAAATATGATCAAAAGGTTCAAAGAATTTGGAGAAATTTCTGTGCAAAAAGGACCAGGCCAAAAACTAGTACTGGATGGCTGTGATCTTTGGGCCCTTAAGTGGCACTGCATTAAAAACATAGATGGCTCTGCAGTGGAAAGCTAGTTTTTTATGACAAATCTCATCCTGTTTTCTTTAAACAGTCAAATCAAACATTTGATGCTAAAAAGAAAAAGATAGGGCATGTCCTCAATGAATGTGCTATCAATCTTCCCACATTACACCTCCTTCCTGGCATTGGCATTAACATTACAATATAGAAGATGAAAATCTTGTTGCTGCTGGTCTTGTTTGCCCTTGAATGTGTCATTTTACCTGTTAAATGAGTCAAAAACCTTATTTCATGCTGGTTACATCAGGTCTACATCATAGCACAAACTTTTATAAGCACAGACACACAATATGGAGACCAACTGTATGATTAATAGCTATTAAAAAATTAAATAGTAAACTTGTTTAGGCACAACTCTCTTCTACTCCATTAATTTCACAATAAAATACAAACAAACACAGGTGTACAGTACCTTAATGGCCCTGACTGTAACTGTGTGGCCTTGCCTCAGATCTCCTGTAATGATCTTAGTCACAGCCACTGTGATCCCAGGTAAGAAAGATGCCATGAAGCTGCCTACAACACGTCTCTCCTCTGAGGATGGAACAATGTGATCCTGTTTGCAGTCACACTGCAGAGCCAAAGACTGGATGCACTTCAGCGCTGACACCTGGATCTCTCTTGATTTGGACTTCTGAGCTAAAGCCAGCAGCAGGGATACAGCAGCTCCCAGTCCAGGCAGCATAACAGGCTCAAAGAGTCTAAAGACTATGTCACCATACGCAGCATGAAGCAGTGTTTCCAGGCACCTCAGAACAGCTGACTGCAGCTCCTCTGACAGATCTGCAGGTTTTCCAGGGTCAGTTGGGGAACACAGGCAGAGACAAAGCTCTGAGAAGAGGTCATGAAGGGTGTCCCAGTTCTGGACACAAGTGTTTTCAAGGACATAGCTGATGGTCTCAGCCACAGTCTGGACCAGTTTTTCTTTCTTTGGTCCGGGAACTTTAAGAACAAATCTGAGAGGGAAGAGGACGTAGTCTTGGAGCTGCTGCAGTGTGGCATCATTGACTTCTTTCAGCTGGGTGCTCAGTGTCTCCACGTTGGCCACTGTGGGCTGCTGAGTGAGCAGGACACAGGCCGGGCGCAGGTACGCAAACGCAATCTTTGGATCACTGATCTGAGTCATGGTTGGAGGCATGACAGCAGGACTCATCACTGGAGAGGGGTTAAAAAGAGATAGATGTTGAAATAGGGGGTGAGTAAAATTTAAAAAAAACTTTGCTTGTGGTTTTTCATTTGAGAAAAATCTAAACCTTTGCCAAATACAATTGTATGAAGAATCAAATCTGAACCAACATCACTAATTTTTGTTGTGAAACCTAAGTGAAAATGATCTCTAACTTCTTATCATGTGAAACCTCGGGTCGAGGGTTACCAAGTAGCCTGTGATGTGACAGGATATGATACAATTCAATGGGATATAATACAATCAGATCTGAAACAAAATAATATGATGCAATTTGATACAATATGCCTAGACTTTCTTGTTTATTATTGGGCTGTGTTGGATTGTTTTAATGTAAATTTGATCCACGAGTAGGCCAATAAGATCAGTGTTGCCACGGAAGATCTCATGACTATCAAATCTGTAGGACCTTTATCTAAAGTTGTGATTAACCATTAAAAAAATGTAAAAATAATTTTTAGATCACCACTTGGTGGTCTTGACTATAAATGGTAGCTAAGTAATACAAATGTTATTTTATAGTTAGCCTGTGGTTATGCAAAACAATCCTTTCAGAGTGAAACAAGACTCTCCCGGTTGGCGCTGTGGTTTCGTGTCAACCTGCCAAAATTAAAAATGAACCAATTTATCAGTCTGCTGAGACAGAATCTGCATTATATCAGCATTAGTCCCATTTTTTTCCCATAAGCAATGATCAATCTTTATTTGACGTTTTTTGCTTTTTATTTTAACCCAAATATTAACTTCATTCTTCATCAATAATTTCAAACAGCTGGACAGTAATGACAAAGTCTCTTCTGACAAAACTTCACTTAAACTTTTCTGTCCACATTTACTTAATGAAAGAATTCACTCAAGTTTAGCTAGTTTCTTCCTAATTTTTAAAATATAAACAAATTGTTGTATATTGTCAAATGCAAATATCAGTGTGACATCTGAATAATATATCGATTAACCTGCTCTTACAGTAGGCTATCGGTGTTGCAATTGGCATCTAAAAAAAAAAAAAAGATATCTAGTCCAAATTACATTTCGTTTAATAACCTAATATGCATCATCCCTTAAATATGATACAGTGTACAATATCTCTAAAACATTGATACACACCTGATGATTATTATTTAAATAACAGCTCAATCGCAGAGGTGACTGGAGCTGCTGCACTGACTTACACTGCTAAAGACTTATTTTGATGAACAAGTATCGCACTCAGGCAAGCTTTAAATAGGACTCAACTCAGGAAACATAGATAGCTTTTATAGTTATATATATATAGATATATTAATGCAAAAACAGCTGATTACCTGCAGCATGACTGTCATCTCTGTGACTGCAGACAACATCAAACATGCTTTCAAAGCTGCACAGCGTCACCGGCGTCAATGAACAGGCGACCTACCTTCACAGGAGCACCAATGAGTGGACCCTCGGATCAAAGCGACACATCCACATCAGATGATTGATTATTTCATTTCATAAAACTTATATTAAATACTGGCGACATTACTGAACCCAGGCTATAAGAAACGTCATAACTTCGCGCCGTTCATGCAGCGTTATGACCATAGACATAATAAAAGGGTAGACCCCGCTGGGGGTGCTGCGCAGCGAGAAATGCGGCCGCCATCTTGGTCAGGTCAAGCTTCCCATTCGCTCCGGTCAATCATATTCATTCATTCATTCATTCAGCGATGCCGGAGCACTGTGCGGCGTATTCCTGTGCCAACAGGCGGACAGCAGAGAACAGGGCTCAAGAAATAACTTTTCACAGTTATGATTAAACGTTTTTTCAACATTACACTTGACTGTAGAGTCATTTGTAGGCCAAAGAGGAAGACTATCGGTCAACTCCAAAAAGGAAACAGCATTTGCGAACAGCTAGCTTATTCACAATAATAGCAACTTTGCTCTATTATCAACAGATTTGCATTAGATTGAAAAACTTTTGTTTGAGAGAGGTTCTAAGAAACGTTAAGAAACAAAATAGAAAGAAGAAGGAAGAAAGTGAGCTCTGTTTTATTAAAGATTTCTTTGTGGTGATCTCCTGTTTCATTTTGAAGATTTCCTAAGGACAAAAACTTGAGGAAGAAGTGGGAGATTGCTGTTAGAGGGAGAAATTCGCAGCAAGTGATTCCTCTGTGCTGTGTAGCCAACAAGCAAATTGATATGTAGTTTAGATGCTGTCCTGTCATGCTGTTCTTGTGTTTAAATTTTTTTGATATGTAGGCTATATATTTGTGTGTATTTCTTTGTGTGTATTTTCCAGTTATTAAAATAGTGCTTCTATATGACATTATTTGTGTGTGTCTACAAATGGATAAATAAAATTAAACTAAATAAAATAACATCAAATCAATATATATTGAATCGGCCTATTAAAACCGCCAGTTATTAATAATTATTGAGACATAGCAGGAACCTAGCTCTAAACCTAGATATATCCTTGATTAATTGTTATACTATAATACAGCCACTGCTGCCATGTTCTAAATTATCATTTTATTCATTCTGAGTATTTGAAAACGCCAAAAAAAAATAAAGCCTCTATTATGCCTCTTTGAATGGCGTTTGCAGAGAAGAAAATTACGTAGTATTGAGCGAACTATGATTCATTTAATGCGCTCAGACTTCATTCCGCCGGTTAAACAGCGGTGCAGAGTGAGGCGGATGACCGGACCAAGATGGCGGCCGCATTTCTCGACAGCGCCCATTCGTGGTAGCGGCCGATGCGGGGTCTATCTTCGCGCCGTTCATGCAGCGTTATGACGACACGAAGTGAGATTTCCGGGTTTGGCGATGTATTTTCAAAATAAGACAGAAAGGTTTTACTGTGATAAAGAAACCCTATGAAATAATTTAAAAAAGACCTTAGCAATGCTTTCATGTCAGGATGTATTCTTTGAGCCTTAAATAAAAGCCGTAGAACTTGATCAAGGGTTTTTACATAATAATAATAATAATAATAATAATAATAATAATAATAATAATAATAATTGTACCTACTGACAGTATTTCATTTTGTAAATCACAAATTTTCTCTGCTAAAACCCTCTGGCTCCTGGCACAAGTACCCTCTCAAATTGTGAAACTAAATAACTTTTACTCCACTTTTATTCAGGCAGTAGCCTATAAAGTAAGATAAACTGTTGTTTACTGTTCATTAAAAAAAGCGTGACATGTTCTTTAGATGATTTTCCTGGCAAACAAGCACAATGACTCCTCGGTGGTCAACCGTCATGGACAGTTGTTCATGCTTCGTGTTTAAATGCAAAAATTAAAAAAAAGAAACTTGACTTAAGCCAATAAAACAGAACAAAAACTATGAAAAAAATAAGCTTACAAGATAAACAAATCAGCGTTAAAGCTGACCAACATGGACACTCTACATGAAAAACATTAATCAAAACCAAACGGACGTGAAAACTAACTTTTGTAGAAAGCATTTAGTTCGAGATATTTGTTTTATTTTGAAAGGCACACTCCACTTCCGCTATCTGGGACACACACACACACACACACACACACACAAACACACCGGTTTCTGTGTTGACTCTACTCCCAGAATGAAAATTTAGCTTTACGTGAATGTTTCTAGTCAATAGTTGATGTTTTCATGGCGGTCTCGTATTTCGTCGCTGCAGCGGATATCAGATAATTAGCCTGTGGACGGAGGTAAACCTAATGTTTGTATAATTAGTCAAAAATGTCTTCCAAAGAGGGCTAACATTAGGCTAAACTAGCACTGGGAAATAACGATCCAAGGAGGCATATTTGTACTTGATCACCATATTTGAGCCACAAAAGTCAAACATTTCCATCATAAACTGACCGTGTTTTAAGTAGCTGTTTTATAGTTGTGTTAACCAAACAGCTTTTAAGTTAAATTTGATCTATTTTTAAATCACTGTGCTCCTCGTGTCATTGGAAACATCATTTCCGACAGTCTGTGTTTACTGCATTCACCATCTTTTTTACCCTGTCCCTCCTTAGTGAAGGAACTCTTAAGAAAATGTTTAGAAACTTTTGCCATACATTGCTACTACAGCTTAAAATGGTTTGCTTCTTTCTTAGGTCATAATAGACATTTTATGGTTTGTACCAACAATCATTTATTCTCATCTGCAACTGTGCTGTGCGGAGGTCCTCAGGGTTCACTGCTTGGTCCTTTCCTGTTCTCCCCATAACTGCTTTCTCTGGGTAATCTGCTCAGCTGATTTCCTCAAGTATCAAACCATTGCTGCACTGACTATATTAAAATCTATGTTTCTGGGAAAACTGACACCTGAATCAATATTTCCCTCCTAACCCCCATAAAATTAATAAACTATTTAAAGGACAGTGATAGTTCTGACAACTTAATATCAAACATATTGTGAAAAAAATCAAGGTATTATCTTAAACCAGTAAATGACCTGTGTCTGTCATATCACTACACTTGTCCAGTCCTGTTTCCCGCAGCTCTGAAATTTTGCAAAAATTCGATCAGTGCTCCTTTTTGTGGGCCATGAGACATTTATACTCACACATTATTCTTTCTCATTCAACTATTTGTATTCCCTGTACATTTGCCTTGGTCAGTAATTTTTACATCTGTTACAGCTTGTCAAAAAAAAGTGCTATATAAATACAATTTTACTGACTCACTAAAAATGACATGATGTATTAAAAAAATACAGAAACAAAACCAACACCACAAGATAAAACATATGTATGGCTACAATGCTAATAATGATAGTCAAAGTAAGTGTAATATTATGAAGGACAACAAAGTATGATAGAGGGTTGATGGGTCAACTAATAACATTGATAACTATAATAAGGGCAGTGAGGTAGAACTGATCAATTTAGACAATTAATATCATCAGCTATATTACTGATAAGAAATAGAATATTAACAGTTATGTTCAAGCATGGGAGCATGTCGTCAGCATTAGCGATCCACAGAAACCTGCGAAACAAGGAGCTCAAAACTCCCGGGAAAGTGTATGTCAGTTATGTTAATGGGACTTAGAGATAATACAGAAAATGACCAATGCTGTTCCTGCGTGATAAAAAAGAAGAACTGCTCTTGACAGGAGGTCAAAGTGAAGTCAACTCACTTCATCCATCCACATACCCTTTTTTAAAACATCCTTGTTTTTCTTAGGCGTCGAGAGGATTTCATGCTGTCCATCCCTGCGCCACTCTTTTCCAAGCATCAATATGGATGAGGAAACCCTCGAGGCGGCCATCTCTACCTATGGTGCCCAGTTGCAGCAGGTGGAGACGGCTCTGTCAGCTGGCCTGGACCCCTCCCAGCAGGCAGACCTACTCAAACTGAAAGAGGACCTTTGTCAGCTAATAGAGCTCACCGAGGCCAGCCTTGTGTCAGTCAGAAAGAGTCAGCTTCTGGCCAGCCTTGAGGGCTCAAACGCCACAGAGGCAGCAGCTGACACAAACAGTGCAAATGGAAATTTGGGGGATGAGTTTGCTGCTTTCTATGCTGAGCTCGGAGAATCCTCGGGTGTCAGTGCTGATACAAGGTTAAGGGACAATGTGGAGGATGATGATGTTGAAGAGGAGGAGGAGGATGAGGAGGAGGAAGATGAACTAAGTGGGACCAAAGTGAGAGCCCCCTACAGGACATCATGGGGGACACTGGAGTATCATAATGCCATGGTGGTGGGGGCAGAACCACCAGATGGAGATGAAGCACAAGTAAGAGTGCTCTACTTGTACCCCACCCAGAGATCACTGAAACCCTGCCCGTTCTACCTCGAGGACAAATGTCGCTTTAAGGATGATTGCAGGTAAAGCACCACTTTTATTTGAGTTGAATTCACACATACCTGCCCCTCCTTAAATACAAACACCATCTGCTGTGACTCGACCGTTTACCACATGATCTAGCCATGATTGATAACTTTATGCAAAACCTTTTCATCTGATTATTTCTCAATGTCACCCTGTTGATCCTCTGTTCTGAAAGAACTCTCATTTGGGTAACAGAAGAGTTTAATTAGAGTTTTTCAAGGACTTTGATTTTCAAAAGAGTGAATAAATGTATATGAGTCCTACTGTATGAAATTAGTATTACAAAGTCAGAAATTAGTTGAATCATTCAGACATTATTGGTATCACTCTGCATAGATCTTTGCTTTGTCTGCACACAGCATTTCTCTTCTTCTTTTCTATTCAAGGTTTTCCCATGGTGAAGTAGTGTATGTGTCAGAGCTCAGAGATTTCCTTGAGACTGACCTTAGTAATCTTGAAGAGGGATCGTCCTGCTTGGCTCGACACGAGGATGGTATCTGGTATCCGGCCAAAATCAGAGGTACTTCATTAACAGGACAAGCCTCTGACTGTATTTTACAGAAAACCTCGACAGGAGGGACAGTAAATTCACACTCAGGCTGATTGAACAGAAGTTGGGTCACCTTGTCAGGAATCTTAAAACATCTTAAAACAGTTATTCTGAGAAATTGTTGCCAAGACAACCAAGAAAAAAGTAGATGAAGTTTGTCATGCAACTGTGAATATTTTTCTGACTTTATTTTATCCTGCTCTAGAAATCGACAGCGGTTTCTTCACTGTGAAGTTTGACTCCTTGCTGCTGAAAGAAGTTGTTGTCGAGGCAGACTGCATTATCCCGCCCCTGAGAGAAGACGACCCTGTCTCTTCTGACTCTGACCCCGAAGACACAGGCGATGGAGATAATCTGGCATATGCAAAAGGTGAGCAGGGACATTATGTCCTATATAAACTGTATATGGATTTACCTTTCAATGAAATATGAATTTAACCCTGAAATCCTCCAAAAAGCACACTGTGACTTTGGTTTACACCCATAAAGAAGGAGGCAAACTATAAGCTTCTTTATTTGACAGCTTGTATTCCAATTGTTTCATGCCAGTTCCCATTTGAAAAATAACTGACTGTTTCTGCTTTGATTTTCTCTTTTTACCCGACAGTCATTGACTCGGCTGCAGAGGCCACAGAATTATCAAATACGGTAAATTTTGGTGGCTGGGAGGCGCATACCAGAGGCATCGGATCCAAGCTCATGCTGAAAATGGGTTATGAGTATGGGAAAGGTAAATGCACCTACACCGATTTGGTGAATAAATGTATATAAAAAAGCGCCAATTTGCTCAAATAACTCACACCATCTATTGTGTCAGTTGTTCCTCGTGTTTTACACTTTACCATACTTGCAATATGTTTTTTCTGAATCCGAGGTACACCCAAAAAACCCTTAAATTATCTCCAATTAACCAGAGGTCAGCTGATAACTGGCTAAAGTGTCATTTAAAAGCATCATAAAGTTGCAGTGGTTTGACCATAATGCCGAGGCTTCCCACTAACTACTTAAATGTACATGCTGAGAAAAAAAATTAATATGCTGAGTAGATTCATTATTAACTGCAGTGAATTAAGCTGTTTCATATTTGTTTATTGCAAATGCCCAAACTGGGACATTAATAAATTTGCAATTACTTGTGCAGTAAGATAATCAAAACAGTGATTTAAGGTTTGCTTGTGTTTTAATAATGAGTTGTAGAGTTTTAAAGTTATTTACAGAGGCAAAGTAAGAGTTTTAAATATCTTCTACGTGTTTACCTGAAGTCCCCTTTGATTTGAAAAACAGGCATCTTACATTCACGAAATCCATGCTTGAGGATTAAAATAATTACCCCTAACTTTTGGCGGTCTTGGGTTCAGCAAGACGGATATTTTTTATTTGAATATTATTTAACTTGAGCTTATAAGCAAAAGGCAAGAAACAGCTTTGCACTTGAATAACAGGTAACTTTTGTTTAGTACAGACACAGTCGAACAACAACTGACCTTCCCCTGACATAAGATTGAAGACTAAGAGGGAGTGAGGAAGTATATAAGATTATTTCTGTATTGTGTGATTAATCAAGTAGGAGATTCACAAGACAAGGGAATCAAATAGATTTAAAAAAAGGAGATCATGAGGGGAGCTTCTAATTTTAAATCAGAGATCACAAAGATTTGGTAAAACATCCAGAATTCGTTTCATTTAAGTCCATGACTTAAATGTGGATGTAATATGTTGATAAGCCACCAGAGGGCAGCAACCATCTCCTGTACCAAGGGCAGGGAATATACTGAACGAATACCAGATTGTGTCCAATAACTTTGGGGTTGAAATTTTAAATTGTGTGTTTTGTTTCACATTTTTGTTTCTCTTACCTTTTGCAAGAAATTAACACTTTTGCTCTCATTTCTCTCTTTTGTGTTTCCAGGATTAGGAAAGAAGCAGGAGGGTCGAGTAGAGCCAGTCATGGCGGTGGTCCTGCCTAAAGGTAAGTCTCTGGACGAGTGTGTTGAGCTCACTCAGAGACGTACCCAAAACAGGATCAGCAAAGACGGCACCAAACCCGGGCGCCGGAAGCGACAAAGGAAACCTCGAGTCTCCACAGAAGGGAGGAAAACTGTCTTTGACTTTCTCAATCACCAGTTAGGAGGAAAGAGCGCCTCAGCTACGGAGGGGGGAGCTGCTGCGCCGTCAGCAACTGGAGTGGAGGCTTACAGGGGAGGGAAAAGCACCAAGAGGAGTCTGAATGTGAGGCTGTTCCAGGCTGCTGAGAGGGTGTCCCAGACTGAGAGGGAGATCAAGAAACTGACTGAGTCTCTCAGCAGACATACAGGAAGGTGAGTGCTGAAGTCAAGAGCCACTTGTTCTTCAATTTTACATTTACATTTGTCTAATCTGACTTCTGTGAATACACCCTCAGCTCAACATCTGTTGTCACGTCCACACAGGCTCATTAACAGTCACGGAATAACATGGACATAATCGCACAAACACACATGCACTGGTCCCACTGCGATAATTTATTGTAAAACATGAACACACTACTAACTGTGGAGCGCCTGACTGTCAACCAAAATGGTGGTTAATTTAAATTCAGGAACTGGAAGGCTTGTGGGAGTTGTTGTAAAAATGTTAATAAGGTGTGAAGATTCACGCTGCAGTGCAGACACTTGCTTCTGTGGACGTCTTATTCGAGAAAGGAGAAGCTGAAACTAAGTTGTCTCCCGTGTCTTTCTCCACCTCCTAATCTGTTTGTTGTTCGTGTGCAAAGGGACACATCGGTAGCGAAGCAGCTGGAAGAGAGGCTGTCAGCGGCTCGCCGGTTGCTGGCCCAGCAGAAAGCCCAGGAGCTGTCCATCCAGAGAGAGCACAAGAAGGCTGACACACACAAGAAGATGACGGAGTTCTGAGCTCTGCTCCCTCAAAGACTTGGAGGAGGAAGAGAAGCTCAGCTCGCCTCGAGTGAACTTTTGTCCCTCATCTGTTGTCAGTTATGCACCACACTGTTTTTTAAAGGACATTTTTTAGCATTATTTCTCACCCATCATGGATTTCAGCTGACGACAGCACCCACATTTGCAAAAACTGATCTGTTTGTTTTTTTTTTTCCCCAAGAACTGAGATTAGTTTGTATATTTGTTTGATTCAAGTTGTACTGTTTCTCACTAAATTTCTGTTCTGATCAACATCTTGTCCTTGTGTGTTTATCTTTGTCAGAATTCAGGAGCCCCTCTCTTTTGAGCTCCTGCAGTTTCTTTTCTTTCTAATAACCTTCAATAGATACTGAACGACATTGAGTTTTGAAACAGGTAAAGATACACTTTTCCATCTTTTTTTCTAATTATTTATTAATTCACCAAGCAGAAACTACAGGAACTGAACTCATGGAGGAACAAAACATTCATGGAGTGTCTGTTGTGTTTGTGTTTTCAGATTTTCTGCTGGACAAATTTCAGAACAAAACAAATGTAGTCAGAGAAATAAAGCTTTCTGTGTCTCCCTAAATTTCAACATTTTCCTTTAAGGGGAGGTGTGTGAGCTAAACAAATACAATCACCTTTGAAGCCCAGGCCTTCAGCTTGTCTCTACTTTTGGGTTAGATGTTCATCTCCATTTTGACAAATATTCTTCAGATTCTTATCGGGGTTCATGTCAGGCCACATGACTGGACAATCAAGCACAATAATATAATGATAAGTAACCATTTAATATAGTTTTTGAGATGTGGGCAGATGCAAAGTCCTGCTGGAAAAGGAAATCTGTATATCTGTAAAGCTTCTCAGCAAATGGAAGCATGGAGTGCTCAAAAACCTCAGGCTGAGTTGACCCTGGACTTCATGGAAAAGACCAACAGCAGGAGACAGCATAGCAACCCCAATCATCACAGACTTGAAACTTCACCCTGGACTTCAAGCACCTTGGATTCTGGGCCTCTCTGATCTGTTTGGTCTTCATGCTCTGACTCCAGCTATAATCCACTTCGAAGTTGTTGAATCTATGTTTTTACAGTCCTCTTAAGACTGTGGTTAACCGTATTTTAGACCCTTTCCTGTCACACATTTATCTTCCAGTCAATTTTACATTGATCTGCTTTGATACCGAACAGCCAGCCTCTACAGCAATGACTCTTTGTTGTTTACCCTTATTGTTGAGGGTTATGTCTTCTGGACAATAATCAAGTCAGCAGTCTTCAGCGGGACTGTGGTTGAATGTCTGGGGTAGACTGAGATAGTCTGTTTAAAAGGGATTGGCTCAAACTAAATGAAATATACTTATATTTTAAGATATATGTTCATACATTTTTTGAGCTGCAGGTCATAATTGTCAAAATCAAGATTTATCGGAAAAATACTTGAAACATTTTAATGAGTTTGGAATATATTGGGGTTTTTTTGCATTCTCAAATAGCTGAACAAAAATGTAGATTTTTTTCCCCCCAATAATCTTCTTTTAGGAGATATGACTGTTGTTGGCAGAGGCCAAAACTTTAAAAGGGAAGAAAAGAATGTTAACAGCTTTTTACCCACTGTCTTAAGTAAAGAGTAAAATATCCTCCAAATGTACGAAGAATTCCTGTCAGTAATTTTATGCAGCATCGTCACACTGCTGCCCATTTGTCTCTCCACTGTAAAAAACAGCGAACAGAGATTTTGTGCTCTATGTGAGACTTTTCTCAGAGAGGTGTCCGTAATTCTGGCCAGAGGCTGCTCTAATGATGAGTTCAGTGGTATCCTGGCTTCTGACTGATTTTGAAATTACATCCCCAGGAGTTTGGAGACCTTTAGAAACTGGTCAAAGTGAAGCACCTCCATCGCCCACGCGTCTTAGCGGCTCATACACAGCGCCTTTGAAGCTTTGACCGTAACCCCTTTATTAAATAATGAATTGGAGAGCAGCTTGTCTGCTCCATGATCGGACATCCATTGTCTGTGGGCGGCGACTGCATCTACCCTTCAGATTCTCAAGGAAAGGTTGAAGTCATGTTGTTAGACAGCTATGGATGACAGCTTCAACCTAGCTTTAACCTTTTATGTTTCCTTTTTCTGATAAATGTCTGCTCTGAATGTGATATTGCATGATAAGGAGGCATAATGACACTAGGATTATTGCGTCCTGGATGAATGCGTCTACCAGCCAGTCATTTTGCAGTCCTTAAATGTTTCTCAGAGAATGACCGAATTATCATGGCAGGTACAGAGAATACATCCTGTGTCCTATCAACCTCTAAGTATCTAAAAGAATCCATTACTTCTAATAGGCTACAACAATGTGCTGCTGAACTGAAGAGTTACTTCTATAGGAGGGATGAGATTTGCCTTTTTTTCTCCAAGATAAAAAATGACTTTTACCAAGTTTCCACCAAGTTAGCTGAAGTTGGGTGCTCACAAGATTGTCTGTGAGGCCAGAATGACCTTGACATTTGAGCAACCAACTTTATTCTGCTCATGCACAAGCCCAAGAAGACTTTTCTGTCAAAAAGAAAGATAGTCCTTTAAAGCAGGCCTCCTATAGAGCATTCACAATAATGGGTCAGAAATACTAAAAGTGTGTGTTCTCTTCTGAAAACAAATACTGGAATAGAACTGCTGCATTTGAAGGTGCAGGTCAAGATTTTGATATCTACAGGGTAGAAGAGAAGTAAGATGTTTGAGAAGACTTCAAGTACAAGCTGGAAAACAGTCTGTGCTGGACAAAAAAAAGCAGGAATGCAAACCTGGAAGCATCACTTCCTGACAAACTTTCTCTGCACAGACAAAATCAATAGACAATAAAATGTGCTGACTCTCTATCCCAAAAGTTCATCCCCTCGACGAAATTTTGTAAGTCAGTCTGAAACTATGACCAGCCCATGAGAAGAAAGCCTGTGCCCGAGGGCCAGTGTCCACTTGCAGTGTATTTAGCACTGGCAGCGCCTCTGTTCACTACAAAACCAATGGAGTTCAGTGTTTTCAGTACTCAGCAACCTGAGCACAAAAATACCTGCAGGGTATCAGCTATTTTTGTCTCTGAGCAAACGGGCACATCTTAAAATAGTCCAACTTTTGGAAACACCTGGGCTTTTTAATCAAGGTGGGACTTCTCATATCAACTTTTTAAATACCAATGAACATACTAAAAATCATTGTATGAGTTTAATTGAAGCATGAATTGTTGACATTCCTAAAAAACCAATCACACTACACTGCAGATACAATCAGGAATCCTTTAAGATTAAAAAAAAAGAACATGGACTGCTGATAATATCTAACAGGATCTAATGCTAACTAACATCCTTTTTGTTGACTCTTTAAAATAAAAAGGCAATGAACATTTGTTTACTCGTATTTTCCCTGTGCATAAAAGTCAATGCATATATCAGAGAGCTACGTAATTGTTGCTCTTATTTAGTTAAACAGTTGGGTTTTCTTTGTTCATCCAACCTAATGGTGAATAAATTTAATCATAATTGTTCAAGTAAAATCTTTGTCAGAGTTGACGGTAAACTTTCAATAACTTTAATGTGCCAACAGCAAATGATAAAGGAATGCTATATTCGTTCATTGAATATAAACCCTTTTTTTACACCCCTCAAAACTGGGATGGGAATCAGGAACCTAGACATGGAACTGATATCACATCCAGATACAATCAAATTGAAATTGTGCCCAACTTTTATAGCACCTTACTAAAGTGCTCTGAAATTGAGACTGTGGGTGTGGCCAGCCCTCCAAAAATGTTGTGAGTGGACACAGGCCTTTATTCATTATCCCTTACTCTTATAACAGAAGGCCCATAATAACAGCTGTCACAACAGAGTCTATGGGTTTCAAGACTGATGTTTCAGTCAAGTTGACCCTCTGACCTATTCATTTTAAAGTATTATGCCTTTATAGATTTATCCTATTAAATATTAGTGTCATTGAAACTTTTGGCTCATGAATTTTTGAGTTAGTGCCATCTCTTTTTTAATAGACCTATTTAATCTTGAACACCAAATTCCCATCAGTACATTCAATAGTCCAAAACTGTATTTGTATCAGATATAATCAAGTTCCCTCTGAGTGCTGCAGATACTAGCCACGGTCACCTTGACCTATGACCAGCAGAAAGTAAACAGTTGCCTTGAGTCAAAGTGAGAGTTTGAGCCAAGTTTGAAGATAAACTGTGTCTGTGAAGCGTTGCTGAGTTAACTGTTTCTCAGAAATGGGGCAGATGACTGTACAGAGACATAATGCTTCAGCCAGTTCTGTTCCAGAGGTACAGAGACAAAAAAAACTACTTTTTCTGCTGCCTTTGCTAAACTTTTAAGTAAATGCCTCCCAGAAAAGTCAGACTGGCTGAAATATGTTGGATCTTAGAGAGACCCTGAGTTTGTGAAAGATAGCTAGAAAACCAATGACCATCAGCAAGTCGGTGTGGCTGTGTTGTCCCTCAGGGGAGAGAGATAGTAAATACTCCATGATGAAGCGCTCAGGGCAGCCGGGAGATACAGTACACTTATCAGCCATCCTCAAAGTCTGTGAAAGGAGTCTGGCAGAGCAGAGGGTAGCAGCATGTGAACCCCTGACTCTGAACCCTGAGGGAAGCCCCTTGTGCTCTGATTTGTTGAGTGGCAGCACTTTGAGATTGCTGGTGACTGGAGGGATCACACTGATTTTGCTGATCGCTGGGGAAAAAATGGCAAGGTGCAGTGTGTGTGTTGATTTAATGGGATCCCTGGAGGGTCTGTGCTTCACGCTTTACCCCATTTATGAGCCTCAGGTCTCGGGGGGTACTGCTGCATGCCCAGCCAGGAGCAGATATAACTACCTGGTGTGTTCCTGTTTAAGTGTTCTGTCAACATCCTCTGCTGTCTGTATGCACTGCACACAACCAGCATACGCCTGTCTCATGGATGGATCCAGACTGGCCTATTTGGGGAGTTTTCGCCTCTAAACGGCACTTATCTGAGCCTAGATTAAGTGATTAAGGAGCTGTGATGGAAAAATTGATTGGAAGACCACCTTGACAGATGTTTTACTTAGGTATTCATGCTAGGCTATCAGCTGAAGGCTGCTCTGCCACAGCTCATGAATGTGTAGGACAGTCTTTTTTTTCTAATGTTATGCATTATCTAATATATTTGTACACAATTTGATATACTTGTAAGTAGCATAGAGAGCATTTTCTGATGGCTTTAAATCGATAATCACTTTTTTAAAAAAATCTAATTATCTATTAGTTTTATTTGACTCAAGATGCATATAGATGCTGAATATTTGAGACTACACTCTAAAAGCCCCTGGGTCGAAAACAACCCCAAAACCCCTTTTCAACTCTTTTCACCAGGGTTGAAAAGGGACTGACTAGGTATTGGGTTATTTTGACCCAGAATGTTGGTAACCCTACGTTCTGACCCAGTTATTGGGTTACTCTCAGAAAAATAACCCATAATTATAAACCCATTCAAATAACCCTCATATTGGGTTACAATAGAATCCATATGACCCAAGAAATGGGTATGGATCTGAAAAATAACCCAGAAA